TTTTTCAAGGATGATGAAAACTGCTGTCGGTGTTTTATACGTTTACTTTACGTTTTTGGTTTGTTATTTTCCCTCGCTTTATCCTTTCGGCTACCCGTGTAATTACTGGCCCTAATATTGTAATAACTAATTTTTCACTCTGTAGACATACGCTTACGTTCTTCAATTTATTACTAAACCCTGTTATTTACGGCTGGAGGATGAGACAAATTCTACACGCTATAATGGACTCACTACGAAAGGTATACACTAATCGTAAACTGTGATTCTGGACCGTGAGACCGTCTCATTCCGAGCGCATTCCAATTTTCAATTGGCATTTTCTGGCATTCAGTTTTTCATTTGATGTTTTTGAAATCAGATTGGGATTTCCGTTATTTGAAAACTTCCGATGGAAACTCTATCTAATTTTAGCTTCCTTTGTGAGGTATCAATCTGGCTTTGTCTTATTGTTTGGCTCTGTCAGATTTTGGGCGCCGTAAGACTCCGTCCGACTTTCGACGTTGCCCGCTCATCAATGAATTTAATTCAAGGTGAAGTTCGATTTTGGGAAAACTGATTTTGTCAAAGGACAATTTTGCTCCTGTTTTAGAAACTATACAATATCAGGAAGTATCTGTTGGGTTTTGAGATTCAAAACAATAACCTATCATGCCTCTGAAAACTGTCCTCAAATGTGCTTACAATTAAACCGCGGATGCCACTAGATTGAGAGGAACGCGGAAACCTTTTTTTTCTTCTTTGCAGAAGTTTTAAGTTTTCTTCACTAAAATTACTTTTTTCTGAACCCAATCTTTCAACGTTGTTCTGAAGCGGAAGAAAACCAAAGAAGAGGTTCCTCTGAGGGATGGGAAATATATTTCGACCAAAAGAAGCGGAACGAGTTAGTTTTTGTGGAGGAAAATGATTGGCTATTTAACTCCCCATGAGTGACCAAGGCAGAATTTCTCCTTACAATATCAATACAATATCAAGCACACAAAAAATTAGAGTAAAGAAAATCATTTTTTTTTTAGAGGGCACGGAAACGAATCCTGCAATCTGATTGGTTCTTTACCCGGTCAGTATTTTCCTATCTCTGCCCACGGGCAACGGTAACGCTTTCGTGAGTCGCCGAGTACATCCCTTCATTCGTTGCTATTTTTCATAAATATATCTCGTTTTACCGGCTGGGCAGTATTTTTAAGCAAAGAAGTCGGTCACTACCTCAAGCCAATAAATAACTTATTAATCCTCTCTTTTCTCTCTCTCAAGTCACTTTGGTCACCTGAAAAATTTTCGTTTCAGAATTACCTTTTTGTATAAGCAATAATGTCATTACGTCGGTTGACAGGCGGCCTAAAAGCCGTCTGCAATTAATTTTAATTGTTCACAAAAAGCACCTAGAGGAGTTAAAACGTGAGGTATTTGGCTACAGTTGAACTAATCGATGGAACTTTCATTCATTTAATATCTGAATTTTCTCAAACAATTTGTTCGTTGTGAAAAGGCGAGCGAGTTTTAATTTCAGTTCTGCAACAAATATACGCTCTCGGTGAGTCTTTTCAAGTCCGTTCAATTTGGACATTTGTATCGTAAACTGCACAACAGAAACTTAAGGAATTAAATGAGAAAAGGCCGCGTAAAATTCCCTTGTGTCTCGTTGGAGTATATCATCCGAATTTAGTTTTTGCGGAGGAAAGACCAGATTTTCACACGCCATTGCAGCAAACAAACGAGCAAACTCTCACAACTTCAAAACAAAAAATTTGAATTTACTTACAATAACTTTCCTCGCCGATTACTTAATGAACAAAGGTAAATCTTCGTACATAAATTAATCGTCGATGAGAGTAAATAATACTTTCCGTAAGATCATTGACTATTTTTGAAGAAAATATTGTGGTGATAGTCCCTGCCAAACTAGTTTCGTTGTTTTTTAAAAATTTACATGGGCTTTTTTCTTTTTTTACACGCTCTCTAATTGACAGGTGTCAGATTGTGACAGATACTTGTATAATAACGTTTTAAAGTTTGTTTGGAAGCCTTTTGAATCACTTTTATCGTTACGGAAATGAAAATGTTCTCTTAAATTTGCATCACCTCTATTTTAACTACCATTTACTCGCTCAAAAACTGTTCAGTTTATGGAAGATTTTGCCGTATTTACAGCCCTAAATCATTCGGGTTCTTTCGGAATGAATTTCGTCAAGTTTAAAAAAAACAAATATGTTATTTACCGGCTAAGGGTCGATCCGTAGGGTGAAAAACTGTGACCTCGGCCTTGAAGACCTCGGTCACAGTTTTTCATTATACGGACCTCCCAGCCCGCAAATAACATATATATATTAGGGGATTATTAGTAGATCCAATACTAAATTCTCTGAACACACATAGTTAGAACTATATGGCAGACAGCAAGGAGAATAACTAATGAGATCTTGGGAGTTAAAGGGTTAAATAAAAGTTGTTAAAAAAACGCACAACCATCTACTCGTCAGGAATAAATAGAATTTTCAGAAAAGCTCCTCCAAATTAAAGCAATTATGTCGTATTGAAAGTCGAGAAAATTCGGAGAAATCTTATAGAGTTATTTCAGAGATAAACGGACCTCACTTCGAATTAGTGTCCAGGAAATGTTACTGTAAAAAATACTCTTAATTTGAGTGGCTAACCTGCAATAGCTGAGTGCATGATGAAATGTTTTCGCACGAAAAGCGAATACATATATCTATATAACTTGATTTAGAGCTCTTCTTGTAACCAGAGTAATGGCGTGGCTGATAAAAAAAGATCAATTCATTTTTCTCGGTAATGAGTCCTTACTTCAACAATCATTCAGCGGCGAGGCCTTACCTCAACAATCCTCGAAATCTAGAAAGAACTTTCTGAGACCGTTCCAAAATTTTCATCGGATCTTCCCTTAGCATAGGCATAGATTTATCCAATTCTCAAAGCGGAGCTCTATGTTGCATCTAAATTGCCTAGCGCTTCCAGGTTACGCATACAATAGTGCATGTGCATTTCCTTTTCTCTCTCCCTTCTGTTAACGTTGTGGCCAGATTTGTGCCACCAATACAGTTGTTCCTAATCTAGCAACTTTTACAAACAGAAGTTTGGTCAGGTGTCAGACCAAATTTGGTCGGTTTCATGGGTTATTGTTTTTATTATAATTTTTTATATGTATGGATAGGGTTCCACTGCGCGCACGCTGCGACCTCTGTTATGAAAACATTGATTGTAATGCCACGCCCATTATTCCAGACTTTAGTCTACGAGTAATAAGAATTTGGGGGCAAAATTAATGGATATAAAAAAGGTGAAAACTAATAACCTGGAAATGGCAGCTAAACAGTAGAGACTGACATACTTTATTAGTACGAATCTATATGTAGAATAAAATTAACGTGAAAGTATAAACTAAATGATCTCTAAAAGGTTAAAATAAATTGTTCTTTTAAGCAGCGTTTGAATTCTGTCAATGTCCTTTTCCACTTGAGTTACATTCTTAATATAAATTGTTTTTCGCCCTCTGATGGATCTGTGCAGGGAATCTGGGGAATCTGGGCGTTCCCTGTCGATGTATTTTAGTGAGAATTTCCAAAAGTTCGTTAACTTAATGCATCACTAATTTCTCTTACAATGCCAGAGAGGACTGAAGTAGGTCTGAGCGCGTGAGTCGCAATGCGGTCTGACTCTGGCCAGCCTCTTCCCGGGAGCGAGGTTGGAGTCTGACGTCATGCCTTGTACATAGCCAACTGGTCTTCCACCGACTAGAATTACTAAGAAGCTACGACATGTAATTTGAGGTCTCTTCAGCTCCAAAGGGAATCGTCTTTTTTTAAATACGTATTTGTTTAATGTGGTAGACAAACACTAAAACAAAAATTTCAACATAACAACAACAAAAAAAAAACCAGGATGTACAGCGGTGATTAGCGCAGGGTACAGTTAAAAAGGTGAAAATTGATACTAAATTTTTCAAAACAGACTAACCGTCTGAGTGAAAGGCGTAGAGCTACGTGTACTTCGTGTAATTAGCGTAAAATGTATAACTTTCTGTCTTTGCCTAAGTTTGTAAGTGTCCGGGTTACTGTTGACAAGGTTGAGACTTTTTCAGTGGAATGAACAACCATCAAGTCTAGTCGACTCAATATTATTCTTTATATCAGAAACTGAACAACGGCAGCAACCTAAAAATCGGTTTTGTATTTAATGCACAAGCTATACACTTCACAAGGTTATAAATTTATTATCTTATCGACGATTAAAAATACATACATTAACCGATGACATAACTTTGAAATAATATTTCAAGTAGGGAGGAAGCTTTCTGGTCATTTAAAAGTATCTCATACAAAATGCGCTTGAAACTTACAAATGATGCTTTCCTATGCTTGACACTATTGTACCTCATTGTGTAATTTTCCCAAACGTTAAAGTTCACTCTCCCTCAGCTTTCCTTACGCACCTTTGACAAATCAAGTTTAATTTGACGATGACCGCAGCTCTCATCTGATACATTATAACTTGGCATCAGAAATGAACCCAACCAATGTGTTACGATTTAATCTAACCGACAGAAAAACACTACAAAACTCAACTACTTTATCACACAACGAATAATATTCTTAATAAGGAGCGACTCTTAAATGTAGTACAGTACTTATGCTCCATAAACTTACTTACGCCCACTACAGTCTACATCTTAGCTCGCCACTGAGCAAAACTCACAGTTTCTTCCAAAGTTTCTTAAAATTAGCAATCTTCCACTGTAGCTCTCTCTCACGGTATAGCTTTCTAAACAGTCGGTCACTCTGGACGACAACAACAACAACTACTACTACATAACTGAGTCTTTATATACATTCACAAAACAATTATCTTAATAGTATTATGTAAGAATTGCGTGACTTGATGAAATGTCCAAGAAAGTTCCATGGTACGCATGTCAGTATGATTAAGCAGTCTGGAGATTTCTAGAAGCTTCTATTTACAATAACAATTATTCATAACAAATGCTATTCTCTAAATCGATTGACGATGCCTCGCATTATGTCGATGAGAGTGCGACGAATGGCTCCCATCTTCAAGCAGTATATAACAGGGTTCAAAGACGAGTTGAGGAAAAACAAAGTCGTTGTATAGAGTAAAGCTTCGTAGAAAGAGATTGGACTTAAAAGGCGAGCCAGGAATAAAAAAGAGAGAATATAGGAAGGCAAATAACAAATCAAGAACACAATACATACATAAAATGTTCCAAGAGCTGACTTTCGAAGCTTCAAAAAGTTAGATAAGTCGCCATTTTGAACTCCCTGTTGTACTCCTTGGATTTGAAGGCCTTCAATATGGATTTTGTGTCGCTTTATGACAATATAAATCCTCCAGTAGACAATTACTACCAGAATGAGGCAAACAGTCATGTTCACGAACCCTGCAACCTGTGAGATGATGAACAGTGGATTCCAAAAGACACTCGAAGAAATAATTGCGCTTAACAGCCATATTGATATCACCGCAGCGATGACGCGCTTGTGAGTCACACGTTCTTGATATCTGAGATGAAGATGAACAGCTAAGAACCTGTCCACACTTATGGTTACAACATTCAAGAGCGAGGATGTACAAAAGAAAGTAATTATGGCAAACAATCCCTTGTGGGAAATGCAGTCGATACGTTTTTGTTTCAACCGGCTGACCAAAGTAGAGATGTAGAGTGGTTGGACCAACAGACCAACGCCAACATCGGAGGCAGCCAGGCTCAGTAATAACGTTCTCAAAGGTTTTGGCAACAAAATGGTTTTCCTTATCGCATGGATGGTAACAATGTTCGAAATGATGGTTATATAAGACAAAAAGCTGTTGAAGACACAATTAGCGACGAGTGCCGGACGAAAATCGTCAACATCCGCGGAGGTTCCAAAGAAAAACTCTTTGAGAATGTCGCAAACGTTTTCCGCCATGAGAGCTGAGCGTTAAAACTACTGTGGCTCTGATATTTTCCGATTCTGAAATGGAAAATTTTAAGTCATATGTAGCTGTCAATTACAAGCATATAACACAATAGAAACCAGCTGTACGTACACTCAAGATGTCTTCAACTCTGGCATTTGAATTTTTGAAAAAAGCATCCAGTACCGCTTTAAATCGATGTCTTTAAGAACTAAAACAAATTTTCTGTTTAATGCTTCAAGAAATTTTAACTAAACATGGGATCTACATCTAGAAAAAAAAAATTTAAAGGAAGGCTGTCATTAACATATTTTTCATCTATCACAATGAATATACGAAACATTAGTAGTCAGTTAAATTAAAGGGCACTTGACATATGTTTCTTTATAAATAAATTCGTCTGAATACACTGAATACATCTTTATAGACCGAGCATTTTATGGTTGGAGAGGGGTGGGGAGAGAAAGCCGAACAATTATTACGAATAAATTACGCACTTGTTTGTGGCGAATCTAGGAGGTATTCAGAATGTTCGGCAAACTTACTAAACTGAGGTAATACCTACACATTTTTCAGTCGTATTAGAGTAGCTTGGGAATATTTTTCGGGGGTGAATAAATACAAACCCTCCCTTTCTGACGACCGCGTTCGGCTCTCATGTTTACCACCTCCTCTCAAGTCCCGGAACCACTTTAGTTCATGAACAGCACTGAGCTCAGAAAAAGTCATGCAATGGCCATGTAATATTTTAACATATTTCAACCGAAAGGAATACAGATTAAACATTTCATCAAACAATAATTCTGCATCAAGCACTTAAACGGAAAGACTACAGGAAGTTTGACTATTGTTTATGTTGACGAATGTAAATAAAAAATGAGGGCTGGTATTTTAAATGTAACATTAATACACGTAAATTAGAAGTGGAAAATGCGATATTGTGTTGGAACATGAAATACTTTAGCCTGTTAGGTTCAGTAAGTAAAGAAAGAATAGTAAAACAACGAATAGGCAAATGACAGGACTGTAAATTTATTTTGTACAGAATTGAAAAGAAGTCTGCGAATGAGCGGTGTCAGGGATTGTCTTAGTTTCGGTTTGGTCAAGAAGTTTGCTCCATCTGTCAGCTACTCGGAAGCAAATTAAAGCCAGTCGCCACTTTGTTAATAAATAAACAAAATGATTCTCCTAAATTTTTCTCTCCAAATAATCTGCTGGTTGAAGTTTGTCCACTATTGCAAATAGAGGATCTTGAATTCAGGTTGTATTGAAAAAGCAGCACCCTGAAAATTGTATGGATAAGTCAGAATACTCCATCTAAATCTTGTGCCATTATACTTGACGAAGACTGTTGTCACGAGGTTCTGTATGTTATGCAACCATATATATGTGTGTGCAATCATGCATATAAATGCAAATGGTACTGTTTGCAATGAGGTGAGAAGGAATTCCTATCTTTACGCCCGTGAATAAGACGCATTCAAATGAAGCGTGTTAATTTTTTTTTTTAATATACTGTCCTAGGTGATTCTAGTTTGGTGTGGATGACAATCTAGTGTTTTACCATTTAAATGAAAGCTAAAACGTAGCACTTAAATGAGGTACAGTTAATTATGCGGTACAAGGTGGTCCTGGCCTGGATAACATCTTTTATCACATAAACTGCGCTGTTATAAAGGGATATCCGGCCCTGAGAAAAGTCGTAACAACACACGTGAAAAAATATGGTATTTTTTCATGTGTGCGGATATAGCCAATTAGCTGCTGACACGTGCTGGCCTTTGGCGCCACTTGGTCAGGTTGATGAATGAACGGCAAAGCCTTCACGATTCTCAATACAAGTTATTTGTTGGAACTTTAACGAATTATGGCGGCTAAAACTCTAAAAACTTCTTTAGAAGGATAAGAAAACCAATATTCAAAAAGAAACCGAAAGTTACGTATTCAGTGGCTTTGGTGTTGGCATTTCTCTCGGCTGGGAATGAAAATCGACAATTGCAAGATTTGCCATTAGCCGATTTTGGCCGTTTAACTGAAAGACTTAGACGGCGCACTTACGAGGTCTGTTAATTACAGAAAAAGTTAAGGCTTCCACTTTCAAGGAATTCAATTGCTTGAGTAGCACACTTTTCAACTTTTTCTTGGGGGGAGGGGGCGCAGGGGCATTGTTTCACTAAGCCTTTTTTGGCACCTCTCTGTTTATACTTTCAAAGTCCCTAAGTTATGAAAGGCGACAACAAAGGAAATATAGGAGACTTCGTGGAGGCTGAACGCACAACATCTGACAAGAATCCGAACAGCATTTTGTTTCATGAAAACAATTTGAATCCAAACTACACTCGTCATCAGTCTCATTTCCGCAATTTTCGACCGGGAGAGGAATGGGGCTAATGCCTTCCTTCAAACCCCCTAAAAGTAAATTGTCATAAGATTGTCATTTGCAATAGGCGCAAATATACGCAACCCTCAAACACACTGTGAAATTTTAGGTTCATCCTTTCCGTTTGGTTGTTTTTCTATCTTGCTTAATATATATTTTAATTAAGGACGGTAATTTTCTTAAGAAACTGTGCCGCTGCGTCGGTGGAAGAGTATAACAGGGTAATTTAGTATTATGAACTGAGTTGATAACGTAAATTGGCCACCGTAAAGAGTTTTAAAGCTGGTGTTTCGAGCCTTAGCCCTTCGTCAGAGCGATTTACGTGTTTCAAGAAGGTTGTTGTTAAAAACGATTCAAAATACCCGTGCATAGTAGAATGAAGATGGTATTGAAAATTCTGCCAGATGCTCAGACAATAAAAAATAAATCATGCAAAAAGCGATCGAAACGAATCAAACGAATTCGGCTAAAGGACATCAGATGGCCTCGTAATAAAAGTAAGGCGCCAAGAAATGTTATTACGAGAAATCCCAATAATTACTATAATTCCTATTACTAAAATTCAGATGAGCATTGCTTCCTACACGAGTAGATATGAAATTGCACATGAGGTACATCTTTGATCAAATCTCGCTACTCATAGTAACAGATCAGAGATGACGTCATAATCTATGTAAGGTCATGTGATCTATTACTGTACAGACCCACAGCAAAATGGAGTCCATTTGTGTTATTTGATAAAAAAAAGAAAAAAGTCGTTCATAGTGAAGTCATCTTTGTGTCCGTCCTCTAGTAAATCATAAGTAAGAACCATGATGTGTGACGTATTTAGCTTGCTACATAAACAAAAATAGAGAAACCAGATTTATGTAGGTGAGACAAACAGCTCTCAAAGGAAAACATAAGGCAACCTCCCATATAATTTAAGAATTCCAAATTAAATTATAAGTCCCGCTTACGCTGCATCACAGCGAGACTCACTTCCAATTAAAAAGGTGAAAATTGAGGCTAAATCTTTTAAAACGGACTAACCGTCTGAGTGAAAGGCGTAGAGATCCTCTTACTTTGTGCAATTAGCATAAAATGCATAACCGTCATTCTTTTCCTGAGTACGTACGTGCTCGGGTTACTATTGACAAGGTTAAGAATTTTTGTAGAATGGACAACCATCAAGTCTAGTCGACTTAATATTATTCTATAGATAAGAAACTGCACAACTCAATTCTGGAAGTCTATGCGTGATCGCAAGCATTTAGAGGCTTTATTTAAAGAGGGTTACATTTAACTGTAGTAAAAACGCTGATGAACTCGTGGCCCTTATTACATTATAAGGCGACCTAAAAAAATCGGTTTTGTATTTAATTCACAAGTTATACACTTCACAAGGTTATAACTTTATTATCCAATCGACGAATAAAAATACATACATCAATTGATGATAACCTTAAAATCATATTTTAAGTAACAGAGAAACTTTCTGGTTATTTATAAATTTCTCACGCAAAATGCGCTTGAAACTAACAACTGATACTCTCTTACGCTTGATTCTGGAGTACTCTATTGTGTAATTTTCCTAACCGTTAAAGTTCTTGGTCTCTCAGTTGTCGTTGATAAATCCAGTTTAAGCGTGCGATGGCCAAGGTTCTTATCTTATGCATTGTGAACTGGCATCAGAAACGAACTATTCTCTGAACCGATTGACGATGCCTCGCATTATGTCCATGAGAGTGCGACGAATAGATCCCATCTTCCAGCAGTATATAATAGGGTTTAAAGACGAGTTGAGGAAAAACAAAGTCGTTGTATAGGGCCAAGCTTTGTAGTAAGAGATTGAACTTAAAAGGCGAGCCAGGAATAAAAAAGAGAGAATATAGGAAGGCAAATAACAAATCAAGAACACAATACATGCATAAAATGTTCCAAAAGCTGACTTTCTAAGCTTTAAAATGTTCGATAAGTCGCCATTTTGAACTCCCTGTTGTACTTCTTGGATTTGAAGTTCTTCCATCTGGTTTTTGTGTCGCTTTAAGACTATATAAATCCTCCAGTACACAATTACTACCAGAATGAAGCAGCCAGTTATAATCACGAGCCCTATGACTTGCGAGATGATAAACAACGGATCCCAAAAGACATAAGAAGAAATAATTGCGCTTAACAGCCATGTTGATATCACGGCGGCAATTACGCGCTTGTGAGTGACATGTTCTTGATATCTGAGATGAAGATGAACAGCTAAAAACCTGTCCACACTTATGGTTACAACATTAAAGAACGAGGATATACAAAAGAAATTGGTGACGACGGACAACCCCTTGTCGTAAATGCAGTCGATACGTTTTTGTTTTAACCTGCCGGCCAAGGTAGAAATGTAGAGTGGTTGGACCAACAGACCAACCCCAACATCGGTGGCAACTAGGCTCAGTAATAATGTTCTCAAAGGTTTTGGCAACAACACGGTTTTCATTATCGCTTGGATGGTAATAATGTTCAAAAAGATGTTTGTATAAGACAAAAAGCTGTTGAAAACACAATTAGCGACAAGTGCCGGACGAAAATCTTCAAAATCCGCTGAGGTTCCATAAAGAGACTCGTTGAGAATATCGCAAACTTTTTTCGCCATGAGAGCTGAACGTCAAAACTACAGTGGCTCTGATATTTTTGGATATTTTAATACAGAAAGTTTAAAGTCATACTTAGCTGTCAATCACGAGGATAGAACATAATCGAAGCCATCTGTACGTACAGTCAAAATGTCTTCAACTCTGTCATTTGTATTTTTGAAAAAAGCATCGAGTATCGCTTTCACTCGGCGCTGGTTAGAACTAAAACAAATTTTGTGTTTAATGCTTCAAGACATTTTAACTAAACATGGGATTTTTACCTGAAAAAAGGTAATTTAAAAGAGAGCTGTCATTTACATATTTTTCATCTATCAAAGTGAATAAACGAAACATTATGGTCAATTAATAAAAGAACGCTTAAAATATGTTTCCCTATTTCTAAATTCGTTTGGATACACGGAAGACATATTCAGAGACAGTATTTTTACATATTTAAACCAAAAGAAATACAGATAAGACATTTTATCAAACGCTAATTCTGCATAAAGCACTTAAGCGAAAAGAATACAAGAAGTTTGGTTATTGTTTATGTTGACGGCTGTTGTAAATAAAAAAGGAGGGCTTGTATTTTTCTAACATTAATTCATGTAAATTAGAAGTGAAAAATGCGATTTTATGTTTAAATATGAAAAACTTTAGACTGTTAGAGTCAGTAAGTAAAGAAATAATAAAAAAAACAACAAATAGGCAAATGACAGGACTATAAATTTATTTCGTACATAAGTGAAAAGAAGTCTGCAAATGAGCGGTTTCATGGATCGTAATAGTTTCGCTTTACATCGTAAAGTGATTGGTCAAGAGTCTTGCTCCATCTGTCAACTACTCGGAAGCAAATTAAAGCCAGTTGCCACTTTACTAATAAATAAACAAAATGATTTTCCTTAATTTTTCTCTCTAAATAATCTGCTGATTAAAGTTTGTTCACTATTGCAAATAGAGAATTTTGAATTCAGGTTATATTGAAAATGCAGAACCCTAAAAATTGTGCGCATAAGAACACTCCACGTGGATCTTGTGCCATTATGCTGGACAAAAAAATTTTATGTGGTGCTATATATTATGGAATCATCCATACGTGCAATCATATGAATGCAAATGGACAGAACTTCCATGTGGCACTGTTTATAATGAGGTGAGAAGGGATTCCTACCTTTACATAGGAATTCGACAATATTCCTCGTTCCTTATGCTGTACTCACGGTAATCATGTCAGGTATTGGAACCTTTTGCCTTCTTGTCACTACAGCAATCTATTACAAGATCTGTTTTATTACACGACGCCACAAAAGGCAAATTCAGCAACCACGAAAACTAGAGGCGTAAGTTGGACAAAATAGCGAGATGTAGCAAGGATCATGAAAACTGCTGTCGGTGTTTTATACCTTTACTTTGCGTTCTTGGTTTGATATTTCCCTCGCTTTATCCTTTTGGCTGCCCGTGCAATTACCGGCCCCAATATTGTAACAACTAGTTTTTCACTTTATAGACATGCGCTTATGTTCTTCAATTCATCACTAAACCCTGCTATTTTCGGCTGAAGGATGAGACAAATTCGACACGCTATACTAGACACACAACGAAAAGTATACACCTATCGTAAGCCATGATTTTGGACTGTGAGAGCGATATTCATTCTGCAATCCACCGTCTTATTCCAAGCGCATTCCAATTTTAGAGAGGCATTTTCTGGCATTCAGTTTTTCATTTAATGTTGGTTGGAATGAGACTCATTCCGTTAATTGAAAATTCCAATTCAGGGCTCCGTTCCATTCGGGACCTCGTCCAGATGGAAACTCCATCCAATTTTAACTCCCTTTGCGAGGTATCAATCTGGCTCCGTCTTATTTATCGGCTCTGTCAAATTCTGGATGTCGTAAGACTCCGTCCAACTTTCGACGTTGTCCGCTTATCAATGACATTAAAGTCAAGGTGACGTTCGACTTTGAAAAATCGATTTTGTGAAGGGAGAATTATGCTCCTGTTTTAGAAACCATACAGTATCAGGAAGTACCTATTGGGTCTCGAGATTCAAAACAATAACCTATCCTGCTTCTAAACGCTGTCCTCAAATGCATATAAAACCATGGACGCCACCAGATTGAGAGCAACGCGGAAACCTTATTGAACGCGCTTGGTTTGCAGAAGGTTCAAGTTTTATTCACTGAACTTACTTTTTCTGAACTCAATCTTTCAACGCCGTTCAGAAGGGGAAGAAAAACCAAAGAAGAGGTTCCAATGAGGGATGGGAAATGTATTTCGACGGAAAGGAGGACGAGGTAGTTATTTATTCGCAATCTTGTGAGCAAAACAACGTAGGTAAAAATCGCGTAAACTAATATCTCAGAAATGGCGGTTAACAAATATAGACTGACATACTTAGGTTGTCCCAAAAGGGCTTTTGGAATAAAGGTACATTGTACGAAGGGGATGTTTATATGTATACATACAAATAAATGTAAAAACTAATGTGAAATAAGAAATTAAATTATCTATAAAATAGTTAAAATAAAATGTTTCTTTAAGCAGCGTTTGTATTCTGTCAACGTCCTCTTCTACTTGGGTGACAGGACCTAATAAACTGTTCAGTTTGTCCTTTGCTGGGTGTGCACAGGGGGATCTGAGGAATCGATCTTCCGCCGACTGGAGTTATTAAGAAGCTACTTCATGTAATCTGAGGTCTCTTCACCTTGAAAGAGTATTGTTTATTTTAAAATAAGTATTTGTGTCCTGTGGTAGACAAACACTAAAAAAAGTTCCAATATAACAAAAACAATGAGAGTAGCCGAGAACAGCGGTGATTAGCGCAGGGTACAATTTAAAAAATAGTGGAAAATTGAGGCTTACGGACTAACTGTCTTGGTAAAAAGCGCAGAGATCCTTGTATTTCGTGTAATTTGCATAAAATGCATAGGCCTTCTCTCTTTGCCTATGTAAATAAGTGCCCGGGTTACTAAAAAGACTTTGATGACGGACAACCACCAAGTTTAGTCCCTTATTACTTTAAACTATAAGCTGCAACCTAAACGTCGGTTTTGTATATTTAATTCACTGATGAACTTGTGGCCCTTATTACACTATCGACCTAAACATCGGGTTAACTGATAATTTAGTATCCTATCGACAATTAAAAATACATAAGTCAAATGATGACATGACTTTGAAATAATATTTCAAGTAGCGAGGAAGCTTTCTGGTCATTTTCAAATTTCTCATACAAAATACGTTTAAAACTACAACTGATACTTTCTTATGCTTGACTTTATAGTACCTCACTGTGTAGTTTTCCTAACCGTTAAAGCACATCCTCCCTCAGTTTTCCTTACGCACTTTCGACAATCAAGTTTAATTTGACGATGGCCGAGGCTCTTATCCTAAGCACAGTGAATTGGCATCAGAAACGAACCCAATCAATGTGTTACAGTATAATCTAACCGACAGAAAAACGCTTCAATCCCACAAACCCAACTACTTTATTTGTCGAGTGATTTCTTAATAAGGAGTGACTCTTAGAGGCAGTATAGTACTTATACTCCATCAACTTACTTTAGCCCACCACAGTCTATATCTTAGCTCGACGTTGAGAAGAACTCACAGTTTCCTCAAACGTTTCTTGAAATTAGCAATCTTCCACTCTAGCTCTCTCTCACGGTATAGCTTTCTCAAAAGTCGGTCACTCCCGACAGCAACAACAACTATTACAACTACACAACTGGGTCCTTATATACATCCACAAAGTGTTCTGGAACATTCCAGAAGCTTACAAAAGAACTATTTTAGTAGTATTACGTAATAGTTGTGTGACTTGATCAAATGTTCTAGAAAGTTCTATGGTGCACATGTCAGCATGACTAAGCATTCTGGACATTTCTAGAAGCTTATATTTACAACAACAATTCCTCAAAACAAATGCTATTGTCTGAACCGATTGACGATGCCTCGCATTATGTCCATGAGAGCGCGACGAATGGGTCCCATCTTCCAGCAGTAAATAACAGGGTTCAAAGACGAGTTGAGGAAAAACAAAGTCGTTGTATGGGGCCAAGCATTGTTGTAAGAGATTGAACTTAAAAGGCGAGCCATGAATAAAAAAGAGAGAATATAGGAAGGCAAATAACAAATCAAGAACACAATACATGCGTAAAATGTTCCAAGAGCTGACCTTCTAAGCTTCCGCAAAAAGTTTGATAAGTCGCCATTTTTAACTCCCTGTTGTACTTCTTGGATCAGAAGTTCTTCAATCTGATTTTTGTGTCGCTTTAAAATTATATAAATCCTCCAGTAGACAATTACTACCAGAATGAGGCAAACAGTCACACTCACGCACCCTATGAATTGTGAGATCATAACTGTGGATCCCAAAAGACACTAGAAGAAATAATTGCGCTAAACAGCCATATTGATATCACAGCGGCAATAACGCGCTTGTGAGTGACACGTTTTTGATATCTGAGATGAAGGTGAACAGCTAAAAACCTGTCCACACTTCTGGTTACAACATTAAAGAATGAAGACATACAAAAGAAATTGATGACGACCGACAATGCCTTGTCTTAAATGCAGTCGATACGTTTTTGTGTTAACCTGCTGACCAAGGTAGAAATGTAGAGTGGTTGGCTCAATAATAATGTTCTCAAAGGTTTTGGTAACAACGCGGTTTTCCTTATCGCATGGATGGTAATAATGTTCAAAAAGATGTTTGTATAAGACAAAAAGCTGTTGAAGACACAACTAGCGACAAGTGCCGGACGAAAATCTTCAAAATCCGCTGAGGTTCCATAAAGAGACTCGTTGAGAATATCGCAAACTTTTGTCGCCACGAGAGCTGAGTGTTAAAACTACAGTGGCCCTGATATTTTTAAATTTTTATGTCATATGTAGCTGTCAGTCACGAGCACAAAACACAGTCGAAGCCATCTGTATGTACATTCAACATGTCTTCAACTCTGGCCTTTGCGTTTCTGAAAAAAAAGCATCGAGTATCGCTTTCATTCGGCGTTAGTTAGAATTAAAACAAATTATCTGTTTAATGCTTCAAGCCATTTTAAGCAAACATGGGGTTTATACCTGAAAAAGTTATTTGAAGGAAAGCTGTCATTAACATATTTTTATCTACCAAAATGAATAAACAAAACATTATAGTTAGTTAAATTAAAGAGCGCTTGACATATGGTTCTTTATTACTTAATTCGTCTGAATACACTGAATACATCTTCAGAGACTGAGCATTTTATGGTTGATGAGGGGTGGGGAGAGAGACCCAAATAATTATTATGAATAAATTACGGACTCGTTTGTGGCGGATCTCGGAGGTAATCAGAATGTTTGGAATATTTTACGGTGGAGGAAACTCCTTTTTTTACAGTCGTTACAGATAGCTTGGGAATATTTTCCGGCAATAGACGATACCTTTATAGTCGCCAACCGCGTGACTACTTCCTTTAACCAAATCCTCACAAGTCCACTTCAGTTCATGAACGGCTGCACTTAGCTCAGAAAAAGTCTAGCAAAGACCATGTAATATTTTTTACATATTTCAACCGAAAGAAATACAGATAAGACATTTTATCAAACAATAATTCTGCATCAAGCGCTTAAACCAAAAGAATAAAGGAATATTTGACTATTGTTTATGCTGATGGCAGATGTAAATTAAAATGAGGGCTGGCTTTTGGGACATCAGTACATGCAAATTAATGTGAAAAATGCAATATGGTGTTTGAATATGAAATACTTTAGTAAAGAAGTAAAGAAAGTAAAGAAGGATTGAAAAACATCGAATCGACAAATGACAGGACTGTAAATTTATTTCGTCCAGAAGTAAAGATTAGTTTGCAAATGAACGGTGTCAAAAACAATCAGGGACTGTATTAGTTTCTCTTTACACCGTAAAGTGATTGGTCAAGAACTTTGTTCCATCTATCAGCTACTCCGAGGCAATCAGAGCCAGTCGTGACTTTACTAATAAATAAGCAAACTGATTTTCTGCTGGTTAAAGTTTGTCCACTATTGCAAATAGAGAATGTTGAATTCAGGTTGTAATGAAAAAAGCAGAACCCTGAAAATTCAGCGCATAAGAATACTCCATCTGAATCTTGTGCTATTATACTTAACGAAAAATGTTATGTGGTGCTATATATTATATAACCATCTATATGTGCAATCATATGAATGCAGACGACTAGGTGACCGATTCCGAGAACGCCTTCGCGACATCGAAAGAAATGACAAGGATACATCCAAACCAGTCGCTAAACACTTTAATCTCCCTACTTATTCTATACAGCATATGGCAGTTTGCAGCCTTTCCTTACATTTTGGCAGTTCGGAAAGCCGCAAAACATTAAAACAAAAATTTATCTTCTAAATCGGCACTCTTAATCCCCACAGTATCAACGAGCGCTTTTGATTCAACTAATTTATTTTTGTTTTCTCGTCACCATATTCCCACCAATAGCGTAACTCCATTTTGTGCATATAAACCCACACACAACCCACAACTCCTCCGATCGCCCTAACGAAGGGCTAACGCTCGAAACGTCAGCCTTTACACTCTACATGGCCAATTTACGTTTTCATCTCAGTTGTTAACTCTAAATTACCTATCTTTATACATACATACATATATATATATATATATATATATATATATATATATATATATATGTATGTATACAAACAAATAAATGCAGGATTTAATATGAAATAAGAATTAAATGATCTTTAAAAAAGTTTGAATAAATTGTTTCCTTGAGCGGCGTTTGAATTCTGCCAATATCCTTTTCCACTTGAGTGACAGGTCTAAGGAATTCCAAAGTTTGATATTCCTAAAACAAATTGTTCTCCGCCGTGTGGTGGATCTGTACAGGAAGATCTGAGGAATCTGGGCATTCCATGTCGATCGATTGGTGACAACTGACTTTAGTGAGAATTTCCAAAAGTGAGTTAACTTTATGCATCTCTAATTTTTCCTATAATGTCAAAGAAAACTGAAGAGAGTCTGAGCGCGTGATTTGCAATCCGGATGTCTGTTGTCTAACTCTAGCCAGCCTCTTCCTGGGAGCAAGGTTGGAGTCGGATGTCATGCTTTGTACATGGCCAACTGGTCTTTCATCGACTGGAGTTACTAAGAAGTTACGTCATGTAATTTGAGGTCTCTTCAGCTCCAAAGAGAATCGTCTTTTTTGAAATAAGTATTTATTTCCTGTGGTAGACAAACACTAAAAAAAGTTTCAACATAACAAAAAAAAAAAATGAGGATAGACAAGAACAGCGGTGATTGGCGCAAGGTAAAATTAAAAAAGGTAAAAGTTGATGCTAAATTTTTCAAAACGGACTAACCATCTTAGTGAAAGACGTAGAGCTCCTTGTATTTTGTTTAATTAGCATAAATGTATAACCCTCTGTCTTTCCTTAAGTAAGTAAGTGTCCGGGTTACTACTGAGAAGGTTGAGACTGAGTCGAACGAACAACCATCAATTCTAGTCGACTTAATATTATTCTTTATATCAGAAACTGCAAAACTAAATTCTGGAAGTCTATGTGTGACTGCAAGCAAGTACCGGCTAAATTCGAACAGGGATACATTTAACTGTAGTAAAAACGCTGATGAACTCGTGGCCCTTATTACACTTTATAATAAAGTTCGGATATAACGCGCGCTGTCATTGGTTGAAAGAGCGTGCTCTATGAGAGTATAGAGCAAAGACCTGAGCTACAGCTGTCACGCCATCTGCCAATTGTACTGTGTTCGACCTTTTCCGGGACTTATTTTTAACTTTTTTCCGATAATTGAAAGAGAACTTTCGGAACTGAAGCGAGCCGGCAAGTAGCAACAGAAGAATCAAACAAAGGTTTGTAAACATACCAGGCGCCGTAATTTACGTTATTAAAACGTGAACAGATACGAAAATCCTCAAAGGAAAAACAAAATAAACATTCCGAGTTTTAAAGATTTTCACGCTCGGTTAGATTGCAAGCTTACGTACGGTAATCAAAAATCAAACACAGCTAACACTCGTATAGTATATAAAGTTCAGTGTTCAAAAACAAAACAGAAATGATGAAAAATATAACCAAACTGGCATAATTATTAAAATTCATACTAATCATGACGGTGTCTGAGCGAATATGATCATGCTGAAGTTCATCGCGGCTCGTTGGCGATCTCCGGTCATCACAGTAAAGCCAGCCTCAGAAAAACTAAAAACTGATGCTTTCCTATAACTGACTCTATAGCTTTATAACAGAACAGAGCACAGTCCTCTATTTGTTAAATTGTTTTGAATTTAATTTCGAGCTATAAACGTTAAATGATTTATTTCATTCCTCCTCAAATGATTTTCCTGAAGTATCTAGGAAGCTTTATGGTTACAGATCACAAAATTTCAATTGGCATCATAAACGAACCCAATTGTGTAGTTTTCCTAAAAAAGTTCATCCATTTAATTTAACCAAGTTTAATTCGAAACAGAAACGAGCCCAACCAATGTGTTACGATTTAATCTAACGGATAGAAAAATACTACAATCCAACAAACTCAACTACTTTATTACACAACGAGTGATATCCTTAATAAGGAGCGACTCTTAAAGGCAGTACAGTACTTATGCTCCATAAACTTACTTAAGCCCACTACAGTCTATATCGTAGCTCGCCACTGAGCACAACACACAGTTTCTTCCGTTTGTTGATATTAAGTATCTTCCAATGTAGCTCTCTCTCACGGTATAGGTTTCTAAACAAACGGTTACTCTCGACAACAACAACAACAACAACTACTACTACTACATAACTGAGTCTTTATATACATTCACAAAAGAACTATCTTAATGATATTACGTGATAATTGGGTGACTTGATGAAATGTTCTAGATAGTTCTATGGCACGCATGTTAGCATGATTAAGCAGTCTGGAGATTTCCAGAAGCTTCTATTTACAATACCAATTATTCATAACAAATGCTAATAAATCGACTAACACAACGTAAATGAGAGTGCGACGAATGGGTTGTTCCAGCAGAACAGGGTTCAAAGACGAGTTGAGGAAAAACAAAGTCGTTGTATGTCCAACGTAGAGAGATTGGACTTGAAACGAATGGGTATAGGAAGGCAAATAACAAATCATGAACACAACACATACATAAAATGTTCCAAGAGCTGACTTTTGCAGCTTCAAAAAGTTTGATAAGTCGCCATTTTGAACTCCCTGTTGTACTTCTTGGATTTGAAGGCCTCGAATCTGGTTTTTGTGTCGCTTTAAGACTATATAAATCCTCCAGTAGACAATTACCACTAGAATGAGGCAAACAGTTATGTTCACGAACCATACGACTGTGAGATGATAAGCAGTGAATCGTAAAAGACACTAGAAGAAATAATTGTGCTAAACAGCTATATTGATATCACCGCTGCAATCACGCGCCTGTGAGTCACAAGCTCTTGATATCTGAGATGAAGGTGAACAGCCAAGAACCTGTCCACACTTATGGTTACAACATTAAAGAGCGAAGATGTACAAAAGAAATTGATAGCGGCCAACAATTTCTTGTAGGAAATGCAGTCGATACGTTTTTTATTTAACCGGCTGACCAAAGTAGAAATGTAGAAAGGTTGGACTAACAAACCAACGCCAACATCGGAGGCAGCCATGCTCAGTAATAATGTTCTCAAAGGTTTTGGCAACAACGTGGTTTTTCTTATCGCATGGATGGTAACGATGTTCAAGATGATGGTTGTATAACACAAAAAGCCGTTGAAGACACAATTAGCGACGAGCACCGGACGAAAATCTTCAACATCCGTAGAGGTTCCAAAGAAAAGCTCGTTGAGATTGTCGCAAACGTTTTCAGCCATGAGATCTGAGCGTTAAAACTACTGTGGCCCTGAAATTTTCCAATTCTAAAAATTGAAAATTTTAAGTCATATGTAGATGTCAGTCACGAGCACAAAACACCATCGAAGCCATCTGTATGTACATTCAAGATGTCTTCATCTCTGCCACATGAATTTTTGAAAAAAGCATCGAGTATCGCTTTAACTCGGCGTTAGTTAGAACTAAAACAATTATCTGTTTAATGCTTCATTACATTTTAACTAAACATGGCATTTACACCTGAAAAAAGTTATTTAGAGGAGGGCTGTCATTAACATATTTTTCACCTATCAAAATGAATATAAGAAACACTATAGTCAGTTAAATTAAAGAGTGTCTGACATATACTTCTTAATTATTAAATTCGCCTGAATACACTGAATTCATCTTCAGAGACCGAGCATTTTATGGTTGATGAGGGGTGGGGAGAGAGACAAAAATAATTATTACGAATAAATTACGCACTCGTTTGTGGCGGATCTAGGAGGTAATCAGAATGTTCGGCAAACTCACTAAACTGAGATAATACCTACAAATTTTTCAATCGTTTTAGAGTAGCTTGGGAATATTTTCCAGTGGTGGATACAGATACAGATACAGATAGCCCTCCCCCCTTATAGACGACCGCGTTCGGCTTTCACTTTGACTACCTCCAGACAAATCTTTAGACAAATCAGACAGATCCACTTCAGTTTATGAACAGCTGCACCTAGCTGAGAAAAAGTTTAGCAATGGCCATTAATATTTTGACATTTTATGAAAATTACGACCATTGTTTTTGTAATGATGGTTCGACGCATTTTTTCATCTTAAAAGTGAGCGCCAACGCACTTTACGAATGTTATTCGGGGATTGTCGACTCATTTATTTTTATTCATTAACGAAGTCGGCTTTTCTTCTCAGTAAAGGGCTACTGTGTTTATATGATAAACAAAATAATACATGGTTGCTTATAGATATGGAATTTCTCTTCTCGTATTCAACGCAACATCTCGCTCGTTCGCTGCTATCGAGTTAAACACTCGAAAAGAAATTCCATATCTACGCGCGCCCATGTATTATTCTCTATATGTTATTTGAGTAATTAAATAAAAGCTTTTTATTAGTACTTCCATGTTTACTGTTTATCAAGAACCACTAGTTAATTCTAACTTTTAAGTCTAAAACCAGCCTTTGACCATTCAGATGAAAGCCACCGCGAATTTTTTCATGTGTTTCAGTTTATTACATTCTTTGAGTGGCTTTAACCACAAACCTTTGAGTTTAGCGGGCCGTACAGTGCTATACAGCCTGCTAAATTGACCAATCATATTCCATGTACTAATCGAGGGATATAGTAATGTTAGTTATCTAGAGCGGGGCATAACGGTTTAGCTCTTATGTTTGTGGACGAAACAGTTACGCGTTACAAATTTTTTGTAAGAAATACTTTATAGATACACTCAAAATTGTTTTACGAATTTGTGCAAAATAAGATTTGTCTCATTTCTCCCTTTCATCCTCTTTTTCTTTCAGGAAGGACTAAGCTCTCATCTTCATTTCCACAAATTTTAAGGAGAGATTATGTTTAAATCGAACCCAGCCAATTCCACTGTAAGCTTTTGGAGTTGTGACAATCGTTAAACCACCATCCCCCCGTTAGATCATTTGAGCAGCTTCCCGTTTTCCACAAGTCGTTTTCCCTGTCTCTGGTGCTGAACATCATGTTGTTATGGTACCTCAACGAATCCCCGTATGTACCATTGTAACCGATGACCGTGATCTTGTAACTGTTTTTTCCTTGTCTACCTTGAACACGTCGTAATGAACGAAAAATCTCTTTCCACTCCAATCCTCCAGCTCGATTCGCAGCTACGTCTCATTTGCTGTGGTGATACGATAAATTTTGTCGTTTCCCAGCCAGAAATTCTTGGCAGACTTTCCGACTTTTTCTGGGGGGGAGGGGTCGGAGGGGTATTGTTACACAAAGCCTTCTTTGCATCTCTTTTTTTACACTTCCAAAGTCTCCAAGTTATAAAAGGCGACAACAAAGGAAATATATAGGAGACCACTTACTCTGTGCAGGCTAACACACAGCTTCTGACAAGAATCCGAACAGCATTTTATTTCACCAAAAAAATCTGAATCCAAACTACACTCGTCGTCAGTCGCATTTCCGCAATCTTCGACCGGGAGAGGAATTGGGCAAATGCCTTCCTTCAAACCCTCTAAAAATGAATAAGTACTTTTTAAAAGGCTTCCTTAAACTAAACCAAGAATGTTAAAGATGGTCATTTGCAATAGGCGCAAATCTACGCAACCCGCAAACACACTGAGAAATGTTAGGTTCATCTTTTCCGTTTGGTTGTTTTTCTATCTTGCTTAACATATACTTTGGTTAAGGAAGGTAAGTTTCTTAAGAAACTGTGGTGCTGCGTCGGTGGGAGAGTATAACAGGGTAATTTAGTATTATCAACTGAGTTAATAACGTAAACTGGCCACCGTAAAGAGTTTTAAAGCTGACGTTTCGAAATACCTGTGCATAGTTAAATTAAGATGGTGTTGAAAATTCTGCCTGACAACAAAAACTGAATCATGGAAAAAACGATCGAAACGAATCAAACGAATTCGGCTAAAGGATTGCAGATGGCCTTGTAATAAAAGTAAGGCGCTAAGAAATTTTATTACGAGACATCCCAATGATTACTATAATTCCTATTATACGTAAAATTCAGATGAGTATTGCTTGCTACACGAGTGGATATCAAATTGCTTATGAGGTACATCTTTGATCAAATCTTATCAGACATAGTGATATATTAGTGATGACGTCATCATTTATGTAACGTCATGTGATCTATTACTGTACAGACTCACGGCAACATGGAACCCATTTGTGTTATTTAATAAAAAAAGAAAAAAACTTGTTCATGGTGACGTCATCTTTGTGTCCGTCCTCCAGTAAGTCATAAGTAAGAGCCATGGTGCGTGACGTATTCAGCTTGCTATATCAACAAAATTGGAGAAACGAGAGTTATGCAGGTGAGATAAACAGCTCTCAAAGGAAGACAAAAGGCAATTTCCAATAGAAATAAAACGTCCCACTTACTCTGCATTACAGCGATATTCACTTCCAACTAAAAAAAAGGTGAAAATTGAGCCTAAATTTTTCAAAACCAACTAACCGTCTGAGTAAAGGCGTAGAGCTCCTTGTACTTTGTGCAAGTAGCATAAAATGTATAACATTCTGTCTTTGCCTTAGTTAGTGATTTCCCGGGTTACTGTTGACAAGGTAAAGAATTTCAGTCCGATGGACAACCATCAAGTCTAGTCGACTTAATGTTATTCTTTATATCAGAAACTGCACAACTGAATTCTGGACGTCTATGTGTGATCGCAAGTAAGTAAAGGCTTTATTTAAAGAGGGTTCTATCTAACTATAGTAAAGACACTGATGAACTCCTGGCCCCTATTACACTATAAAGCGACCTAAAAATCGGTTTTGTATTTAACTCACAGGCTATACACTTCACAAGGTTAAAAATTAACTATCCTATCGACAAGTACAAATATATACATTAATTGATAACAAACTTGAAATAATACTTGAAGCGGCGAGGAAGCTTTCCGATAACAAAAATTACAATTACTACTATATAACTGGGTCCTTATATACATTCAAAAAGTGCTCTGGAACATTCTGGAAGCTTACAAAAGAAGTATTTCAGTAGTATTACGCAATAATTGCGTGACTTGATGAAATGTTCTGGAAAGTTCTATGGTACTCGTGTCAGCATGACTAAGCAGTCCGGAGATTTCTAGAAGCTTATATTTACAACAACAATTACTCATAACAAATGCTATTCTCTGAACCGATTGACGATGCCTCGCATTATGTCCATAAGAGTGCGACGAATGGGTTCCATCTTCCAGCAGTATATAACAGGGTTCAAAGACGAGTTGAGGAAAAACAAAGTCGTTGTATAGAGCCGAGCTTCGTATAAAGAGATCAGGTTTAAAGGGTGAGAAAGGAGTAAAAAAGAGAGAATATAGAAAGGCAAGAAACAAATCAAGAACACAATACATACATAAAATGTTCCAAGAGCTGACTTTCGAAGCTTCAAAAAGTTTGATAAGTCGCCATTTTGAACTCCCTGTTGTACTTCTTGGATTTGAAGGCTTTGAATCTGGTTTTTGTGTCGCTTTAAGACTATATAAATCCTCCAGTAGATAATTACTACTACAATGAGGCAAACAGTCATAATCAAGAGCCATATGACTCGTGAGATGATGTATGGAACCCAAAAGACACTGGAAGAAATAATTGCGCTTAACAGCCATATTGATATCACCGCTGCAATGACGCGCTTGTGAGTCACAAGCTCTTGATATCTGAGATGAAGATGAACAGCTAAGAACCTATCCACACTTATAGTTACAACATTGAAGAGCGAAGATGCACAAAAGAAAGTCATAACGGCCATCAATCCCTTGAAGGAAATGGGGTCGATACGGCTTCGTTTTAACCTGCTGACTAGAATAGAAATATGGAGCGGCTGTGCCAACAAACCGACGCCGACATCGGAGGCAGCCAGGCTCAGTAATAATGTTCCCAAAGGTTTTGGCAACAACGCAGTTTTCCTTATCGCATGGATGGTAACGATGTTCAAAATGATTGTTGTATAACTCAAAAAACTGTTGAAGACACAATTAGCGACAAGTGACGGACGAAAACCTTCGACATCCGCAGAGTTTCCAAAGAAAGATTCGTTGAGAAGGTCGCTAACGTTTTTCGCCATGAGAGCTGAGCGTTAAAACTACAGTGGCTCTGATATTTTCCAATTCTAAAACGGAAAATTTTAAGTCATATGTAGCTGTCAATCACGAGCACAAAACACAGTCGAAGCCATCTGCACCTACAGTCAAGATGTCTTCAACTCCGGCATTTGAATTTTTGAAAAAAGCATCGAGTATCGCTTTCACTCGGCGTTAGTTAAAACTAAAACAAATGATCTGTTTAATGCTTCAAGACATTCCAACTAAACATGGGACTTATACTTGGAAGAAGTTATTTGAAGGAAAGCTGTCATTAACATATTTTTTTTTTTATCTATCAAAAGGAATAAACAAAAAAACATTATAGTCAGTTAAATTAAAGTGCAGTTAACATATGTTTCCTCATTAGTTAATTCGCCTGAATACACTGAATTTTATCTTCAGAGACCGAGAATTTTATGGTTGGCGAGGGGTGGGGAGAGAGACAAAAATAATTATTACGAATAAATTACGCACTCGTTTGTGGCGGATCTAGGAGGTAATCAGAATGTTCGGCAAACTTACTAAACTGAGGTGATACCGGCATATTTTTCAGTCGTTTTAGAGTAGCATGGGAATATTTTCCGGTAGTAGATATTACGGATAGCCCTTCCCCTCCATATAGACGCCAACCGCGTTCGGCTCTCACTTTGACCACCTCCTCACAAGTCCCGTATCCAGTTCAGTTCATAAACAGCTGCACTTGGCTCAGAAAAAGTTTAGTGATGGCCATGTAATGTTTTTACATATTTCAACCGAAAGAAATACAGATAAAACATTTTATCAAACAATAATTCTGCATAAGACGCTTAAACAAAAAGAATACAGGAAGTTTGTCTATTGTTCGTGTAGACGGCAGATGTAAATTAAAAATGATGGCTGGTTTTTTTGTGACATCAATACATGAAAATTAAGTGTGAAAAATGCAATATTGTGTTTAGAATATGAAAGACTTTAGGCTGTGAGGCTCAGAAAATAAAGAACGAATGAAAAACAACGATCCGGCAAATAACAGGACCATAAATTTATTTCGTCCAGAGGTAAAGAGTAGTTTGCAAATGAGCGGTGTCAAAAACAGTCAGGAATTGAATTAGTTTCCCTTCACATCGTTAAGTGATTGGTCAAGAGTTTTGCTCCATCTGTCAGCCACTCGAAGCAATTAGGGCCAGTCGCAACTTTACTAATAGATAAATAAAATGATCTTCCATAATTTTTCTCTCTAAATCATATGCATGTTAAAGTTTGTCCTCTGTTGCAAATAGGGAATGTTGAGTTCAGGTTGAAATGAAAAATTCTTGTTTTCCCGTCACCATATTTCCACCGACAGTGTAGCTCATTGTCTGCATATAAACCTACACACAACCCACAACTCCTCCAGTCGCTCTGACGAAGGGCTAACGCTCAAATTGTCAGCCTTTGCACTCTTTACGGTGGCCAATTTACGTTTTCAACTCAGTTGTTAATACTAAATTACCTATAAAAAAAAAATATATATATATATATACATACAAATTAAACGAAAAATTAATATGAAATAAGAAATTAAATTATCTTTAGAAAGGTTGAAAGAAATTGTTCTTTGCCTTGTGATGGATCTGTTCAGGGAGATCTGAGGAATCTGGGCATTCCATGTCGATCGATTAGTGACAACTTACTCTAGTGATAATTTCCATAAGAGCTTTAACTTTATGTATGTTCCCCATGAACTGCCCGTTCAAATCGGAGTTGTGACAATCGTTAAACCACCATCCCCCGGTCAGGTCATTTGAGCAGCTTCCCGTCTTCCACATGTCGTTATCCTTGTCTCTGGTGCTGAACATCATGTTGTTATGGTAACTCAACGAATCCCCGGATGTACCATTGTAAGCGATGACCGTGATCTTGTAGTTGTTCTTTTCGTTGTCTACATTGAACATGTTGTAATGAGCGAAAACTTTCTTTCCACTCCAATCCTCCAGCTCGATTGGCAGCAACATCTTATTTGCTGCGGTAATACGATGAATTTTGTAATTTCCTAGCCAGAAATTCTTCCCAAAGTCTCCAAAGCCTGATCTATAGTAATTCCAGGTGCGATGGAAGCTGACAGATGCATGCTGTCGCCTTTGGAACACGATCCATCCTCAACTGTCTGTTGCTAGGTCGCAATACACCTCAAACTCTGTTTTTTTGTCAGAGTTTATTGTATAAACACCACTAGTGTTGTAGCCAGCATAAAGGATGTCATTGCATCCTTTCACTACACAAACCAAGAATTGAATTGTGTTTTTGTGCTGAGTGGGAGGGCCGGACGAAAATATTTAGCTTGAGGTAATAACCAACGGACCGAGCGCAGAAAGGTCACTGCGTCGTGACCATGAGGCAAATGATATAGATGGGGGCGAATTGGTTATATTAGATGAAGAGGCGAACTTTTCTTGATGGGGGCGAACTGGAAGGCGGCGAACTCGTAATGGAGCGACACCTCTGTGAACCACACCGTCCTAAACGGTATGTAGTACTCGTGAAATAATGACAGCGCACTTACGAGGTCTGTTAATTACAGAAAAAGTTAAGGCTTCCACTTTCAAGGAAGTCGTCACTATGCTTGAATAGCAAACTTTCCAACTTTTTTGCGGCGGAAGGGGGGCGCACGGACATTGTTTCATGAAGCCTTTTCTTTTTTTCACCTCTTTGTGTACACTTCCAAAGTCTCCAAGTTACACAAGGCGACAACAAAGGAAATATATAGGAGACCACTTACTTTGTGGAGGCTGAACACACAGCTTCTGACAAGAATCCGAACAGCATTTCATTTCACAAAAACAATCTGAATCCATAGTACACTCGTTATCAGTCTTATTTCCGCAATCTTCGACCGGGAGGGGAATGGGGCAAATGCCTTCCTTCAAACCCTCTAAAAGTAAATGAGTAGTTTTTTAAAGGGCTTCTTTAAACTTAGCCAATAATTTTAAAGATGGTCAATTAAAATCCACACAACCCTCAAACACATTGAGAAATTTTTTAGGTTTATCCTTTCTATTGGTTGTTTTTCTATCTTCCTTAACATGTATTGTGATTAAAGAGGGTACTGCGACGGTGGGAGAGTATAACAAGGTAATTTAGTATTATCAACTGGGTTAATAACGTAAAATGGCCATCGTAAAAAGTTTTAAAGCTGACGTTTCGAGCGTTAGCCCTTCGTCAGAGCGATTTACGTGTCTCGAGAAGGTTGTCGTTAAAAACGATTCAAAATACCCGTGCATAGTAGAATTAAGATGGTATTGAAAATTCTGCCAGATGCTCAAGCAACAAAAAATAAAACATGGAAAAAGCGATCAAAACGAATCAAATGAATTCGGCTAAAGGAAATCAGATGGCCTCTTAATAAAAGTAAGGCGCTAAGAAATGTTATTACGGGATATCCTAATAATTGCCATAATTCCTATTACTAAAATTCAGATGCGCATTGTTTGCTACACGAGTGGATATGAAATTCCATATGAGGTACGTTTTTGATCAAATCTCACTAGACATAGTAACAGATCAGAGATGAAGTCATACTTTATGTAACATCCTGTGGTTCATTACTGTACAGAGTCACAGCAACATGGAATCCATTTGTGTTATTTGATAAAAAAAGAAAAAGATTGTTCGTGGAGACGTCATCTTTGTGTCCGTCCTCTAGTAAATCATAAGTGAGAACCATGATGCGTGAGGTAATCATCTTGCTACATTAACAAAATTGGAGAAACTAGATTTATGTAGGTGAGACAAACTCCTCTCAAAGGAAAACAAAAGGCAGCCTCCCATATAGTTTAGGAATTCCAATTAAATAAACGTACTCTGCATCACAGCGAGATTCACTTCCAACTAAAAAAGGTGAAGGTTGAGGCTAAAATTTTCAAAATGGACAAACCGTCTGAGTTAAAGGCGTAGAGATCCTTTTACTTTGTGTAATTAGCATTAAATGTATAATTGTCTTTCTTTCCCTGAGTAGATAAGTGCACGGGTTATTATTGACAAGGTTAAGACTTTTAGTCGAATGGACAACCATCAAGTCTAGTCGACTTAATATTATTCTTTATATCAGAAACCGCTCAACTGAATTCTAAAAGTCTATGTGTGATCGCAAGAAAGTAAAGGCTCTATCTAAAGAGGGTTACATTTTTTCGTAGTAAAAACACTGATGAACTCGTGGCCCCTATTACACTATAAAGCGACCTAAAAATTGGTTTTGTATTTAATTCACAAGCTATACACTTCACAAGGCTATAAATTTGTTATCCTATCGACGAACAAAAATACGTACATTAATTGATGACAACCTTAAAATCATATTTCAATTAAGAAGGAAGCTTTCTAGTTATTTATAAATTTCTCATACAAAATACGCTTAAAACTAGCAACTGATACTTTCTTAGGCTTGACTCTGTAGTGCTCTATTGTGTAATTTTCCCAACCGCTAAAGTTCTTGGTCTCTCAGTTGTCCTTGGCAAATCAAGCTTGCGATGACCAAGGCTCTTATCTTATGCATTGTGAATTGGCATCAGAAACGAACAATTTCCTGAACCGATTGACGATGCCTCGCATTATGTTCATGCGAGTGCGACGAATGGGTCCCATCTTCCAGCAGTATATAACAGGGTTCAAAGACGAGTTGAGGAAAACCAAAGTCGTTATATAGTGCCAAGCTTCGTGTAAAGTGATTAAACTTAAAGGACGAGCCAGAAACAAAAACAAAAGAATATAAGAAGGTAAATAACAAGGCAAAAACACAATACATACGTAAAATGTTCCAAGAGCTGACTTACTAAGCTTCAAAAAGTTTGATAAGTCGCCATTTTGAACTCCCTGTTGTGCTTCTTGGATTTGAAGGTCTTGAATCTGGTTTTTGTGTCGCTTTAAGAATGAAGCAAACAGTCATAATCAACAACCTTATGACTTGAGAAATGATAAACAATGGAGCCCAAAAGAGATCAGAACAAATAACTGCGCTAAACAGCCATTTTAAAACCACCGCTGCAATGACGCGCTTGTGAGTCACAAGCTCTTGATATCTGAGATGAAGGTGAACAGCTAAGAACCTGTCCACACTTATGGTTACAACATTCAAGAGCGAGGATATACAAAAGAAATTCATAGCGGCCAACAATATTTTATAGGAAATGCAGTCGATACTGTTTTTTATTTAACCGGCTGACCAAAGTAGAAATGTAGAGTGGTTGGACCAACAAACCAACCCCAACATCGGAGGCAGCCAGGCTTAGTAATAATGTTCTCAAAGGGTTTGACAACAACGCGGTTTTCCTTATCGCATGAATGGTAACGATGTTCAAAATGATGGTTGTATAAGACAAAAATCTGTTGAAGACACAATTAGTGACAAGCACCGGACGAAAATCTTTAACATCCAAAGAAAAGCTCGTTGAGATAGTCGCAAACGTTTTCAGCCATGAGATCTGAGCGTTAAAACTACGGTGGCACTAATATTTTCCGATTATAAAAATGAAAATTTTAAGTCATATGTAGATGTCAGTCACGACCACAAAACACCATCGAAGCCGTCTGTACGTACATTCAAGATGTCTTCATCTCTGGCATTTAAATTTTTGAAAAAAGCATCAAGTATCGCTTTAACTCGGCGTTAGTTAGAACTAAAACAAATTTTTTTTTAATGCTTCAAGACATTTTAACTAAGCATGGCATTTCCACCTGAAAAAAGTTATTTGAAGGAAGGCTGTCATTAACATATTTTTCATCTATCAAAATGAATAAACGAAACATTCTAGTCAGTTAAAATCAAAGAGCGCTTGACAGATGCTTCTTTATTATTAAATTCGCATGAATACACTGAATACATCTTCAGAGACCGAGCATTTTATGGTTGATGAGGGGTGGGGAGAGAGACCCAAATAATTATAACGAAGAAATTACGCACTCGTTTATGGCGGATCTAGGAGGTAATCAGAATGTTCGGCAAACTTACTAAACTGAGATAATACCTACATATTTTCAGTCGTTTTAGAGTAGCTTGGGAATATTTTACGGTAATAGATATTACAGAAAGCCCTTTCCCACCTTAAAGACGCCAACCGCGTTCTGCTCTCACTTTAACCACCTGCTCACATGTCCCGGATCCACTTCAGTTTATGAAAAGCTGCACTTAGCTCAGGAAAAGTTTAGCAATGGTCATGTAATATTTTTAGATATTTCAACCGAAAGAAATACAGATAAGGCATTTTATCAAACAATAATTCTGCATCAAGCGCTTAAACAAAAAGAATACAGGAAGTTTGAATATTGTTCATGTTGACGGCAGATGTAAATTAAAAATGAGGGCGGGCTTTTTTTGTGACATCAATAGATATAAATTTAGTGTGTAAAATGCGCTGGAAACTAACAACTGTTACTTTCTTATACTTGACCCTATAGTACCTCATTGCGTAGTTTTCATAACCGTTGAATTTCATCCTCCCTCAGTTTTCCTTAAGCACTTTCGACAAATCAAGTTTTATTTGACGATGGCTGAGGCTCTTATCCCGTGCATTGTAAATTGACATCAGAAACGAACCCAACCAATGTGTTACGGTATAATCAAACCGAAAGAAAAACACAGCAATCCTACAAACTCAACTACTATATGAAACAATAATTCTTGATAAGGAGTGACTCTTAAAGGCAGTACAGTATTTATGCTCCATAAACTTACTTAAGCTCACGACAGTCTATATCTTAGCTCGCTACTGAGCAGAGCTCACAGTTTCCTCCAACTTTTCTTGAAATTAGCAATCTTGAACTGTAGCTCTCTCTCACGGTATAGCTTTCTAAACACTCGGTCACTCCTAACAACAACAACGACTACTACTACTACATAATTGGGTCGTTATATACATTCACAAGGTCTTCGGGAACATTCCAGAAGCTTACAAAAGAACATATTTCAATAATATTACGTAATAATTGCTTGACTTGATGGAATCTTTTAGAAAGTTCTATGATACGCATGTCAGCATGACCAAGCAGCCTGGAGACTCTTAGCAACTTATATCTGCAACAACAATAACTTATAACAAATGTTATTCTCTGAACCGATTGACGATGCTTCGCATTATGTCCATGAGAGTGCGACGAATGGGTCCCATCTTCCAGCAGTATATAACAGGGTTCAAAGACGAGTTGAGGAAAAACAAGGTAATTGTATAGGGCGAAGCTTCGTAATAGGAGATTGGACTTAAAAGGCGAGCCATGAATAAAAAATAGAGAATATAGGAAGGCAAATAACAAATCAAGAACACAATACATACATAAAATGTTCCAAGAGCTGACTTTCGAAGCCTCAAAAAGTTTGATAAGTCGCCATTTTGAACTTCCTGTTGTACTTCTTGGATTTGAAGTTCTTCAATCTGGTTTTTGTGTCGCTTTAAGACGATATAAATCCTCCAGTAGACAGTTACTACTAAAATGAGGCAAACTGTCACAATCACGAGCTCAATGACTTGTGAGATAATAAACAATGAATCCCAAAAGACACTAAAAGAAGTAATTGCGCTAAACAGCCATATTGATATCACCGCTGCAATGACGCGCTTGTGGGTCACACGTTCTTGATATCTGAGATGAAGATGAACAGCTAAGAACCTATCCACACTTATGGTTACAACATTCAAGAGCGAGGATATACAAAAGAAAGCGATGACGGCGAGCAATCCCTCGTAGGAAGTGCAGTCGATACGTTTTTGTGTTAACCAGCTGACCAAAGTAGAAATATAGAGTGGCTGTGCCAACAAACCAACCCCAACATCGGAAGCAGCCAGGCTCAGTAATAATGTTCTCCAAGGTTTTGGCAACAACGCGGTTTTCCTTATCGCATGGATGGTAACGATATTTAAAATGATGGTTGTATAAGACAAACAGCTGTTGAAGACACCAGGAGCGAAAAGTGCCGGACGAAAATCTTAAACACCCGCAGAGGTTCCAAAGAAAGACTTGTTGAGAAGGTCGCAAACGTTTTCCGCCATGAGAGCCGAGCTAATATTTTCCGGTTCTAAAACGGAAAATTTGAAATCATATGTAGCTGTCAATTTCGAGGATAGAACACAATCGAAGCCATCTGCACGTACATTCAAGATGTCTTCAACTCTGCGGAATTTGAATTTTTGAAAGTAAAGAGTACTGCTTTAACTCGGCGTTGGTTAGAACTCAAACAAATTATCTGTTTGATGCTTCTAGACATTTTAACTAAACATGGCATTTCGAAGGAAGGCTGTCATTAACATATTTTTCACTATCAAAATAAATAAACGAAACATTATAGTCAGTTAAATGAAAGAGTGCTTGACATATGTTTCTTCATTATTAAATTCGCCTGGATACACTGAATTCATCTTCAGAGACCGAATATTTTATGGTTGGTGAGGAGTGGGGAGAGAGACCCAAATAATTATTACGAATAAATTACGCACTCGTTTGTGGCGGATCTAGGAGGTAATCAGAATGTTCGGCAAACTTACTAAACTGAGGTGATACCGGCATATTTTTCAGTCGTTTTAGAGTGGCTTGGGAATATTTTCCGGTAGTAGATATTACAGATAGTCCTTCCCCCTTATAAACGCCAACCGCGTTCGGCTCTCACTTTAACCGCCTCCTCACAAGTCCCGTATCCACTTCAGTTCATGAACGGCTGCACTTATCTCAGAAAAAGTTTAGCAATGACCATGTAATACTTTTACATATTTCAACCAAAAGAAATACAGATAAGACATTTTATCAAACAATAATTCTGCATCAAGCGCTTAAACAAAAGGAATACAGGAAGTTTGACTATTGTTTATGCTGACGGCAGTTGTAAATTGATGGCTGACTTTTTTGTGACATCAATAGATAGCCTATTAGGGTCAGAAAGTAAAGAACGAATGAAAAACAACGAGTCGGCAAATAACAGGACCATAAATTTATTTCGACCAGAGGTAAAGAGTAGTTTGCAAATGAGCGGTGTCAAAAACAGTCAGGAATTGTATTAGTTTCACTTTACATCGTAAAGTGATTGGTCAAGAGTTTCGCTCCATCTGTTAGCTACCCCAAAGCAATTAGAGCCAGTCGCGACTTTACTAATAAATAAACAAAATGACTTTCCTTAATTTTTCTCTCTAAATAATCTGCTGGTTAAAGTTTGTCCATTGTCGCATATAGAAAATGTTGAATTCAGGTTGTATTGAAAAAAGTGATTAATCTATGTTTTCAACTCCCTTGTTAGCACTAAATTACCTATATATACATGTATGTATATATATATATATATATATATATATATATATATACATACATACATACAAATAAATGCCAAAATTAATATGAAATAAGAAATTAAATGATCTCTCAAAAGGTTAAAATAAATTATTTTATAAGCAGCGTTTTAATTCTGTCAATGTCCTTTTCCACTTGAGTGACATGCCTAAGGAATTCCAAACTTTGGCTTTTCTAAAATAAATTGTTCTTCGCCTTGTGGTGGATCTGCACAGGGAGATCTGAGGAATCTGGGCGTTTCTTGTCGATCGATTAGTGACAACTGACTTTCGTTAAAAGTTCTATAAGAGCGTTAACTTTATGCATCACAAATTTTTCTTATAATGGCAGAGGGAGCTAAACTGGATCTGAGCACGTGATTCGCAATCCAGATGCTAGCCAGCCTCCTCATGGGAGCGAGGTTGGAGTCTGACGTCATTCTTTGTTCATAGCCAACTGGTCTTCCACCGACTGGAGTTATTAAGAAGCAACGTTTTGTAATTTGAGGTCTCTTCAGCTAAGCGTTTGTTTGCTGGGCTAGTCAAACACTGAAAAAAGTTTCAATGTACCAAAAAAAAAACCGAGGATAGACAAGAACAGCGGTGATTGCCGCGGGGTACAATTAAAAAGATGAAATTGGTGATAAATTTTTAAAAACGGACTAACCGTCTGAATGAAAGGGGTAGAGCTCCTTATACTTCTTGTTACTAGCATAAAATGTATAACCTTCTGTCTTTCCCTAAGTAAGAAGGTGAGTGCCCGGGTTACTATTGACAAGGTTGAGACGTTTAGTCAAACGGAGAACCGTCAAGTCTAGTCGACTTAATATTATTCTTTACATCAGAAAATGCCAAACTAAATTCTGGAAGTCTGTGTGTGATCGCAAGCAAGTAGCGGCTTTATTCGAAGAGGGTTACATTTAACTGTAGTTAAAACACTGATGAGTTCGGGACCCTTATTAAAGCGACCTAAAAATCGGTTTTGTATTTAATTCACAAGCTATATACTCAACATGGTTAAAAGTTTACGATCCTATCGCCAAGTACAAATACATACATTAATTGATGACAACCTTAAAATCATATTTAGAGTAGCGAGGAAGCTTTCTGGTTATTTTTAAATGTCTTACACAAATGTGCTTGAAACTAGTAACCGATACTTTCTCATGTTTGACTCTGTAGTACTCCATTGTGTAATTTTCCTAACCGTTATTTAAAGTTCGTCCTCCCTCAGTTTTCCTTAAGTACTTTTGACAAATCAAGTTTGATTTTACCATGGTCGAAGCTCTTATTCCATCCATTGTGAATTGGCATCAGAAACGAACCCAGCCAATGCTATTCTCTGACCTGATTTACGATGCCTCGCATTATGTCCATGAGAGTGCGACGAATGGGTCCCATCTTCCAGCAGTATATAACAGGTTTCAAAGACGAGTTGAGGAAAAATAAAGTCAGTACATAGAGCCGAGTTTCATGTAAAGAGATTAGACTTATAGGGCGAGCCAGGAGTAAAAAATGGAGAATATAGCAAGGCAAATAACAAATCAAGAACAAAATACATACAAAAAGTGTTCCAAGAGCTGACTTTCGAAGCTTCAAAAAGTTTGATAAGTCGCCATTTTGAACTCCCTGTTGTACTTCTTGGATTTGAAGGCTTTCAATCTGGATTTTGTGTCGCTTTAAGACTCTATAAATCCTCCAGTACACAATTACTACCAGAATGAAGGAAACAGTCATAATCACGACCCCAATGACTTCTGAGCTGATGAGCAATGGATCCCAAAAGATACCAGAAGAAATGACTGCGCTAAACAGCCATATTAATATCACCGCTGCAATGACGCGCATGTGAGTCACAAGCTCTTGATATCTGAGATGAAGATGAACAGCTAAGAACCTGTCTACACTTATAGTTACTATATTTAAGAGCGAGGATGTACAAAAGAAAGTGATTGCGGCCAACAATCCCTTGTAGGAAATGCAGTCGATACGTTTCTGTTTTAACCGGCTGACCAAAGTATATATGTAGAAAGGTTGAACCAACAAACCAGCGCCAACATCGGAGGCAGCCAGGCTTAGTAATAAAGTTCTCAAAGGTTTTGGCAACAACGCAGTTTTCCTTATCATATGGATGGTAATAATGTTCAAAAAGATGTTTGTATAAGACAAAAAGCTGTTGAAGACACAGTTAGCGACAAGCGCCGGACGAAAATCTTCAACATCCGCGGAGGTTCCATAGAAAGACTTGTTGAGAATGGTGCAAACGTTTTCCTCCATGACAACTGGGCGCTAAAACTACAGTGGCTCTGATATTTTCCGATTTTAAGACGGAAAATTTTAGTCATATGTAGCTGTCAGTCACAAGCATAGAACACAATCGAAGCCATCTGTACGTACATTCAAGATGTCTTCAACTCTGCGGCATTTGAATTTTTGAAAAAAGCATCCAGTACCGCCTTAACTCGGCGTTGGTTAGAACTAAAACAAATCATTTGTTTGATGCTTCAAGACATTTTAAATAAACATGGAATTTATACCAGAAAAAAGTTATTCGAAGGAAGGCTATCATTAACATATTTTTCATCTATCAAAATGAATAACGAAACATTATAGTCAGTTAAATTAAAGTGTTTGACAGATGCTTCTTTATTATTAAATTCGTCTGAATACACTGAATACATCTTCAGAGACCGAGCTTTTTATGGTTGGTGAGGGGTGGGGAGAGAAACCCAAATAATTATTACGAATAAACAACGCATTTGTTTGTGGCGGATCTTGGAGGTTTACAGAATGTTGGGCAAATTTACTTAACTGAGATAATACCGGCATATTTTTCAGTCGTTTTAGAGTAGCTTCTTGGGAATATTTTCAGGTGGTGGATTATTTCCAGATAGCCCTCCCTCCCCCCTCATAGACGACCGCGTTCGGCTCCCACTTTGATCACCTCCTCACAAGTCCCGGATCCACTTTAGCTCATAAACAATACTAAGCTCAGAAAAAGTCTTGCAAAGGCCAGGTAATATTTTGACATCTCTCAACCGATAGAAATACAGATGAGACATTTTATCAAAGAATAATTCTGCACTAAGCGCTTAAACGAAAAGAATACAGGAAGTTTGACTATTGTTCATGTTGGCGGCAGATGTAAATTAAAAATGACGGCGGGCTTTTTTGTAACATTAATACATGTAAATTAGAGGTGGAAAATGCGATATTGTGTTTGCATATGGAAGACTTTAGCCTGTTAGCGTCAGTAAGTAAAGAAAGAATAAAAAAACATCCAATCGGCAAATGACAGGAGTATAAATTTATTTCGTCGAGAAATAAAAAGAAGTCTACAAATGAGCGGTGTCAGGGATTATAGTAGTTTCGATTTACATCGTAAAGTGATTGGTCAAGAATTGTGCTCCATCTGTCAGCTACTCGGAAGCAAATTAAAGCCAGTCGCCACTTTGTTAATAAATCAACAAAATGATTCTCCTAAATTTTTCTCGCTAAATAATCCCGTGGTTGAAGTTTGTCCACTATTGCAAATAGAGAATCTTGGATCCAGGCTGTATTGAAAAAGCAGAACCCTGAAATTGTGTGGATAAGTCAGAATACTCCATTTAAATTTTGTGTCATTATACTTGACGAAGGCTGTTGTCACGAGGTTCTGTATGTTATGCAACCATATATATTTGTGTGTGCAATCATATAAATGCAAATGGCACTGTTTGCAATTAGGTGAGAAGGAATTCCTATCATTACGCCTGTAAATAAGACGCATTCAAACGAAGGGTGCTGAGTTTTTTTTTTAATTTACTGTCCCAGGTGATTCTAGCTTGGTGTGGATGACAATCTAGTGTTTGACCATTTAAATGAAAGCTACGGCGTAGTACTTTAATGAGGTACAGTTTATTATGCGGCACAATTATGGTTCTGGCCTTAACAGTACTTCCATGTTTACTGTTTCTAAAGAACCACTAATTAATTCCAAATTTAAAGTCTATCGATGAAACTCTAGCGTTTGACCATTCAAATGAAAGCCACCGAGAAGTTTTTTCATGCGTTTCAGTTCATTATATCCTTCAAGGTGGTTTTAACCACAAACCTTTGAGTTAAGCGGGCCGTAGAGTGATAGACAGAAATAAATTGACCAATCATAGCCCACTTACTAACCGAGAGATATAATAATTTTAGTTATCTAAAGCGGGGCATAACGGTTTATGTTTATGTTTATGTTTCTGAACGAATTTTTTGTAACAAATACTTTATAAAAATTGCTTCACGAATTTGTGCGAAAAAGATTTGTTTAAATCGAACCCAGCCAATACCACTATAAGCTTTCGTGTTCCCCATGAACTGCCCGTTCAAATTGGAGTTGTGACAATCGTTAAACCGCCATCCCCCAGTCAGGTCATTTGAGCAGCTTTTCGGTGAACTGGAAGGCGGCCAACTTGCAATAGAGCGACATCTCTGAAAATCACACCGTCAACTGAACGGTATGGTGTAATCGTGATATAATAACGGCGCACCTAGGAGGTCTGTTAAAAACAGAAAGAGTTAAGGCTTACACTTTTAAAGAAGTCATCACTATGCTTGAGTAGCAAGCTTTCCGACTTTTTCCCCGGGGGGAGGGGGGACAAGTCTCTTTGCAACTACAATTACTTGAAATAAAATGAAGAGGCTTCTTTGGAAAAAAAGAAAAAACTTGACGAAAAGTTTTTCCTCTCTTCCCTTATCTCAGGTTTTTTCAGTATGTTGTTAAAGTAAACAGCTGTTGTCTTTTCTTTCTAATCTCTCGAGCGTTTCTTATAACGATGCCCTTTTCGTTAATTTGAATACCAAACATGAAGATTTGACGAATACTAAAAGTGATATGACTGCATGCAATTATTCAAATCAACGCAAATGGCATTGTCAGTAACTCTAGAATGAAAACAAAATACAACAGCTGTCAACTTCGAATTCATACGTCGAGCGTGACACAAAACCGGTACGACTAAGGGTAATATTTCGCAGTCTCTTCACTTCACTCAAAGTTCATCGCCTCATTATTTTATCAAGAGAAATTTCGAAGACATTCTATCCTGTAACTTTCTAGATAATAAGATCTACCTTCGAGTTAGTGTCCACGAAGTGTAATATTAAAGATTACTCTTGATTCCCCAAGCCGCACCACGTCATTGATAGCAGGAACTGTTTTCAAATTAAGTACAAAAGTTAAGAGTATATTACAAGTTAATCTAAAGAAAAGCGGATATAACTCATTCAATTCAACTGATTTCAGAGCTCTTTTTGTTAACAGTGTAATAGCACAGCTGATAAATCACTGATAAACATAGGGGCATCATAACTTTAAAATGGCTGCATTTGATTGGCTGAGGTACTCTTTGGGTGTTTTTTTTTTTTCAATATATAACTTTCAATACCTTTGTGAATCATTTTATATGAAAAAAGATACTTCGTTCTGTTTTTCGTCAAAAGATATTCCATATACCTCAGAGGAGCTTCTTTTCCAGTTTCAGGCAGTTTAACACGACATTAATATTGTGGGTCGACATTAATTAATCGCCATTATCTCTGCATAATATCTCTCTCAGCTCGATTGACACAAATGACCAGCTCCTTGTATCAAAAATAGCCTTCAAGTGAAATTTTTTCTTTCGAGCGATAATCTTTGTCCCAACACACTTACTAAGAAAGCAGTTGAACGCTAGATCATCATGGCTGAATCAAACTGTGGAATATTACTCAAGAGTTACCCCAAAATCTCCGAGTTTGAAATCTCATTTTTTATCGTAAACTGTGTTTTCAACAGTTTCATCCGCTACACAGCAACCATGTTAAACTTTGCCACAATCTATGTGCAAAAACGTCTGCGTAGCCGAAACCTTTCAAAAGTGATCCACTTGGACGTTCCCTGTGGATCGATCTGTAACAACTGACTTTAGTGAAAATTTCCAAAAGTGCGTTAACTTTATGCATCACTAATTTTCTCTTATAATGGCAGAGAGAACTAAAGTGGACCTTAACGCTTAATTTGCAATCCGGATGTCTGTGGCCTGACTCTAGCCAGCCTCCTCCTGGGAGCGAGTTTGGAGTCTGACGTCATGGTTTGTACATAGCCAACTGGTCTTCCGCCGACTGAAGCTAGTGAGAAGCTACGTCATGTAATTTGAGGTCTTTTCTGACAAAAAAAGCAAGGATGGCCCAGAACATTGATTGATTGGTGCAAGGTACAATTAAAAAAATGTGAAAATTAATACTAAATTTTTCAAAACGGACTAAATGTCTGAGTAAAAGACATAGAGCTCCTTGTACTTTGTGTAATTAGCATAAAATGTCTAACCTTCTGTCTTTGCCTAAGTAAATAAGTACTTGGGGTTGCTATTGCTAATGTTGAGACTTTTTGTCGAATGAACAACCATCAAGTCTATTCGACTTAACTTTATTCTTTATATTGGAAACCGCACAACTTAATTCTGAAAGTCTATGCGTGATCGCAAGTAAATATAGGTTCTGTTCAAAGATTTATCTTTAGTAAAAACACTGATGAACTCGTGGCCCTTATTACATTATAAAGTGACCTAAAAATCGGTTTTGTATTTAATTCACGAGCTATACACTTCACAAGGTTAAAAATTTATAATCCCTTCGACAATTAAAAATACATACATTAACTAATGGCATAACCTTGAAATTATATTTCAAGTAGCGAGGAAGACATCTGCATGGTCATTAATAAATTTCTCTTACAAATGTGCTTGGAACTAGCAACTGATGCTTTTTTATGCTTGTCTCTATAGTACCTCATTGTGTAGTTTTCCTAACCGTTAAAGTTCATCTTACGGTATAGCTTTCTAAAAAAAACAACAACTACTACTACATAACTAGGTCTTTATATACATTCACAAAGTGTTCTGGAACATTCCAAAAGCTTACAAAAGAACTATTTTAATAATATTACGTAATAATTGCGTGACTTGATGACATGTATTAGAAAGTTCTTTGGTACGCATATCACCATGACTAAGCAGTCTGGAGATTTCTGGAAGCCTATATTTACAACAACAATTACTTATAACAAATGCTATTCTCTAAACCAATTGACAATGCCTCGCATTATGTCCATGAGAGTGCGACGAATGGGTCCCATCTTCCAGCAGTATATAACAGGGTTCAAAGACGAGTTGAGGAAAACTAAAGTCACTGTATGGGGCCAAACTTCGTTTAAAGAGATTGGACTAAAAGGATAGGCCAGGTAAAAAAAAAGGAGAATATAGTATGGCAAATAACATATCAAGGACACAATACATACATAAAATGTTCCAAGGGCTGACTTTCTAAGCCTCAAAAAATTTGATAAGTCGCCATTTTGAACTCCCTGTTGTACTTCTTGGATTTGAAGGCCTTCAATCTGGATTTTGTGTCGCCTTAAGACTATATAAATCCTCCAGTAGACAATTACCACCAGAATGAGGCAAACAGTCATGTTCACGACCCTTATGACTCGTAAGATGAAAAACGATGGAACCCAAAAGACACTAGAAGAAATAATTGCGCCTAACAGCCATATTGATATGACGGCGGCAATGACGCGCTTGTGAGTCACAAGCTCTTGATATCTGAGATGAAGGTGAACACCTAAGAACCTGTCCACACTTATGGTTGCAACATTCAAGAGTGAAGATGCGCAAAAGAAATTGATAACGACGTACAACCCCTTGTAGGAAATGCAGTCGATACGTTTTCGTTTCCAACCGCTGACCATAGTAGAAATGAAGAGCGGTTGGACCAACAGACCAACGCCAACATCGGAGGCAGCCATGCTCAGTAATAATGTTCTCAAAGGTTTTGGCAACAACACGGTTTTCTTTATCGCATGGATGGTAACGATGTTCAAAATGATGGTTGTATAACACAAAAAGCTGTTGAAGACACAATTAGCGACAACTAACGGACGAAAATCTTCAACATCCGTAGAGGTTCCAAAGAAAAGCTTGTTGAGAATGTCGCAAACGTTTTCCGCCATGACAACTGAGCGTTAAAACTACTGTGGCTTCGAAACGGAAAATTTCAAGTCATATGTATCTGTCAATCACAAGCATATAACACAATCGAAAGCATCTGTATGTAAATTCAGGATGTCTTCAACTCTGGCGTTTGAATTTTTGAAAAAGGCATCGAGTATCGCTTTAACTCGGCGTTGGTTAGAACTAAAGCAAATTATTTGTTTAATGCTTCAAGACATTTTAACTAAACATGGGATATATATCTGAAAAAAGTTATTTGAAAGAAAGCTGTCATTAACATATATTTCATCTATCAAACTGAATATACGAAACATAATAGTCAGTTAAATTAAAAAACGCTTGACATTTGTTTTTTGTCATTAAATTTGCCTGAATACACTGAATACATCTTCAGAGACCGAACATTTTATGGTTGATGAGGGGTGGGGAGAGAGACCAGAATAATTAATACGAATAAATTACACACTCGTTTGTGACGGATCTAAGAGGTAATCAGAATGTTAAGCAAACTCACTAAACTGAGATAATACCGACATATTTTTCAGTCGTTTTACAGTAGCTTGGGAATATTTTCCGGTGGTGGATTTTTACAGATAGCCCTTATAGACGCCGACCGCGTTCGGCTCTTTCTTTAATCACCTCCTCACAAGTCCCGGATCCACTTCAGTTCATGAACAGCTGCACTTAGCTCAGAAAAAGTTTAGCAATGGCCATGTAATATTTTGATATATTTCAACCGCAAAAAATACAGATAAGACATTTATCAAACAATAATTCTGCATCAAGCGTTTAAACCAAAAAAATACAGGAAGTTTGACTATTGTTTATGCTGATGGCAGATGTAAATTAAATATGTTGGATGGCTTTTTTGTGACATCAATAGATGTAAATTAACTGTGAAAAATGCAATATTGTGTTTAGAATATGAAAGACTTTAGCCTGTTAGGCTCAGAAAGTAAAGAAGGAATGAAAAACAACGAATCGACAAATGACAGGACTATAAATTTATTTCGTCCGGAGGTAAAGAGTAGTTTGCAAATGAGCGGTGTCAAAGACAGTCAGGGATTGTATTAGTTTCTCTTTACATCGTAAAGTGATTGGTCGAGAATTTTGCTCCATCTGTCAGCTACTCCGAAGCAATTAGAGCCAGTCGCGACTTTACTAATAGATAGACAAAATAATTTTTCTTAATTTTTCTCTCTAAATCAACTGCTGGTTAAAGTTTGTCCACTATTGTAAATAGGGAATGTTGAATTCAGGTTGTATTGAACCCAAACAATTCAGCGCTTATCTGAATCTTGTGCCATTATACTAAACGAAAAGTGTTATGTGGTGCTATGCATTATGCAACCATCTACATGTACAATCATATGAATGCAGGCGACTAGGTGACCGACTTCGAGAACACCTTTGCGACATACAAAGAAATGACAAGGACGCATCCAAACCAGTCGCTAAACACTTTAATCTCCCTACTTATTCTATGTAGCACATGGCAGTTCCGGCCTTTCCCTAAATTTAGGCACTTCAGAAAGCCGCAAAACACTAGCACAAAAAATGTATCTTCCAAATCGGCACTCTTAATCCTCACGGTATCAACGAGCGCTTTTGATTCAACTAATTTATTCTTGTTTTCTCGTCACCATATTCCCACCGCTAGCGTAGCTCCACTTCCTCCCTATAAACCCACACACAACCCACAACTCCTTCAAGTATTTGTTTGCTGTGGTAGACAAAAACTAAAAAATATTTCAAGATAACAACAAAAAAATGAGGATAGACGAGAACAGCGGTGATTGGCGCAGGGTAAAGGTAAAAATTGGCACTAAATTTTTCAAAACGGACCAACCGTATGAGTGAAAGGCGTAGAGATCCTTTTACTTTGTGCAATTAGTGTAAAATGCATAACCGTCATTCTTTGCCTGAGTACATAAATGCTCGGGTTACTATTGACAAGATTAAGAATTTTGGTAGAATGGAGAACCATCAAGTCCAGTCGACTTAATATTATTCTTTATATCAGAAACCGCACAACTGAATTCTGTGATCGCGAGTAAGTAACGGCTTTGTTAAAAGAGGGTTCTATTTAACTGCAGTAAAAACATTGATGAACTCATGGCCCTTATTACACTATAAAGCGACCTAAAAAATAGGTTTGTATTTAATTCACAAGCTATACACTTGACAATGTTATAAATCTATTATCCTATCGACGAATAAAAATACATACATTAGTTGATGACAACCTTAAAATCATATTTTAAGTAACCAGGAAGCTTTCTGGTTATTTATAAATTTCTAATACAAAATGCGCTTGAAACTAGCAACTGATACTTTCTTATGCTTGACTTTGTAGTACACTATTGTGTAATTTTACTAACCGTTAAAGTTCTTGATCTCTCAGTTGTCGTTGACAAATCAAGTTTAAGCTTACGATGGCCAAGGTTCTTATCTTATGCATTGTGAATTGGCATCAGAAACGAACTGTTATTCTCTGAACCGATTGACGATGCCTCGCATTATGTCCATAAGAGTGCGACGAATGGGTTCCATCTTCCAGCAGTATATAACAGGGTTCAAAGACGAGTTGAGGAAAACCAAAGTCATTGTATAGTGCCAAGCTTCGTGTAAAGCGATTAAACTTGAAGGACGAGCCAGAAACAAACAAAAAAGAATATAGGAAGGCAAATAACAAAGCAAAAACACGATACATACGCAGAATGTTCCAAGAGCTGACTTGCGAAGCTTCAAAAAGTTTGATAAGTCGCCATTTTGAACTCCCTGTTCTGCTTCTTGAACTTGAAGGTCTTGAATCTGGTTTTTGTGTCGCTTTAAGACTATATAAATCCTCCAGTAGACAATTACTACCAGAATGAAGCAAACAGTCATAATCACCAACCTTATGACTTGATAAATGATAAACAATGGAGCCCAAAAGACATCAGAACAAATAACTGCGCTAAACAGCCATATTGATATTACCGCTGCAATCACGCTCTTGTGAGTCACAAGCTCTTGATATCTGAGATGAAGGTGAACAGCTAAGAACCTGTCCACACTTATGGTTACAACATTTAAGAGCGAAGATGCGCAAAAGAAATTGATAACGACGTGCAACCCCTCGTAGGAAATGCAGTCGATACGTTTTTGATTTAACCGGCTGACCAAAGTAGAAATGTAGAGTGGTTGGACCAACACACCAACGCCAACATCGGAGGCAGCCAGGCTCAGTAATAATGTTCTCAAAGGTTTTGGCAACAACGCGGTTTTCCTTATCGCATGGATAGTAACAATGTTCAAAATGATGGTTGTATAACACAAAAAGCTGTTGAAGACACAACTAGCGACAAGTACCGGACGAAAATCTTCAACATCCTTAGAAGTTCCAAAGAAAACCTCGTTGAGATGGTCGCAAACGTTTTCAGCCATGAGATCTGAGCGTTAAAACTGTTGTGGCCCCAATATTTTCCGATTCTAAAAATTGAAAATTTTAAGTCATATGTAGATGTCAGTCACGAGCACAAAACACCATCGAAGCCATCTGTACGTACATTGAAGATGTCTTCATCTCTGGGATTTGAATTTTTGACAAAAGCATCCAGTATCGCTTCAACTCGGTGTTAGTTAGAACTGAAACAAATTATCTGTTTAATGCTTCAAGACATTTTAACTAAACATGGCATTTACACCTGAAAAAAGTTATTTGGAGGAAGGCTGTCATTGACATATTTTTTATCTGTCAAACGAACATACGCAACCTTATAGTCAGTTAAATTAAAGAGCGCTTGACACAAACTTATTCACTATTAAATTCGCCCGAATACACTGAATTCATCTTCAGAGACCGAACATAAATAATTATTTCGAATAAGTTACGCACTTGTTTGTGGCGGATCTAGGAGGTATTCAGAATGTTCGGCAAACTTACGAAACTGAGATAATACCGGCATATTTTTCAGTCGATTTAGAGTAGCTTGGAAATAATTTCCGGTGGTGGATACAGATATAGATAGCCCTCCCCTCTTATAGACGACCGCGTTCGGCCCTCACTTTGACTACCTCCTCACAAGTCACGGATCCACTTCAGTTCATGAACAGCTGCACTTAGCTCAGAAAAAGTTTAGCAATGGCCATGTAATATTTTTACATATTTCAATCGAAAGAAATACAGATAAGACATTTTATCAAACAATAATTCTGCATCAAGCACTTAAACAAAAAGAATACAGTAAGTTTGACTATTGTTTATGCTGACGGCAGATGTAAATTAAGAACGATGGCTCTCTTTTTTGTGACATCAATAGATGTAAATTAAGTGCGAAAAATGCAATATTGTGTTTAAAATATGAAAGATTTTAGCCTGTTAGGCTCAGAAAGTAAAGAGGGAATTAAAAACAACGAATCGGAAAATAACAGGACTATAAATTTACTTCTTCCGGGGGTAAAGAGTAGTTTGCAAATGAGCGGTGTCAAAGACAGTCAGGAATTGTATTAGTTTCACTTTACATCGTAAAGTGATTGGTCCAGAGTTTCGCTCAATCTGTCAGCTACTCCAAGGCAATTAGAGCCAGTCGCGACTTTACTAATAGATAAGCAAAATGATTTTCCTTAATTTTTCTCTCTAAATAATCAGCTGGTTAAAGTTTGTCCACTATTACAAATAGAGAATCTTGAATTTAGGTTGTAATGAAAAAAGCAGAACCCTGAAAATTCAGCGTATAAGAATACTCCATCTGAATCTTGTGCCACTATAATCAACGCAACATGTTATGTGGTGCTATATATTATGCAACCATCCATATGTGCAATCATATGAATGCAGATGACTAGATGACCGATTCCGAGAACACCTTCACGACATCGAAAGAAATGACAAGGATGCATCCAAACCAGTCGCTAAACACTTTAATCTCCCTATTTACTCTATATGGCAGTTTCTGGCCTTTCACTAAATTTGGGCACTTCAGAAAGCAGCAAAACACCAGAGCAAAAATTTATCTTCCAAATCGGCACTCTTAATCCCCACGGTATCAACGAGCGCTTTTCATTCAACTAATTTATTCTTGTTTTCTCGTCACCATATTCCTACCAATAGCGTACTCCATTGTCTGCATATATACCCACACAACCCGCAACTCCTCAAATCGCTCTGACGAAGGGCTAACGCTCGAAATGTGAGCCTTTAAACTCTTGACGGTGACCAATTTACGTTTTCAACTTAGTTGCTAACACTAAACTACCTATATATACATGCATATTTATATACATAAGTTAAAGAAGAGGACGCATCGATTCCCTGTAACTCTGAGTATCGCGCCTAAGCGCTCGTCAAACAGAACTTCATTCAACGAACAACATACCTCCTTATACACAAATTAGATAAGTAGCTAATTAATTCCCTAGTGTGATGATCTAATTTATGCGTGAAATAATTTATGTTTAAATTTCTCCAAACGGACTAACCGTCTGAATGAAAGGCGTAGAGCTCCTTGGGCTTTGTGTATTCGGCATAAAATGTATAACCTTCTTTCTTTGGCTAAGTTAATAAGTGGCCGGGTTACTATTGACAAGGTTGAGACTTTTAGTCGAATGGACAACCATCAAGTCTAGTCGAAGTAATATTATTCTTTAAATCAGAAACTGCATAACTAAATTCTGGAAGTCTATGTGTGATCGCAAGTAAGTAGCGGCTTTATTCGAAGAGGGTTACATTTAACTGTAGTAAAAACACTGATGAACTCGTGGCCCTTATTACACTAAAAAGCGATCTAAAAATCGGTTTTGTATTTAATTCACAAGCTATACACTTTTACAGGTTAAAAGTTTACGATCCTATCGACAAGTACAAATACATACATTAATTGATGACAACCTTATTTCTCATACAAAATACGCTTGAAACAAGCAACTGATACTTTCTTATGCTTGAGTCTGTGGTACTCCATAGTGTAACTTTCATAACCGTTGTTTAGGTTCGTCCTCCCTCAGTTTTCCTAAAGTACTTTTGACAAATCAAGTTTGATTTTACCATGGTCGAAGCTCTTATTCCATGCTTTTTGAATTGGCATCAGAAACGAACCCAGCCAATGCTATTCTCTGAACCGATTGACGATGCTTCGAATTATGTCCATGAGAGTGCGACGAATGGGTCCCATCTTCCAGCAGTCGAGTTGAGGCAAAAAATAAAGTCGTTACATACAGCCGAGCTTCATATAAAGAGATCAGACTTATAGGGCGAGCCAGGAATAAAAAAGAAAGAATATAGCAAGGCAAATAACAAATTAAGAACACAATGCATACAAAAAATGTTCCAAGAGCTGACTTTCGAAGGTTCAAAAAGTTTGATAAGTCGCCATTTTGAACTCCCTGTTCTGCTTCTTGAATTTGAAGGCCTTCCATCTGGATTTTGTGTCGCTTTAAGACTATATAAATTCTCCAGTAGACAATTATTATCAGAATGAAGCAAACAGTCATAATTACGAGCCCAATGACTTCTGAGCTGATAAGGAATGCATCCCAAAAGATACTAGAGGAAATAATTGCGCTAAACAGCCATATCGATATCACCGCTGCAATCACGCGCTTGTGAGTCACAAGCTCTTGATATCTGGGATGAAGATGAACAGCTAAGAACCTGTCCACACTTATGGTTTTAACATTCAAGAGCGAGGATGTACAAAAGAAACTGACGACTGCAAACAATCCCTTGTAGTAAATGCGGTCGATACGTTTTTGCTTTAACCGGCTGACCAAAGTAGAAATATAGAGCGGTTGGACCAACAAACCAACGCTAACATCGGAGGCAGCCAGGCTCAGCAATAATGTTCTCAAAGGTTTTGGCAACAACGCGGTTTTCTTTAGTACATGGATGGTAATAATGTTCAAAAAGATGTTTGTATAAGACAAAAAGCTGTTGAAGACACAATTAGCGACAAGTACCGGACGAAAATCTTCAACATCCACAGAGGTTCCATAGAAAGACTTGTTGAGAACGTCGCAGAAGTTTTCCGCCATGACAGCTGAGTTATAACTACTATGGCTCTGATATTTTCCGATTTTAAACGGAAAATTTTAAGTCATACGTAGTTGACAATCTCGAGTACATAACACAATCGAAGTCATCTGTACGTGTCTGTAGGATGTCTTCAACTTTGCGGCATTTGAATTTTTATAAAAAAAGGCAACGAGTACCGCTTTCACTCGGCGTTGGTTAGAACTTAAAACAAATTATTTGTTTGATGCTTCAAGACATTTTAACTAAACATGGCCTTTACACCTGAAAAAAAGTTATTCGAAGGAAAGCTGTCATTAACATATTTTTCATCTATCAAAATGAATGTACGAAACACTATAGTCAGTTAAATTAAAGAGCGCTTGACATATACTTCTTTATTATTAAATTCGTCTGAATACACTGAATACATCTTCAGAGAGCGAGCATTTTATGGTTGATGAGGGGTGGGGAGAGAGACCCAAATAATTATTACGAATAAATTACGCATTCGTTTGTGGCGGATCGAGGAGGTAATCAGAATGTTTAGCAAACTTACTAAACTGAGGTAACATCGGCATATTTCTCAGTCATTTTAGAGTAGCTTGGGAATATTTTCAGGTGTCCGATTATTACAGATAGCCTTCCCTTCCCCCTATATACGACCGCGTTCGGCTCTCACTTTGATCACCTCCTCACAAGTCCCGGATCCACTTTAGTTCATAAACAGTACTAAGTTCAGAAAAGTCTAGCAGAGGCCATGTAATATTTTGATTTGTTGTTGTTTTTTTTTGAGAGGGCACGGTAACGAATCTTGCAATCTGATTGGTTCCTTACCCGGTCGGTATTTTCCTATCTCTGCCCACGGGCCACGGTAACGCTTTCGTTAGTCGCCAAGTACATTCCAACTTTCGTTGCCATTTTTCATAAATATGTCTCGTTTTTCCGGCTAGGCAGTATTTTTAAGCAAACACGTCGGTCACTACCTCAAGCCGATGAATAACTTATGAATCCTCTCTTTTCTCTCACTCAAATTACTTTGGTTGACAGAAAAATATTGGTTTCAGAATGAATTTGTATAAACAATAGTGTCATTACGTTGGTTGGCAAGCGGCCTAAAACTCGTCTGCAATTAATTTTAATCGTTCACAAAAAGTACCTAGAAAGTTAAAACGTGAGGTATTTGGTTACAGTTAAACTGATCGATGGAACTTTCATTCATTTAATACCTGAATTTTCTCAAGCAATTTTTTCGTAGTGAAAGAGCGAGCGAAGTTTTAATTTAAGTTCTACAACAAATATACGCTCTCGGTGAGTCTTTCCAAGTCCGTTCAATTTGAACATTTGTACCGTAAATTGCACAACAGAAACTGAAGGAATGTTTTGAGAAAAGGCCGCATTAAATCCCTTTGTGTCTCGTTGGATTATGCCATTCGAATTTAGTTTTTGTGAAGGAAAGACCAGATTTACACACGCCATTGCAGCAAACAAACGAGCAAACTCTCACAACTTCAAAATAAAAAAATTGAATTTACTCACAATCACTTTCCTCGCCGTTTACTCGGTCTTGAAAATGCTGCCCTCGGCCTACTGCCTCGGGCAGTATTTCCAAGACCTCGGTCACAATTTTTCACCATACGGACCTCCCAGCCGGCAAATAACATATATTTATCAAAGAATAATTCTGCATCAAGCGCTTAAATGAAAAGAATATAGGAAGATGGGCAGATGTAAATTAAAAATGAGGGCGGGCTTTTTTGTATGTAAATTAGAAGTGGAAAATGCGATATTGTGTTTGCATATGGAAGACTTTAGCCTGTTAGTGTCAGTAAGTAAAGAAAGAATTAAAAAACAACGAATCGGCAAACGAAAGGACTATAAATCTATTTCGTCCAGAAGTTAAAAGAAGTCGGTCTGCATGGTCGTTAATAAATTTCTCTTACAAATGTGCTTGAAACTAGCAACTGATACTTTTTTATTCTTGTCTCTGTGGTACCTCATTGTGTAGTTTTCCTAACCGTTAAAGTTCATCTCACGGTATAGCTTTCTAACTGAGTCCTTATATACATTCACAAAGTGTTCTAGAACATTCCAGAAGCTTACAAAAAGAACTGTTTTAATAGTATTTCTTAATAATTGCGTGACTTGATGACATGTATTAGAAAGTTCTATGGTACGCATATCACCATGACTAAGCAGTCTGGAGATTTCTGGAAGCTTATATTTACAACAACAATTACTTATAACAAATGCTATTCTCTAAACCGATTGACAATGCCTCGCATTATGTCCATGAGAGTGCGACGAATGGGTCCCATCTTCCAGCAGTATATAACTGGGTTCAAAGACGAGTTGAGGAAAACCAAAGTCATTGTATGGGGCCAAGCTTCGTTTAAAGAAATTGGACTTAAAGGAGGAGCCAGGGAAAAAAAAAGACGAATATAGCTGGGCAAGTAACAAATCAAGAACACAATAAATACATAAAATGTTCCAAGAGCTGACTTTCGAAGTTTCAAAAAGTTTAATAAGTCACCATTTTGAACTCCCTGTTGTGCTTCTTGGATTTGAAGGCTTTGAATATGGTTCTTGTGTCGCTTTAAGACTATATAAATCCTCCAGTAGACAATTACCACCAGAATGAGGCAAACAGTCATGTTCACAAACCCTGCGACTCGTGAGATGATGAACAGTGGATTCCAAATGACAATAGAAGAAATAATTGCGCTTAACAGCCATATTGATATCACCGCAGCAATGACGCGCTTGTGAGTCACAAGCTCTTGATATCTGAGATGAAGATGAACAGCTAAGAACCTGTCCACACTTATGGTTACAACATTCAAGAGCGAGGATATACAAAAGAAATTGATAACGACGTACAACCCCTTGTAGGAAATGCAGTCGATACGTTTTCGTTTCAAACCGCTGACTACAGCAGAAATGTAGAGCGGTTTGACCAACACACCAACGCCAACATCGGAGGCAGCCAGGCTCAGTAATAATGTTCTCAAAGGTTTCGGCAACAACGCGGTTTTCCTTATCGCATGGATGGTAACGATGTTCAAAATGATGGTTGTATAAGACAAAAAGCTGTTGAAGACACAACTAGCGACAAGTACCGGACGAAAATCTTCAACATCCGTAGAGGTTCCAAAGAAAACCTCATTGAGAATGTCGCAAACGTTTTCCGCCATAAGAACTGAGCGTTAATACTACTGTGGCTCCGATATTTTTCGGCTCTAAAACGGAAAATTTGAAGTCACACGTAGCTGTCGATCACAATCATAGAACATAATCTAAGCGGCACGTACATTCAAGATGTCTTAACTCTGGCATTTGAATTTTTGAAAAAAGCATCGAGTATCGCTTTAACTCGGCGTTGGTTAAAATGTTTAATGCTTCAAGACATTTTAACTAAACATGGGATCTATACCTGAAAAAAGTTATTTGAAGGAAAGCTGTCATTAACATATTTTTTATCTGTCAAAATGAATATACGAAACATTATAGTCAGTTAAATTAAAGAACGCTTGACTTATGTTTTTTGTTATTAAATTTGCCTGAATACACTGAATTCATCTTCAGAGACCGAGCATTTTATGGTTGATAAGGGGTGGGGAGAGAGACCAGAATAACGAATACGTATAAATTACGCACTCGTTTGTGGCGGAACAAGGAGGTAATATTTTCCGGTGGTGGATTATTACAGATAGCCCTTCCTACCCTTATAGACGCCGACCGCGTTCGGCTCTTTCTTTAATCACCTCTTCACAAGTCCCAGATCCACTTCAGTTCTTGAACAGCTACACTTAGCTCAGAAAAAATTTAGCAATGGCCATGTAATATTTTGATATATTTCAACCGAAAAAAAATGACAGATAAGACATTTATCAAACAATAATTCTGCATCAAGTGCTTAAACAAAAAAAATACAGGAAGTTTGACTATTGTTTTTGCTGACGGCAGACGTAAATTAAAAACGATGGCTGGCTTTTTTGTGACATCAATAGATGTAAATTAACTGTGAAAAATGCAATATTGTGTTTAGAATATGAAAGACTTTAGCCTGTTAGGCTCAGAAAGTAAAGAAGGAATGAAAAACAACGAATCGACAAATGACGGGACTATAATTTTATTTCCTCCAAAGGTAAAGAGTAATTTGCAAATGAGCGGTGTCCAAGACAGTCAGGGGTTGTATTAGTTTCTCTTTACATCGTAAAGTGATTGGTCGAGAATATTGCTCCATCTGCCAGCTACTCCGAAGCAATTAGAGCCAGTCGTGACTTTACTAATAGATAGAGAAAATGATTTTTCTTAATTTTTCTCTCTAAATCATCTGCTGGTTAAAGTTTGTCCTCTAATTCAGGTTGTATTGAAAAAAGCAGAACCCAAATAATTCAGCTCTTATCTGAATCTTGTGCCATTATCCTGGACGAAAAGTGTTATGTGGTGCTATGCATTATGCAACCATCTATATGTGCAATCATATGAATGCAGAGGACTAGGTGACCGATTCCGAGAACAACTTCGCGACGTAGCAAGAAATGACAAGAACGCATCCGAACCAGTCGCCAGACACTTTAATCTCCCTACTTATTCTTTACAGCATATGGCAGTTTCCGGCCTTTCCCTACATCTAGGCAGCTCGGAAAGCCGCACAACACCAGAACAAAAATTTATCCTCCAAATCGGCACTCTTAATCCCTACGCTATCAACGAGCGCTTTTCATTCAACTAATTTATTCTTGTTTTCTGGTGTGTAGTTTTCCTAACCGTTAAAGTTCATCTCACGGTATAGCTTTCTAACTAAGTCCTTATATACATTCACAAAGTGTTCTGGAACATTCCAAAAGCTTACAAAAAGAACTGTTTTAATAGTATTACTTAATAATTGCGTGACTTGATGACATGTATTAGAAAGTTCTATGGTACGCATATCACCATGACTAAGCAGTCTGGAGATTTCTGGAAGCTTATATTTACAACAACAATTACTTATAACAAATGCTATTCTCTAAACCGATTGACAATGCCTCGCATTATGTCCATGAGAGTGCGACGAATGGGTCCCATCTTCCAGCAGTATATAACAGGGTTCAAAGACGAGTTGAGGAAAATCAAAGTCATTGTATAGAGCCAAGCTTCGTATAAAGAGATTAGACTTAAAAGGCGAGCCATGAGTAAAAAAGAGAGAATACAGAAAGGCAAATAACAAATCAAGAACACAATACATACATAAAATGTTCCAAGAGCTGACTTTCGAAGCTTCAAAAAGTTTGATAAGTCGTCATTTTGAACTCCCTGTTGTACTTCTTGGATTTGAAGGCCTTGAATCTGGATTTTGTGTCGCTTTAAGACTCTATAAATCCTCCAGTAGACAATTACCACCAGAATGAGGCAAACAGTTATGTTCACGAACCATATGACATGTAAGATGATAAGCAATGGATCCCAAAAGACACCAGAAGAAATAATTGCGCTTAAAAGCCATATTAATATCACTGCTGCAATTGCGCGCTTGTGAGTCACACGTTCTTGATATCTGAGATGAAGATGAACAGCTAGGAGCCTGTCCACACTTATGGTTACAACATTGAAAATAGAGGACATACAAAAGAAAGTAAAAACGGCAGACAATCCCTTGAAAGAAATGCAGTCGATACGTTTTTGTTTTAACCGGCTGACAAAAATAGAAATGTTGAGCGGTTGGACCAACAAACCAACGCCAACATCGGAGGCAGCCAGGCTCAGTAATAATGTTCTCAAAGGTTTTGGCAACAATGCGGTTTTCCTTACCGCATGGATGGTTACGATATTCAAAATGATGGTTGTATAACACAGAAAGCCGTTGAAGACACTATTAGCGACAAGTGCCGGACGAAAAACTTCAACACTCGCAGAGGTTCCAGAGAAAAACTCGTTGAGAAGGTCGCAATCGTTTTCCGCCATGAGAACTGAGCGTTAATACTACTGTGGCTCTGATATTTTCCGATTCTAAATCGGAAAACTTTAAGTATCTGTTTATCTGAAAATTTTTAGATATTTCAACCGAAAGAAATACAGATAAGACATTTTACCAAAGAATAACTCTGCATCATGCGCTTAAACGAAAAGAATATAGGACGTTTGGCTATTGTTTATGTTGACGGCCGTTGTAAATTAAAAATGAGGGCTGGTATTTTTATAACATTAATACATGTAAATTAGAAGTGAAAATGCGATATTGTGTTTGCATATTTAGCCTGTTAGAGTCAGAAAGTAAAGAAAGAACAGAAAAACAGCCAATCGGCAAATGACAGGACTATAAATTTATTTCGTCCAGAAGTGAAAAGAAGTCTGCAAATGAACGGTGTCAGGGATTGTAATACATGTAGTTTCGGTTTACATCGTAAAGGGATTGGTCAAGAGTTTCGCTTCATCTGTCAGCTAATCGGAAGAAAATTAAAGCTAGTCGCCGTTTTACTAATAACTAAACAAAATGGTTTTCCTAAATTTTTCTCTTTAAGTTAGCTGCTGGTTGAATTTTGTCCACTATCGCCAATAGAGAGTGTTGAATTCAGGTTGTATTGAAAAAGTAGAAGCCTAAAAATTGTGTGGATAAGTCAGAATACTCCATCTTAATCTTGTGCCATTATACTTGACGAAGACTGTTGTTATGAGGTGCTGTTTGTTATGCAACCATACATACATGTGTGCAATCATATGAATGCAAATGGTACTGTTTGCAATGCGGTAAGAGGGGATTTCTACTTTTACGCCCATGGATAAGACCCATTCAGATGAAGGGTGCTGAGCCTTTTTTAAAATACCTTGGTGTGGATGACAATCTAGTGTTTGACCATTTACATGAAAGCTAAAACGTAGTACTTTATTGAAGTACAGTTTATTATGCTGTACAAGGTGGTTCTGGCCTGGATAACATCTTATATTATGAGTAATCAAATAAAAGCTTTTTACTATTACTTCCATGTTTACTGTTTATCAAGAACCACTAATTAATTCTAACTTTAAAGTCTATGGATGAGACACAGCGTTTGACTATTCAAATGAAGGAAGCAGCGAAGTTTTTTCATTTGTTTCAGTTCATTATATTCTTCAAGGTGGTTTTGACCACAAACCGTTGAGTTTAGCGGGCCGTACAGTGATATACAGCCTGCTTAATTGACTAATTATAGCCCACGTACGAACCGCGAGATATAATAATGTTAGTTATTTTGTGCGAGGCATAACGGTTTAGCTCTTATGTTTGTGGACGAAACAGTTACGCGTTCCATTTTTTGTAAGAAATACCTTATAAATGCACTCAAAATTGTTTCACGAATTTATGCAAAAAAAAATTGGACTCATTTCTGCCTTTCATCCTCTTTTTCTTTCAGGTAGGACTGAGCTCTCATCTTCATTTCCACAAACTTTAAGGAGAGGTTATGTTTAAATCGAACCCAGCCAATACCACTGTAAGCTTTTGTGTTTCCCATGAACTGCCCGTTCAAATTTGAGTTGTGGCAATCGTTAAACCACCATCCCCCAGTCAGATCATTTGAGCAGCTTCCCGTCTTCCACATGTCGTTATCCCTGTCTCTGGTACTGAACATCATGTTGTTATGGTAACTCAAGGAATCCCCGGATGTACCATTGTAACCAATGACGGTGATCTTGTAGTTGTTCTTTTCGTTGTCTACCTTGAACACGTCGTAATGAGCGAAAACTTTTTTTCCACTCCAATCCTCCAGCTCGATTCGCAGCGACATCTCATTTGCTGCGGCGATCCGATGAATTTTGTCATTTCCTAGCCAGAAATTCTTCCCAAGGTCTCCGAAACCCGTTCTATAGTCGTTCCATGTACGGTGGAAGCTGACAGATGCATCCTGTCGCCTTTGGAACACAATCCATCCTCCACTGTCCGTCTCTAGGTCGCAATACCCCTCAAACTCTGTTTTTCTGTCAGGGTTGATTGTATAAACACCACTAGTGCTGTAGCCAGCATAAAGGATATCATCGCATCCTCTCGCTACACAAAAGAAGAATTTAATTATGTGCTTAGTGCTGAGAGGGAGGGCCAAACGAAAATATTTAGCTCGAGGTCACAACGAACGGAGTGAGCGCAGAAAGGTCAGTACATCATGACCATCAGGCAAGTGATAAAGATGTGGGCGAATTTGTTATTTTTGATAAGGGAACGAATTCTTCTTGATGGGGGCGAACTGGAAGGCGAAGAACATGCAATGGAGCGACACCTCTGTGAACCACACCGTCCACTAAATGGTACGGAGTTATCGTGACATAACGACGACGCACTTACGAACGAGGTCTGTTAATTGCAGAAAGAGTTAAGGTCTTCCACTTTGAAGGAGTTCAATTTCATTGTCATCGCTATGCTTGAGTAGCAAACTTTCCGACTTTTTCTCGGGGGGAGGGGGCGCAGGGGCATTGTTTCACTCAGCCTTTTTTGCATCTCTTTGTTTACACTTCCAAAGTCTCCAAGTTATAAAAGGTGGCAACAAAGAAAATACATAGGAGACCACTTACTTTGTGGAGGCTGAACACACAGCTTCTGACAAGAATCCGAACAGCATTTCATTTCACCAAAACAATCTGAATCCAAACTACACTCGTCATCAGTCTCATTTCCGCAATCCTCGACCGGGATAGGAATGGGGCAAATACCTTCCTTCAAACCCTCTAAAAATAAATAAGTAGTTTTTAAAGGGTTTCCTTAAACTAAGCCAAAAATTATAAACTGTGTTGATAAGTAAATTGACCACCGCCAAGAGTTTAATAACTGAAGTTTCGAGCGTTAGCCTTTCTTCAGATCGATTCATGTGCTGCGAGGAGGTTGTTGCTCGTTATTAAAAAAGGCTCAAGATATACGTGCACAGTACCATTAAGATAATGTTGAAAATACTGCCAATTGCTCAGACAAAACAAATTATATCATGGAAAAGTGATCGAAAGGAATCAAACGAATTCGGCTAATGGACAACAGATGGTGTTGCAATAAACGTATGGCGTCAAGTCATTTAAGAAATCCTAAAAATTATTTTTAGTCCCTATTACTAAAATTCAGATGAGAATTTCTTGTTGTTGCTATAAGAGTGGATATGGAATTGCTTATGAGGTACATCTTTGAGCAAATGTCACTTGACATGAAAGTAATCTGGGTTAACAACTAGATGCCCTGTTAGCGTACATGCGTCCGGTCGGTGATATATTAGAGATGACGTCATGATCTATGTAACGTCATGTGATCTATCACAGCAACATGTAATCTATTTGTGTTATTTGATTAAAAAAAAAGGAAAAAGTTGTTCATGGTGACGTCATCTTTGTGTCCGTCCTCTAGTAAATTATAAGTAAGAATCATGATGTGTGACGAATTCAGCTTGCTACATAAACAAAAGTAGAGAAACTAGATTTATTTAGATGAGACAAACAGCTCTCAAAATAAAACATAAGGTAACCTCCCATATAATTTAGGAATTCCAATTGAAATTAAACGTCCCACTTACTCTGCATGACAGCGAGATTCACTTCAGCGTTAATTTTCATGGCTCCTCCCAAGCTGGTCGCAGTACAGATATACTTCCCAGCATCGATTGGTGCCAGCTGAATGATTGTCAAGGTTCCATCTTCACCGACAGTGGCCCTCCGATCAGGAAGGTCAGCGTACTCGCGGCTCCATGTGACTGACAAAGTTTGGTCTCCCTCTGCCTTGCAGTTAATTGTTAGTACATCGCCTGTGTTGCCTACGAGTTCCGTTGGAGGTTTTACAATGAATCTAGGGAGTGTCAACACCATCAGTTGTATCATCACTCGGGCGCTGCCGATAGCATTCGCAGCTTCGCACGTGTACATTCCGGAATCATCCGCTGTGGTGTTAACGATGGTTAGATTTCCATCCATTGATTGAATGCGTCTTTCTGGAAGACTTTGGAAGAGTCGAGACCACGTGATGATCGGTGACGGAAAGCCGGTCGCAATGCACATCGGAAGTGTGACGTCACTTCCGTCAATGACGTAAACTGAGCCCTGAGTTAACGGTTTAATTTGAGGTGTTCCTATTTAAATATTAAAGAAACTCGATCATCGTCATTGAATTGGCTCGATGTTTTGTCTTACTAGTGTAAAATTGTTATGATGAAAAACACCTGTCAGACTTTAAAGTCATATTGTATATCTTTAAAATCACTCTTAAATTGAGAAACGAAAAATCGCTTGCCACGCAGTTCCTTAGCTAAGTATTCGTTGCGTTGGACATAACATCCGCGTGAGCACCACTGTAACTCCTCACTAATATTTGATTGATACCTTACCTCGGACAACAAGTTTCGTGAAGGCCTCGGCTCGTTTCACATTTGTCCTCGCAACACATTCGTAATCACCGCTGTCGTTGTACTGAACATTCGTGATGGTTAACCCGCCATCTTGCAGCACGTGGTATTTGGTATCACCTTTAAGTACTTCTCCCTCTTTCCGCCATGTAACAGTAGGCGTCGGGTCACCTATGATTGAAGAGACATATATAGTTTGTATATTATTATTTGTGAGTTTTTGGCTGAAACCTCACGGTTAGAAGAAAGCTGAAGAGCATGAGTTGCTGAGTATTAAACATTTTTTGCATTCGATTTCAGGCTGATTAAGAAATAAGCTTTCTGGCACTCGATACACGATTATATGATATCGGTACTCTTATACAGTGTTACGGTATTTAACCGACGGAAAGAACTCTACACTCACACAAACTCAACTACTTTATTAAACAAATGAATAAAGGGGGTAAGTTTCTTAAGAAACTGTGGTGCTGCGTCGGTGGGAGAGTATAAAAGGTAATTCAATGTTAACAGCTAAGTTGAAAACTTAAAGTGGCCATCGTAAAGAGTTTAAAGGTTGACGTTTCGAGCGTTAGCCCTTCGCAATCGCTCCGACGAAGGGCTAGCGCTCGAAACGTCAGCCTTTAAACTCTTTTACATTCTCAACTCAGTTCTTAGCACTAAATTACCTTCTTTATTAAACAACTCGTAATATTCTTACTAAGGAGCGACTCCTAAAGGCAGTGCAGTAGTTATCCTTAATAAACTTACCTAAGCCCAATATATTCTATATCTTAGCTCACCGCTGACATAATCTCACATCAGTATCCATGATCCTTTAAATGAACAATCTTCCACAGTAGCTCTCTTTGTCGGTATAGCTTTCCAAACAGTCGGTCACGCTCGATGACAACAATTACTTATTACTTCTACCAGGGACCGCGCAGAGGGAGGGGCTGGGGGTGGGGGGCTTTAGCCCTCCCCCCCTTTTTTTTGCAAAAATAAAAATAAGTTAAACAAAAAATAATCTAACGAATATAACGGAGCCAAAAATAGCCCCTTCACTCCAAAACTTGCTGCGCGTTCCCTGACTACTCATACGCGTATGAGTCCTTATGTGCATTTACAAAGTATCATGGAACACAACACTACGACACGACTATTTTAGTGGCCTTACATCATAACTACTTGACCCAATAGAATGCTCTAGAAAGTCCCAAGGTATACATGTCAGCATCACTCAACGTTCACCTATCAGAGTTCACTACCCTATTACGTCTTATCATGTCAAATGTAACCTCTTGAAAACAAGAGTAAACAACATACCAGAAGCAGCACAATGAAACCTCGCCGTCTGATTTTCATTCACCGTCAAAATCGAAGGAGACACGAGCACCTGTAGGGACCCTTCCTTGTTATCAAGCACCGTCGACTCTCCGGGTACTCCCGGATATCCTTGGGCTCCTCTCTCTCCTTTCTGCCCCTTAGCCCCAGGGGGACCTAACCCTCCGATGTCCCCCGTATCGCCTTTTTCTCCCTTGGACCCAGGTTCTCCGGGGGGACCACGAAGGCAAATCTGAAACATTGATGCAAACAGCTGTCAGTGTCTGGGATCAGTTTAATGATATGTAAGATAGGGAGGAAGAATAACTTGTGAAGAGGAGAAATAACATCCAATTCAGGAGGATTAGAGAGAAGATCGGGGTGGATAACTTTTTTTTTTACGATTATTGAATGAATTTCAGCCAATGGATTGTCACCCCGAATGCGCATCGAAAATCTTTCACAGTTGAAAATTATATGAAAATAAAAGCCAATCAGAACACGATTATCAACGACTGTACCGTTTAAAACAAGAGAGTAGGCACGCAAAGCCACTTGGGTAAAAATCAGCGTTTGATGGCACTGGTCTTACAGAGAATGAAATATTTTATTCCCCGCCCCTCGAAATAAACCTTTCTGCAGGGTTTTCACGAACGCAACAGAATACGAGACATGGGATTTCAAACAATTTGATCATTACAGAGATAACTGCTGATCTCTTTTGGGAACGTTTTGAGTAAGACAGCCACGAGACAGCTCAGGTCTCTCTTGGGAACTACGTTGTGATTGATAGAGAAAGAAAGAGGCCTAATTTTGGTCAGCGGTGCGAGTAGAGCTCACCCACAACTCTATGCACTAATAAATGACCTATAAATGCCGGAAATCCACCTCCCTATCGGCAGTCTATGATATTCTAAATGATACCCTGTTAGTTCTTACCGAACCAAGAGGTGATGTGCAAACACGATTACTCTCTTTTCTTATCTTCTCAAAATAACTTTTGATCTCGTTTCTTATTTTCAACAGGTCGTTGCTTTGGTCGTTACTGATGTTCGTTGCAAGTCCAGCGGCCGCGCGGCGGGTTCTCGTGTTGGCTTCACTGGAATAAATATCCAACTTTCCTTGAAGAAGAAGCATCCAAATGTAAGTTTACAACGAAGGCCGTAAAAAACTGAAAGGGGCCAGCTGCGCATAAAAATGAGTTAAATTCCTTACCAAAGGGAGCGGTCATTATTGACCGTCTGGGGGGGAAGGGGTCGCGTTTTGTGTGACGACAAATTTTACCCGATCTCCCCATGAGGCTCTGTGGTATTCGTTTGATCTCCTCCTCCCCCCCCCTCCCACCCCCCCCCATTAGCAGTTAATTGGCCGGTAATTTTCTAAATAGTCTCCTTTAATGCTATGTTGGCGACAACTTACCCCTCCTTAGTACCCTCTGAAAGTCGCGTGATCCCCAAAAATCCTCCAACCCAACCCTTTCCCGCCCCCCACCCAAGGTGTTAATTAATGACAGGTTTTAATTCATACGGAATTCGCGCGTGGTCCTCGACTCAAAAAAATAGGTTCTCGAAACATAACAGAAAACTTCCTGCATTCTTAAACACCGCAGAATTCGCTGCCGTAGTGAAATTAAAAACTGTTCTTCGCTTTTAGGCTCACCCGAATATCTATGTACGAATCACTAATGTGTAGCACCCTTCTGCATTACCCGAAAAATTAGAGATTTGAAAAAAATATTGTGATTCTTTCTCGTTTAAGTTCCGTCGCTTAAACGGAAATTGCTAAAATTTCGAAATATAAGAGGCATGCAAAACATAAGGTGACAAACTAACGCTAAAATTAGTGTTCACCACAATCTCCTTTGAGCTCGCACCGAAAAAATTTGTTTCGGCAAAATTTGTAAGCGAGACGGTACGACTATGTTTATAAAATGCTGAAAATGCTAACTACAAACTGATCGCAGCAACAGGTTGCACACTAAGGAGTCCATATCTAGTGACGCTGTTTCTCTTTCACCAGAAAAAAAAATAATAATAAAAAAGAGAGCCAGCAATTTAGCACCCATGGGTTACAGACAATGCTTAAGAAGGCGAAAAACTTTTTCCCTTACTGACAACTTTTTTAGCCCACTTTTTTATCAGAGTTTTCTTCGTTGTTTTTTTTTTTTGTCATTTGTGGTAGAAAAGGCTCCCTTGCTGCCACCACTTCTTAGTGAGTTCAACTGTGTTCATCATTTTGTCGTGATCGCTACATTCCTTTCAGTAAGTGTTCTTACATGGCGAACCCCAACCGCAGCCTCTCCTCCCTAAGACATCCATAGTATACATGAAGCAATCTTTCTCGGGTAGGGCGAGGAAATATCAGGCTCACTTAAGCACGTTAGAAAAGGCAAGGAATTCTAAAAGCACTTAATAACTAAATCAAGTTGATTTAAGTCTAGTATTCGATCAGAATAAATCTATCCCACCTTCGACGTTTGCTGTACTTTTACGTGATGCATCTTGTGTTCTTTCACGACAGAGAAGCTCCATTGTGCCCACTCGTGCTTCCTGTTCTTGTAATTTTATTTCGATTCTTAAAAATCCGGCAAAAAGTAGCGACAATGTCAAGACCAAAATCACCAAACTGACAAAATGTAGCGAATTGCAAAGACCTAAATTGGGCTTAGAGAGCACCATAACGTAAGGATCCGAAGTTAGCGATCGAAATCGAGATAAAAACAAATGCTCTTTGTCTGTGGGAAATGTTTCGGCGAACCTCGTGACAGATAAGTGACCACTAACTCGCACGCGCTCCGGTCACGATATCTTCCGTATCACGCATTGTGTCACGCAACTGAAAGCTTTTCAAATACATCTGCTAACGCCAAAAAAATCTAAAGGGAGAGTTTTTATTTACTTTTATAATCAAAATTTAGCTTATTCTAGGACTTCTAAGTTTCCGAAGATGCAGTTTAAAAAAAGTTAAAGGAAGCAGCTGAAAGCCAGAATCATAACCCCAGGGGCATTCAAATTTCAAACGGTGAAATTTCGTACCGCGTTGGGTTTCTGATATCAAGTGTGCTTGTCCAGACATCGCAATGATTTGGTAAAAAAATCTGATGGCAAAGAGAATCTGCACACTTTGTTTATTTATTGTTTACCTTTACCCCTTTCCCACCGGGTAGTTAAAAAGAGCCCGAAATCTTACCCCCCCGGCCTAGTAGGTCGACCTCTCTATTTTAAGTTGAGCTATGAAGCTCTGCTTCTAATATTTAACCCATATAAAAAATATCTTATCTCTACAAGCACGTAAATGAATTTAACTTCAGGTGTAAACGTTTAAGTTCTTACTCCATCATGTTCTGTAGTGCGGGAGTACATCGATAGTTCTAGCGGCGGCTGCGTCATCGACCCCGAGGGCTGCGGTCTCTTCTCGCTGTGAACAATTCATTAAGTATGAGTGTTACAACTCTTTGCTTTTGGAATCAAACTATGGATGGTGGGTGTCAAGTGATTCCAGTTGGACGCCTCTCGTGACAGTCAAAAATGCGCATGCAGAAAGACCAACTCGTGTGCTGATTCCAGTACAGCCTGTAATTGTGACAAAAAGTGATGATCCATGGCGCGAGAAAGCGGTCTTCTCACTGAAAAGTAAGAGGTGCCTGTTGAGGAACTAAGGCTAGGAATACCGGGATAAATGGCGTTTTCAATAAGAAGGGCTATTATACTCTTGGAAAACTGAAGTGCTATGGACTAGCTATCAATTGAAAAAGTTTCAATTTGATACCAGTCTGTGCTGCGACATAAACCATCGAAGGACGCTTCTTTTATCAAAGTGGCGCTCCAACTTATCTACTGAGTAACCAAATCAATGTGTACCTCGACTAGTGGTCACGATCTCGGTTTGTCCTGGTATAAAACACTTTTATAGATGCGAAGATCTGCAGTAGGGACTAGATACTTGTTAAAGGTAGGAGCTCTAAACATACCCTTGCAGACTTACCGAGGAGAAATCAGGTTTTCCTATGTTGGTGTCACAAAATTTCAGCGATATTATATGCCTCAAATGAACTGCTATAGCCTCATTGTCAAATCATTAATGAATTTATTATTTTTTTACAATTATCAGTTTCATCTGTAGTGTGATGACTGTTAAGAGTATTTCTTAATTTATTTTTCTGAAACATGTGAATTGAACTGGTAATGCCAATCTATGTGGAAAAATTCTTTATTTGAGCCTTAACACGTAAACATTGCGATTGACAATCACCTAATTTTTTATGACAATATCACGGCTGAATCAAAAATTAGTCATTAAAAGATAGAAAACTATTGCTATCTTCAAAGGTTGGTGATTGTTAACAAATTCTCCTTGTCAGTGCAAAAGGAAACGTATTGTGAACAGTATGGAGTATATGCGTAATAATGTTAGGGTGTAAAGGTTGAATGTTACTGAAAGTTTTCTCATAATTAGTGCGTTGATAATCTGCATATTAATTGTATATTTTATAGAGCCAAATTTCTTTCACGTGGGGAGCGTAAAATGAAAAGCACATTGCGCAGGTTTATCGCCAGTATCTGTTTTTGACAATTAATTTAGTGTAGAGTAAGTCTGTCTTGGTATAGTATTTACAAAAAACTCAGGCTTTCTCCAGTACCTATCTAATCTACATAACTCGAATACAGCATCTCACTGAAAATTACCTCGACAGATACCAAACACCTGTTTTGATTCTACTTTCTAAAACTCACCCGACATTTACACTCCTCTAAAATACAACTTATGAAATAGGGAGTAATTAACTAACAAAGGAATTTCCTTTCTAATTAACAAATAGCTTCCCATGTTGCAGTGTGCCCGTTCAGGATTAGATCACAGAGTCGTAACAAAAGTGGTTAAGACTAAACAGTGGCACTGATGTTCATACCGCGTTTTGAAGTCTTCTTTGGTCTTTTACTGTAAAGACCCACAGTTACATGGAGTCTTTTTGTTTTGTATGATAAAAAAGCAAAATGTCATAAGAAACAATCAAAATGCGTGCTTCTTTCAGCTCATCGTATAAAAACCTTTACATACACATATCTATTCAGTATCCTCCCTATTCTCGAAGCGATGCCTTCAATTGCTGATGTTATTTAAAATTAATCACTATTATCGTTAAAATTTCTTTTTTGATATGATTGACTATGATCACTCGTTATCAGTTTCTCATAGTTTATCAAAGGTGGATCAAAACCTTGAAGCAGGAGGGGGGTGGGAAACCGCACCCATGACAGATCAGGGTCCTCTCAAACCTAAGTGTAATAATCGTAATATCGTTCTGTAATCATTTTCATTATAGTACTGATAACTATCTTCAGAGTCACTGTAACCACCATCATCGTTATCATCATAGCCTGTATAGCGCGCGCTCCCGCACAAACGAAGATATTTCTCGCATTATGGCCGCGCAATGATTGACACGAGAGCAAAAAGTTCGAAGGAGTGGGTGGGGAACGGGGAAGAGTTACTTGAGTTGCCCTGCCCTAACCACTCTATCGTCTAGGTCGCTATCGTCGTTATCATCATTTTCGTCATCACGCTCATTAGTATCATTATTATTGCAGTTTCCATCATCACCAGAGTCGATGAAATAATCATCGCCTTTATCAACATCATCAGTACCTTTGACACCACCATCACCACGTGTACTGTCGTCGTGGTCACCGTTGTAATGACCACCAGCATTATCATCAATTTTACTCACGCAATTAACTTCTCGACTCTCGGCGAGGTCAACATTATCACCGGGTTTATGACCATCAATCAAAATTTTCATCATCATCATCATCATCATTATCATAGTCGTGACTACCATTACCAAATCAACCCAAGTACTATCACCATTGTTATCATGAACAGCATCCAGCTTCCATAACTTCAAATTGAAGATGTTTGTCCTTGCTCGTATCTGAACACCACGCTGTACATATCTCCTCCAAGTCTTTGAGCAAGCCAGCGATTTTTTATTACAGCGAGCTTAATTGAATCACACGTAAATTTTGCGTCGTAATTTGTATGGATGGCTCTAAAAGGGAGATTAAAAAAAACAAAAAAAGTTTTTATAATGCTACGGATACTTTTAAGGGTCCTGAGTTATCCGCTTTGAAGAGCTACCACTGTTTTGTATTTTTGATATAAACGCTCTCCAAAACAAAGATAAAAGGAAATCCATCAAAGAGAATGCAACTTATGAGAAACAACTTGTTTTCTACGGTCTCTTTCAAATGTTTGAGGCGAGAGAAACAGAGAGAGGCAGAGTAAGAAAGCGAGAGAAAAGCAAAAGAACTGTAAAAATCGGACTTCTCACTGCCGCCTTTTACTGCTCTGGACACGTGACCATAACCGCTCTTGAGGCGTGAAAAAGAGAAAACCTGGGAACAACGTTCAAGTAAAGACCAAAATGACTTACCTCCCCATCCCTTCTAAAATTAAGAGATCCGCATCTCTACACTTCAGTGCAAGCTCTGTGTTCACTCTCCTGAAAAGAAGATAAAGTCGGTAGTTCACTTCTAGCGTTTTCAGGCTCATCACAGTACATTCAAGGTAAATCTTTGTTGTAGAACTATTTCACGTCTTTCTTCTTGGAGTTAAACAGAAACCATACCTACAGTCCAAACACGGAGATCCAATTCCTGACTCCATAAGAACTAACCGTTCTTCTCGATGCGCAGTCCTGAGTACCCATAAAAAAACAAAAGCGAGACGAAAGATTATGTTTCACCTCAACCTCCTACATAAGCGACGAGTGAAAAATATAAATTGCAGAGAAAGAAGGGACAGGACATGAACCGAGAAACCAGAACAAAAAACAAACAATCTCTCTCCATCTTCTCCAATGCACATAGTTGCAGAATTATTAAATTATCTCTCCTTTTCGCCAGAGGAAAAATGATGTTTCATTACCTTATTTCTGGACATAAATCTGCTATTTTTTCTGTCAAGATCACAAGTTCACTGTGCATGACGTCATTCAAGGCTGGATAAGAGTTAGCAGCCATGACAACCTAAAAAAAGGTCACGCAAAACTTAATCGAAAAAGTCGATAACATGTCACGCGTCATGTAATAAGAAATACGAATCACTAATGAACAGAAAAGCAAGTTAACGACGATACGAAGAGAAAGTTCTCCGAAATTATATGAGAGTACACAAGCAGAAAAGAAAAGATAGTTATTATCTGAAGACTGGAAATTGAAAGGAAAGTTAATATTCCGCCCTTGTCTGCTCAGCTTGCCAACACTTTCAACATTTGAACGCAAGGTAAGCGTAGGACGTCTAAAAATTATTGCGCGTTTGTTACGCATTCGGGAAGTTTTGTTCAGATTATTCTGACGCTCCCGCTTAGATAGTCAACTTAAGAGCCTTAAGCGAAGATCATTTTTAGTTCACCGCCAACAACAACAACAACAACAAAATTATATCGTAATTGTAAACGCAAAAGTTTTACCTTCGTTCCACGAGAGAGAAGTTCTCTGACAAATGGAAACATCCCTAAAATAATATCCACTCCACTGTTATCTACAAATATGACAGCCAGCTCATGAGGTGAACCCTGGTCAGAGGAAAAAAAAAAATTAATTCTTAACGGGAATTTGTATGCGAAAGAATATGTGGGGGGAAGAGAGAGGCAACTTGGAGAAGAGGGAATAAGGAAGGAGGAATAACAAGGGAGGATAAGGAGAGGGCAAAGTGAGGAGAAGGGGGGAAGGGTAAGTAAGTACAAAAGAAAGGAAGGAGAGAAGAACGGGGAAGGAAGAGTAGCGAGGGGGGGGAGGAATAGGGAGGCGATGGAGAGGAAGGCAAAGACGGAACGTGACAGGGGACAACGGACGGGGACGGTGTGGAAGAAAGAGAAAGAGAAGGAGAGAGGAATGGTTAGATGAGCAAAATGCAAATGAAAACTAACTGACCTTTGACCTTTCAATCCAAGTATCGAGGTCATCTTTTAACCATGGTCGAGCTGAGAGATTACAGCAGAGAAAAATTAGAAACGTGGTTTACGTAATGCTTAACGTGATGTGGAACTTACTCAGATCTCTTTGGTAGCATGTGGGCGTTCATCTATAGCTGATACGACTAAAACTTTACTGCACATAAAAAGGAAGTTTTAAAATTCACAACTTCTGTTTGCGTACCTTGTAGTTTTTTCATCGCTGAGTGGAAGTCGAGTTCTCCTTTTTCCATGAGCCTGTTAAATGATCGTTGGAAAGCAATTAGAGCTGCTAAATACAAACATCTCAATCCTGTGCTTTCCTTTTCCCCGTAGAGCCCTTAAAATAAAGGAGGAGTCATCTGGAAGCGGGTAATTAGGAATTAAAAAAAACCACACTGATTTCAAGAGAGAATTTGGCATTTTCAAATTGTTTTCAGCTCTGTTTTTCGAAGGACCAAGGCGTGAGTCTAGTACAGAAAAAATGGTTCAGCTTGCAAGTAAATTATAAATTTGAGAGTAGTACAAATTTAACAAGTAGACGTTTGTAATGGCATTGCTTAAAAACGCTTTTAAAGAGCGGCAAGCAAGTGCAGAACAGTGACAATGGTCCACAAAACGAAAAAGAATTCTAGGCTTTCTTCATTCTCATTTTGAAAACCTTGCTATCAAAACCAAATATCAAAGTACATTGTAGTAAACAAGGGTTCCCACTCTTACTTTGAGACTTCCTTGGCACCCCAGTCAAAAACATTTCCAGCTATGATCCCTTCAATGAGAGCAATTTGTCGCTGTTCCCATGGTAGAGCGTCCAATTCCTTAAGTCTTTTAGAGAGCAGAAGAAGTGCTGCCTCGTTTTCTTCTTGTTTCACCTGCAAGTTAAAAGGGAGGAAAAATAAACGCGTGACATCTCGAAAAGGGCGGGAAACAAGAGCTCGTCCAAAAAGGCGGGAAAAATACCACTTCCGATCAACACGGCGGGAAAAAACGCGCCCCTCGTAGAAGGTGGAAAACATGTGTCGTCAAAATAAGCGGGAAAACCAACGTCAGTGGACGCAGGAAAAAGCGGGAAACGAGCGCTCGTCCATTTGAACAGGTTTCTATCGAGTTTCGAAAGTTAACCGAGATTGCATTGGTTTTGCTTTCTTTCGCTTTGTTATTGGTCCAGAAAACTTGCGCCACTCTCTCAACCAATCAAATGCAAAACTAAAACCAATCACGACTTGGTCACCCGCGTTTTCCCGCGCTTTGGGAAGCTTGCTTGATTCTACTTTGAGTTCTCATTGGTTCTTAGGAGTATTTTCCTTTCATGTGATTGGTCGTTGTGATCACCTTGCTTTGGTTTTGAGACACTCGACTTAAAACGGCGCAAAAAAATTTTAAAAAAGCAAAATAAGCGGAACCCTTGCTCAATAGCAAATTGCCTGATGAACAATGGCCACATGAAGTGAAATAATAGCTACCTCTGCATACGGATCAGGAAAGCTGAACTCGTTCAGGTATTGTTCTCTCACGTCTAATAAACTTCGTACATTCAACGTTCCATAGGCGCTGTAAAGGAAAAAGTGTCACGCAAGTGTGTCACACGAATGTGGGCCCTTGTGACAAAGAGTGTCACGCGTACGTCAAATTGCGCTTTCCATTATAGTATTAAGGCAACTTTTTCACCCATTATTGGAAGAGGAAAGGACTGGGCGATTTTCAAAGGGCTGGGATCTACATTTTCCCACAAACTATTCCAAGAATAGCAATGGCAGTGAATAAAGAGGTAAATATCATGAGGAAACCTAAATTGAATTTGACTGAATACTGTATAGCGAGTCAGGTGTTAATTAGCAGTGTATGAAATAAACAATGAAAATAAAGACCTTACGAGGTGTTGTTCTCCTTTACTGATTCCAAGTTGAATTAGAATTTCTAATGTTGGTTTTGCTGGGCAAGGAATAATGTACCCAATTTTTCCGAGGAAAATAGATCATTGCTATAGTCCAGGGGAATCAATTCAGGTGACATTTGAGTATGCTAGGAAAATAACTCACGCGGGTTGCTCCTTGAGAACATTGAGGCGAAGTCGAAATTTGTTCCGAAACTTTTCTGCTCTTTCTCTAGCGTCTGGAGAGTCTGGCTGGCTTGCTACGGCGCGTGCAACAACCTGATAAAATTACAAGAGAAACATGAAAATTAGCCACGCCCGTAGTTATCGGCAAATTAACTCCACTAAAAAAGGGCCGTGTTGAAAAATTTTGGATTAAGTCAACAAAAATTATCCGAAGATGCAAGCGGCAAATGCAGTGAATGCGTTGTCCACTACTTCACTAAGAGACTAGGAAGTGAACTAAATTAAATTAATTCAAAGTGAAGAAAGCTTACTTTCTCCAGTCCGTCCTCGAAACAGCTGAGCCAGTATTCCCGCGCATCTGTGTCAACTGTGAGGTCTTGTGTATCAGGAAAGTAGTCGCTGGGCGAGGAGAGGAGAGGGAATGGAACTAGCGTGTGAGAAAATTGGTCCATCTCTAAAACATCGTACTAAAAAATAAATAAATAAATAAATGAATGAATTATCAAGGAAGGCTCATGAAAATTAGGTTAGTCTTTCACATAAATGTTACCTGCGCGTTATATCATCAAATTAATTTATGAACTATACAACAAAATGAACAATTCAAAATAATAATTAAACATTCATTCAAGTCTCACCCCTATAGCCGAGTGTAAAGTTTTTTTAATTAAAGTGGCAAAAAAAAAGACTTCTGGAAAATACACGCGACTAAGTCATAATCGATTGTGGATCATCACCAGTTGGTGACTGTTTGAGTACCCAATGAAGCAAACTAAATCACACATGATTTTTTTACTACAAACAAAAGTTAACAAATTTAAGCTTACACACGAACTGAGTAGTTTATTCTGTCGAAGCTCATTTCAGTTTACAATATGTTAAGCAACTTAAATAAATTTAACATCTTTAAGATCTCGAGATTTCCATGAAGTGATAGTTCAGTTCTAACTACGACAATGTAAGACGGTTTTATGGATTCGTTTCTTACCATGGCTCCATCAGAGATCCGAGAGTTGAGCAGATCGGAGGGTAATTTCACAGAAGGTAATCCTGAGCTGCCTGCGTAATTCTCTCGCCACGTCAATACATTCAGATTACTTAAATTGACGTCAGCTAAAAGAACAAAATTAGAATTGAAGGCCGATGGCAGCGAAGCATACGTTACCCCTGAATTCATATGTTAGATTTCCGAAAATTCTCCGATTCTTATTTGTTCAGTTTTCAGTTATTGCCAAGACCTCGATGATCCTCACTCAAATTTCAAGTTTTTCCAGAGCGGCCAAATATAGTAACGAATGTCCATGTTAAAAAAAATTCGCATGTACCTATTTATATTTGTAGGTGGAGAAGTGCACTATGGGAGGAAAAGGGCCTATCCCAATAACCCGAGCAGGGTTAGAACCCAGACCCTTTCAATCCAGAGTCCGGTTAGGGTGCTCACCACTCGGTGTGATGAGTTTTTGGGCCTACCACGACCTTAGCAGGTCCTGTACATATTGAAGATAGTAATATTGTTTAATCAATTAACTAATCTTACCGTCTTCTTCTACTCCTTTAAGAAACGCTCCTATGGCCCCGAGATATCCTTCATGCCTCAGAAACATCGCCTTTTGACTTCCCTAAAACAACACAAAACAGCTTTTCCCAAAATGTCCCAAAAAGATTTCAAGCCTTTACATGAACGTCACTTTCTGTAGAATGCAAAATTCGGGTTGGTTACGTGTTCAACATATTTCAAATTTGCTCGACTAATTCCAGGTATAAAGCAGGCGATAGCAACGAGTATTTCGATTCCTCCACGGGATACAGCATCAATCTGTGTCATGCCATCACTAATTTCGTATCATTTAAGCCTGCTACCTGGAACGAAGGACCAAGAGAAAAAAGCCTTGCCCAAAAACACGACACAATGACCCCGCCCAGGGTCAAATTCAGATCCCTAACCCCGACTTTCAGAACGTTATCCGCTACGTAAGTGCCAAGTATTTGTTCATGTTCCTTCACCATTTAAACCCTCAGAGCGACCAGTATACAGCTGAATCATTCGTGAAGATCATAAGAATAAAGAAAATGATTACCAGCTAAAGAGGCTCTTGATTGTTGAACAAATTCTCTTTGTTAGCACCTTAGGAATGTATAGAGAACAGTGTGGAGAATATGCATTCTGATGTTAGGTTGTTAACGGTTGACCTACCTTTGACCAGTAATTTATACCATAAGATATGGAGTGCATCGTCACGGGGTTCCCTCTGATAAAATATCCGCCAAAATAAAGTCTCTTGAGGCCGTTAAGTTTCGCATAAAGTGAGGCAATCTGAAATGAAAAGACAAAGTAATAATTTCTCCGTAAGTGCTGGAGTCGATCAAGGACAACCTTTGCAGTTCTTGTATTTTCTTTTAAAGGAAAACTGAAGCTTAACAAAGAGTCCTCGACTCATAAACCTGTGAAGGAGGGGATGAAAAGATTATCTAGAAATTCTCTTAGATGTCTGCATCGTTAAAATTATAAAAAAAATTAACTTTTCTTCCGCTACACAATTTTGATGAGAATTCTAAAGTTATTTGATAAATAGATAATTTGGTTTTATAAACTGAGTTGCAGATGTAAATTGGCTACCGTAAATAGTTTCTACTGTTGACTTTTCGAGCCAGTTAGCCCTTCGTCAGGGCAAAGGAGAAATAGGTCAGTTCTTGAATAATCATTGGATTCAACAGTTAGAGAAAGTTTTCTTTTATCAAAAATATTCAAAGCTTTAGATCTGCCCGAATTTCGTGAAAAATGCTCTTACTGTCAGGTTAAAGGTAGTTTCAACAAACCTGCCCAATGTCGTTGCAAATTAGATGCAGAAGACTTTTTGCTATATCTGCCTCGGCGAACTTGGTAGCTAAACGAAAAGAGATGTCACAAAGAAGTTTTTAGGTAATTTGACAAAAAAGTGTTAATACTAATAGCTTTCCCTTATCAAGTCTGGAAAAAACGCCGGAAAATCGCGTCCAAACCGATCTAAGCACGGGAAAACAGCCAATCAGCGCTGAAGGTGGAAAATTTGTAACCTCTTTCTCTTCCTGGGAGGCTGTCTAGTAAATAGGTAATTTAGTGTTAACAACTGAGTTGAGAACGTAAATTGGCCACCATAAAGAGTTAAAAGGCTGACGTTTCGAGCGTTAGCCCTTCGTCAGAGCCATTGTATTAAATATACGCTGAAGGCTATAAAGGCAGGCACAAATCGAATAAACGCTCGTTTGACCTGCGCTTGCATTTCTTGAGTTCAGCGGATATTTACGGTAGAGTCTTTGTATAGGAGAAATGTAATTATTACAGTCAAGGACACGTTTTCCAAGGATATCTTAAAACCATTTCACATGGCGACTTAGCAACAGTTGTCGATCTAAGTGCGATTCACAAAAAGTGATCTAAACTGTAATGAAGTTTGAACAAACCACTGTCTTGATCATCTCTCGGTGACCTGACCGTTTTGCCAAAACTGCTCGCAGTTAAGTCTCCTGGAAGCTTTAATGCGTCGTAAGCTCCGCCATAGATGTCTCTCACCTACAAAATAATTGTTCATTAAGCCTCAACGAGAAGATTTTTCGCTGAGTGTCGTATTAGGAAAACCAAGGTAAACACTACAGCCAATCAAAACAGAGCTGAGCATTACAATAAACCAATGAGAAAATGCAAGCGACCTCAAGCGCGGGAAAACGCGGATGACCTCATGACGATCGGTTTTAGTTTTGCATCTGATTGGTTGTCGAGATGACGCGAGTTTTGTGGGCCCATCACAAAGCACATAGCTGCAAAATCCTAGCAACTTTCGATACTAAATCAGAAATTTTTCTGTTCCTTCGAGAGAAGAGCAACCATGCTGTGAGAAATAGAGAAAATACTGCAATTCGTACCAACATGTCCACACTTTGGTGATGGCCTTTGGTTGCAAGCTCTAGTAACTCATCAAAACCCTGCAAATCGAAGGAACGTTATCCAGTAGTTAGTGATAGTTTTTGTTTCTGTTCAAACAAAACTGAAAAAAGGAAAAGACGCCGAACAGAATAAAATCAACGAACAAACAGACAAACAAAACCAACCAACCAACAAATAAAACACGACAAAACAAAGGCAGTAAATTGGTAGGACTCGACCCAAAGCCTAACATTTTTTAAGCTAAATCCATTTGCAATAAAATAAACAAATGGGTGATACATAGTTTAAAAATTAAGTTTCAAAAGCGTATTGAATTCAATTCAGCACCGCTCTCTGTCTTATGTTTCGCGGTAGTTAAATGCGTCTCTTGTACCTTGGCACTCGTTAGAAGCGAACCCAGGCCCCAAAAGGTTCCTCCGCCCATGCTTGTTCCACCAACTCGTTCATACTTGTTTTCAGACTCTACCTGGAAATACAGATTGAAAACATTTTAACTTGTAAGCAGGTAGTTGTGCAATTAAATACAGTAATGTTTTATCGTATAGCAATGTCAAAAGAACTTTTGCATTTCGCGTTCCGATTCGCAAGAAGTCAAAACTAAATTCTGCATCAGAAATCGTGGATTGTCAGCATCTAAGCAACTTTACACCTACCCCTCCCCTAACCGAACATTAACCCTCACCTGTTATCAGTTGAGTGTTTTTGGGTCAGGGGAGGGGTAGGAAAACAGTTGCTCAGATGCTGACATTGATCCAAAAAGGTTTCCATAACAATCGGTGTCGATATTGCGATCGTGTAGCGTCACCTTAAAGGTAAAATACCTTTATTATACTGACTCCAGAGCCAATATTAACCAGAAGGTAAGGAAATATTTCCGAATGATCAAGAACTTGGAAGACATATGGAGGATTCTGGTCTCGATGAAACTCAAACACTTCGTAAGAAATGTTCTTCAGAAGAAAGTTTCCACCTCTGATGAGGCATTCCATCTCGTCCTCTTTGTCAACTCTAACAAATAGATACTACATTTTAATGACTTACAAATAAACAATAGCTTAACTACTGGATAATTTCCTCTCTCTCTCTCTATCTCTCTCCTTCTTCTGCTCATCTTCACATTGACCCCTCCCCTTCGATATCTACTCTTCATTCCTTTCCGCTCTTACCTCTTTCCTGCCCAAAATTATAATCTCCCTCCTTGTCTTCTCCTGCTCCTCAAATTTTCCTCTTTCCCTTCCCCATCTTCGCACCTCTACCCGAAACTTCTTCCCCCTTCCATCTCTTTGCCCACTATCATGTTCAGCCTTTTCTCTCTATTTCCCTTCTTCCCTGACTTCTATCCTTCTACCTACCATGCATTACTTCATTCCTCTTTCTCATTCCCCTTCCCTTTCCTTCCCACCCATCTTTTCACATCCCAACCCCTGCCCACGTCCTTGCTCCTCTTCCTCATTTCCCTCTCAAACTTTTACCCATTCAACAAATCTACTCTTACTCCCTCCTATTTTTCTGCCAACCCTCCAGTCCTTCTTCCTCCCCCATCCATCTCCTTCCTTCCCCTTCCCATTCATCTGTTCACCCTCCCTCCTTCCCTCTGATCCTATTCCCATATTTTCCTCCCTCCTCCCTCCTTCACTTCCTCCCATTCACTTCCTTCCCATTCACCCCCTTCCCATTCACCCATTCTCTCTCTCTTTTTCTCCCATCCTTACTTAATCCAATTTCCCACCTGAGGCCAAGTTTACTTGTAAGTAAATCCATATATTTGTAAGCTCCACCACCTAAGAGGGAAAAAAAACAAACATTTGGTCCATTATGTACATAAAGGTGACTTTTCAAACTTATCAGGTCTTGTGTGCAGAGAGATAAGAAGTCCATCCCATATGTATCTGTCACTAGCATATGTATCTGTTACAAAGGTCTTTTTTTAAATTTTTTTTATTTTTTAATTTGTTTAAATTTTTGTTGTTGTTGTTTTTTAATTTTATTTTTCTTTTGTTATTAGTCTTTGACACTGATCATTTTAACTGGGTAAATAATTAAGACAGCTTATCTTAAGGAATCTTATATTCTATTTTAAGCTGTCATCAAACTGATTGAATTGACTTGGTCAATGTTAAATTAATTTGGAATTTATATTAAAAATTAAAGAAAATGAAGGCAGCCTACCCGTGGCTTTCAAAGCCCTATCTTTGCTGACAGCAGATAGGATGTTTTCTTGAATAAAATTAACACACATCTCTATGTACTTTGTTTCAAACTTGATAAAGTGTAATCTGAGGTTGGACTCTTGGTCATCTTTGATCTCGTAGATATGCATAGATGATGGACTTCTGTCTGACTGGGAAGATTTACAGCAATTACGATTAGCCCAAGAAAATATGAATCCTGCTTGCCTGACTGTTTAATCAACAATTTTATTATAGTAAACAGTTCTCTAGTATAAACACCTCTAAAGACATAAAGACAAACAATTTAAAAATTGTATCTTATACCCCTCTCTCCTGGTCTTCATCATCACTTTTGTTAGTGAAGCTGTAATGCCGCTTTCTGATGTACCTCACTTCTGACATGTATGCCACCTTCGCAAGAGATCCACCTGTCGGATACATATTGACAAATGCACAATAGATAAGATACAGCCCAAAATTGAAAAGCTGGAAGGAGAAAGGTCAAGTTTCAGCCATTTTTTACACAGTTGTAGCAAGAATCTTTGCAAAAGAAACCGGACAGTTTATCATGTGACCTTTGACAAGCGCGTTACGTTCGACAAACTGTACAGAACATACCAATATCCACTGCAAATATCTTAGCGTTTTTTAGATTTCGAAACACCTCAGGCAAAGATATACTTTTCGCATAGCCCGAAGTACTTCCTTGCGTAGCTTCAGGATCCATAATTATGCGTCTAAAGGCGAAGACCTCATTTAAATCTTACGAAAGGTTTTTAAAGAATTGTTGGTCAAAGTACGCTAAGTCGTCCGCCATTTTGAATTATTATGAGGTGAGTCCGCAATGTTAATGCACGCTAGTCTCCAGGTCCACTCTAAGAAGTCCCCATGTGCTGATTTCTGCAGAGTTGTCTGCTAAACGTTACAGATCATATATTTTGTGTGAAAAAAGAAAATATTTGCAAATGAACCTACTGCATTGGTAGCAGACGTTTCAGGATTTAAACACCCATTTGCGTCTCTATCCTCGTGAATTGTACGGAGATTTACATCACCAAGTTGAGCGATTTGGAACTTTTCAAGTGTTGAAGTGAGCAAAAACACAGACTTCAGCTTTGTCTTTTTCAAGCATCATGGTGGTAATGACAACGTTCCCTCCTCCGACTGAGGGTTTGCATCATGTTCAAGATAAAACGGAGGCTTTCATCCACGATAAGTCGTGTGGAGTGGGAACTTTGTATATTGCAGCAGAGTAAGTGAAAAGTAATTTACTTCTAATGTTGTTAATTGAGAGTCAAGGGTTTCTCACCACTAACGGGTATATTAAACCGCCTTACACTCATTCCCAGGGGGAGGAGTAGAAAGGATGCTTGCTATATTGCAGGGTCCCCCCTGTTATACTGGGAAACCTTTTACTAAATGGTGCACCAGTGGTGCTATGTGATGCTGATTTTAATTGTGATGAAGATATTAGCAATGATGCATTGACAATAATAATGATGATGATGGTTAGATGAACACATCGAGATTGAAAATCACCTTCAACATTTCACCAAAAGCAACAAAATAGGTCTATTCAATAAGATGTCTAGGATCCAGACCTGGCTGGGTCAGTGTGCTGTGTTCTTGGGAAAAACACTTTACTCTCGTAGTGCCACTGTGGGTACTGGAAAATGTCAGGGAAGGTTTGGTGGGGGGTGAGTAGTGATACCCCTGGCCACTTCATACCATCTTTGTACAAACAATTTTACATTTGTGGGTTTTGATCACATCTTCTTTGCAGTCGATTGTCATGGAGTGATCCAGAATCTGGAAAGGGCTTCTCATTGGAGTATCCATCAATATCCTTGCATGCAATATGCAGGGATACCTCACAGTTTCCTCATGAGTGTATTTACTGCATGATGGATTCACCTTTAGATGGTATGTGTCGCCAGACTGAAGAAAAAAATATGGCTTCACTTTACTAATCATTTCTTAAATGACTATTTCCCCCTCATTTATGGAACTCATTTTATACCTTAACATTTCTGCAATGGCCAGTTAGTATTGTTCAAAAAAGGCCATAATGTACTGAATTCAAATGCTCTATTATGCCGCAAGAAGTGGATTCCTCCATCTTTTGAAACCCAGAAGTCCATTCCCCACTCCACAAAAAGTTTTTATTGTAAGGCTACCAATATATCCAATATATTGCAAATTTTCTTTTCAAACAAATTCTAAAAACTTTTAAACCTGAAAGATGTCTTTCACACTTTTCCCAGCCATGTTGGTAAAGAATTTTTCCCTTTATGTACAAACTGTTTTGTTTGTGATGATTGTTTTGTGATTTCAACACTCAAATTGAAAGCTGTATACTTTTGTCTTTAACCAGCCCTTCATTCCTTTGATTACAGTGCACCCTGCATACAATTTGGCCTCCAGAATAACACATTTGAAATGTACATGTAGGTACATTTTCTTATAGCAGAGGTTAATTTGTGTTGTTTTTTTTCAGATGGTGGAAATGACAGTGACAGTGACGACAGCGATGGCAAAGTTGGAGAAGTTAGATTTGTTCCCGAAGACAAGTCAGCATGTAAGATGTCTGTCATGTTTTGCCTCAACTAGAGATTAACTTAATATTGACAATAATTAATTGAATGAAGTTGAAGATGATCAATTGTTGTTACATGCAGAATTATTACACCAGGTTTTTAACTTAACCCTTTAACTCCCAAGATGTGATTGTCAATTCTCCCCTCTAGTTTCTACACCAGTAGTTGGCATTAGACCAAGATAACAACTTCTACGTGATAAGTTTGACTATTCTTATTACACATTTGCTGGATAATGTATGGATATTATAGGGAGAATTTGCTGGTTAACCCTTTAACTCCCATGAGTGACCAAGACAGAATTTCTCCTTACAATATCAATACAATATCAATCAGATTAGTGAGGAGAATAAAGAAAAATAGCAATTTGGGGATAAGAAGTTGATCCAATACTTAATTCTCTTAACGAAAATTATAAGAATTGTAAGGTTGACAGTAAGGAGAATTACAAATTTGATCTGGGAGTTAAAGGGTTAAGATAAACAATAACAACATTTGTCTGACTCTTTATTGTTTACTTCAATTTTTTTTTTAAATAATTTATTGATTGAAGCTGATGATGTTCAATAGTTGTTACATATAAAATTACTGCACCAGGTTGTTAACTAAAGGCAGACAATAACAACACATGTCTGACTCTCTGTTGTTTACGTCAATTTTTGTTTTTTTTTGTTTTCCCATAACAAGTGGATGTCATGTTCAAGGCTTTATCTGAGTGTCAGGTTCTCCATCCAGACCCTGAGAATGAAGAAGGGGAAGGTACATTACTAATCTTTGATTAAAATACTAATTGATTAGTCCTAGAGTGATGCAGGTATGATGGAGTGCAAGGCTCTCCATGCTGTGGTCTTGGGTAAGAAACTGTACTCTCTCAGTGCTTCTCTATCTAGGAGTATGAATGGGTGCTGGTGAACTGTCAGGGAAACCTGATAAAATGCCAGCAGGTTCACTTATAATGGACTAGCCTTGGGTCCAGGGGGAGAAGTATGAGAGTGCAGTAATACATGAATATGATTATGTAAAAATCATATATGTGAACTGCAGATTAAGAAATGAATATAAGAGCAGAAATAAACTCTACTTAAACAGTAGTGAAAATAAGGTGTGTAAGGATGGCTTTCATTTTCAAAGTGGTAATACACTGAGTCTGCTGTATGCTACAGAAACTGTAAAAGTTTATTTCTGACTGTACCTTACCTTACCTTATGTTGTAGAGGATGAAGACTTTTTTTGTGATGCAGAGGAAGGAGAGCTTTCAGAGGAAGGACAGGTCTCAATTATTTCTTTTTTTACTTATTTTCTTTAACACCATTGTGTTACAACAAAAGATGCTTAAATTTTAAGGGAACCACTCAAGGTTACAATAATGAATATAAAAAAACTGGATTTTTAGGTTTTCATAATCTTCAGGAAAAAATTAAATCATTGTTTCCTCTAATCTGTACTCTGATTTTTTTCCTCTTTTTAATCAAAGGCAACACTTGAAAGGCTGGAAGGCATTATACAGATGCCAAGTCAGGAAGAGTTTGTTCAAATGACATCTACCCAAAATGGACACTACCTTAATGGTCATAGTAATGTGCAAGGTTAGTGGAGATGACAGTTAACTCTTTGACCATAAAGAGTGACTGGCATCTAATTTCTTGCTACAATATCACCCCTGAATCATACATTTAGGTCATGAGGAATAGAGGAAATGATTACCAACTAAAGAAGCTCTGGATTGTTCAACAAATTCTCCTTGTCAGCACCTTAGGAAATTTATAGTGAATTGTATGGAGAATATGAAAACTGATGTTAAGGTGACTGGGGGGCTCTTATTGAAAGCTCTGTGATAAGCAGGTTGAAAAATTACTGATGATTTGTATTGAAAAATATTTTAATTTTCCTGTTCCCAGCTGATGATGAAATGCAACCCAATACAGGAAATGATGAGCAGTTTGAAGATGCAGAGAAATAACAACATGCTTATGACAATCTTTATCATACTAAAACATTGTTCCATGCAAGAAAGACCCCATTTTCACAGCTGTAGCTCTTATCAGGGAAAGAAGAGAAATGTTTTTTCCAGGCCCAGCTGTGCTTTTTTTTTCAGGCAGAGAGGAACTTAACAAAATGCTGTGTACTTAATAAGGACTTCTGCATTATATAGAAGTTTATTGGAGGTCTAACAACATGATATTGTTATATATTTAAGAGGAAAAAAACAATGACATGTAAAATATTCTCAACATATAATCACAGAGAGAAGAGTCCTATATCATGGCATTAATAATTTCCAGGGAAACTCATTGCGTGTAAAACTGTAAATTTTGTTACACTTTTATTACTCTTTAACTCCCAGAGGTGATTAACATGTAAATTCTCTCTATAACATCCATACATTGTCTAGCAAACAGGTGTGGAGAATACCCAAACTTATCAGGTAGAAGTTTTACTCCTGATGTAGCAGTGAATTCTCATAACTGATATATAAGAAAATGTGTTGCAACAAGAGGGCAGATTTTGGGAGTTGATGAGTTATTAATCACTTCTTGCACAGTTTTATTCACATTTTGATTTGCATACCCTGTCTTGTTGCAACTCATCATTGGTTGTGCTGAAAGAATACTGATGATCAAATGATCAGAGAGAGTCTGTGCATCTTCAGTGTAAGGCTTTCTGAAGCCAAGTTTGCTACTAGATGGAAAAAAAACAGTGTTAAGCACAAACGTTTCTTCACCCTGTGCAAAGTCCTCCTTCTATTAAGATCCTTTGCATGATGTTGTTTGTCTTGTTAAAAGGAAATAATAATTTCTTTTGGAAATGAATTCAACTTTGTGGCCTTTGTATCATGGTATTTTTTATGTCCTATACAGTTGAGTGAACCTAACACAGCTGTTTTCTTTAGAGAGGCAAAAATGAACTGGAAGGGGAATGCAGTGGCTCCTTGCCCACTTCTACATTAAACAATCAGTTGGAAAACTCATGCTCATTTTCAGCATTTTAAAGTAATTAATACTGAAAAAAGGTTTATGATAAATGCTTAAGAACAGAACTCATAACTTCCAGCTGCCATCTACCTCTCGGAAACAACAAAAAACCGTTTTTTTTCAAGCTTCCTTCCAATTATTCAACAGCTGTTCCTCCTGTGCAGACTTTGAAACCACTTGTTCAATGGTTTTATTTTTCTGTTTGTTTCGTTTGTTTTGTCAATTTTTTCTTACCACAATTGAAACCAAATATTTCATGATTGAAAAAAACAACTCACAAATTTCCAAAAACGAATTATTCATCATTTGTTTTTGTGAAAGTATAATCCTCATTTGCCAAGCTGAAATCATTATAAATAACTTGAGATATCAAAAGTTGAAAAAAGAAAGAAAAAAGAAATATGAAAATGAATCATAAAGAGGAGGTACCTCTGCATCCATATTTAGTGAATTTAGCCAATATCTTCAAGGGAAATCCACGAAAATTATTACTTTAAAATTCAAGAACTGTCGGTTACCGGAAACAGGTTACCTCAGTTTACTTCCGGAACTTTTCTCCTGTTTTTTTCTTTAGCATTGTCAATGACGACATTTCCGGTGTGATTTGAACATAACACAAAATCGCAGAGCAGTTCTTTCGCTGGCTCATTTTCAAAGAATCACTTTGCACTTTCATGCCGTTTTATTGCTGTCAGAGCTTGCTTGTGGCGGATCGGGAGGCCGAAGATATGAACTACTATCGAAATGCTAACAAAGATGTAGCCCCAAGGAACAGCTTTAGACACCGTATAGTTACTAAAGAAATGGCTTTCTACTGCTTTGATATCTTAGCCATGCATCTAGGCTTATATCATCATCAAGAAGCGCCGTGGCCAAACTTCCCAAACGATGAGTTGTAAGTATATTAAGGTTCCCTGGTTTATTTGCAGTTTATCGTACAGTAGCGATAGCTTAGCTGACCTTCGCATGGGAAATATATAGCTCAGTGAGACGCGATTTGGATGAGAAACGGCCGTATTCTTGTTCAGGGGTTTCTCTGTTCCTGGCAACAAAAGATTGTACATGAAAAGAAACGCCGATCTAGCGACCGAACGTTCGCTTCACCAACCACGAATTTGGTCTTAAATGAAATCTTTCCCGCTGACTCCATTCGGTATGGCCATTAGAACATTTCTTAGTGCCTCAATGGTCGGTGAAAAAAAAATTTATGTGACCTTGAAACAGGCAGTTTGCATGACTTGAACCGAAGCTACAGTATACAAAATGCAAATTAGTCGACCGATTTTGGCATTGTTATTGTTTGAACCTCCAAGATTATATCATTCTTTTGACATGTTACCTGTAACATTTCCCAGGAATTGGTCGAGCATCGTTTGAAAGGAATATTTTATGCGAATTGTTCAAGCCTTCGTCTCAGTTCAAAATCGACGAAATTCAACGTAGGTGTACTTCGGGAGGCCCTTATTTGAGTTCATTGTATACATGAATTTTTTTCATTAGCTTCAGCTGTAGTTTGTTCAGGCTTATTAAACTTAATATTTATTATCTGGCCATTGGTGTAAATATATTTAGTTGCTCAATCTTTTTAAACTGGTGCAGATCTCGTGGTTGAAAACAAATTGAAATTTTTAGCAATGTTTTTCACTGCCGGATTGTTTGAGATGTATGTGGTCATGCTAAACTTGGTTTGAAAGAGATTTTCAGATAGACGATGTTTATGTATTTGCCAAGGTGACTCTCTCGGAACAATAAATATTTCTGCTTTAAAACCCAATCAATATGAAACTTACAGTATTTGAAAATTTTGTACTCTGTTTCTATGGCACTTTGTTTAAGAAATTGATTTCTATGCACAATGAATCCAATTTCGTCTTGCTCAATAGACCAAGTAGGAAAAAATTTTTGGAATTAATATATGTTACTGTCAACAGTTTGATATCAACTAACTGAATTATAAAAAAATATTCATGACTTGTAAAATGAGCCATCTTCCTGTTATGGTATCAAGATATATTTTTTTCTCAATTTTTAAAAACAAATCTGCTGTTGATGTATGCAAAATAATTATGTATTTGTTGGTGATTTTCATTCTATTGTTAAATTTTCATTCAAACTTATCTTTATTTTTTCATTCTTACCAAGCTTAGTCCATTGATATCTAAATAAGTACAGCTTAGAACAAAAAGTGATGGAATTCATTTAGATAATTTTCTCTCAGATTCCCATATTTTTTGTCAAAAGCAATTTGCTGATTCTTATAGCCACAATTGTTTTTATGTATATTAGTATAAAGGTTCAAAGTTCATCAATGTAGCAATTTTTGTATTACAATTTTAGAAGCAGATTGATTTGACCCTATATTTCTTAAAATCCAAATAAAAATTTTCTGCACCGTCAACCACAGATTTCCTACAATTTTACCTCTTAAAATTGGTTATAAAATCAAACAAGATTCCTTAATTAATAATTTCATTTCTATGTCCAAGAGACTTCATGTTGTGTGACAGTAATGTACATGTATCTACTACGCGGAGACAGATGTCTAGAATAAATCTAGCCATCAAGAGATAATGAACTCTCAAGCTAGAGGAATTGATTGACTTCTTCTGATTATCACCTGGCAACAACCAGTCATGTTATTAATCTGCTAACTAGTATAAAATCCTTAAAACTTAAGGTCCTTTTTTCATGCAATAATACTGTAGCTCTTGCCCATCTGTTTTACTGATTTACTGGTAATACTGCAAAAGTGCAGCAAGTGATTAGTTAGGGAAACAACTCTACTGATTGTTTATTTAGTGTAGTTCAGAAAACCCACGTGAACTGGACTAAGTTCTCAACATCTTCTTGTCACCTTTTTGTGGAAAATTTATAGATAGATTCACAAACATAATGCTATCAACAATGCTGATCCTATCAGTTAGTAGGACATGTGTCATGTTTGAAATCCATAATGGCCCCTGCTCACCACAATCTCTGTGGCTCAGTGGTAGAGCATCAGAACTCGGAATCTGAAGGTCTGAGGTTTGATTCCTCATGGGGACTTAGAGTGTTTCCTTTGTCCCATGCTTGTGACAAGATGAAAAATATCTTTCTTTATGTATTGATTTGGTCAGGAGAAATTACATTTTGGTCATTAATTTGTGCTATAGGGTTTTTGTTTTTGCAAGCCATAAATTTGTATCAGTATTGACTTGAACAGGGTTATTCTAGAGATTGCCTCAAGATGGCCCAACAGGCCTTTTAGTTCAGGGGGCCCTTTTCAAGCAGGGAGGCCTTTTTCAAAAGAGGGGATCTTTTTGAAGAAAGGGGCCCCAAGAGTGGTAACCAAGAAGGTGTTTGAACATATTTGTATAGTCTTACCAGTGAGGAGACCCAGAAGGGAAAAGAAATTTAGATAGTGAGAGGCTATTAAGTTTGAATTGACTTGAAATATAGCAGCTCAATCTGAACCTGCTAATTATTTTTTAGAATTTCTAAATACAAAATTCTTCAAAATTGAACCCCATTTGTTGCTCAGATGTAATTTTTCATGTGGCTTCTTATCGCATAATTTTAGAAAACTTGCAAAGCTGCGCTTTAGAATAAACTCTCGAGAGCATTTTATTTTTATTACCAAGTTGAGTTTAGAGATCCATGATTCTAAAAGCCTTGTTTGAATAGTTCTCAGCATGATCTAGCAAATCCCTACTATTACAGGCCATTCCCTGTGTTTGTATCCACAATTAATGACATTATTGTCTCTCTTTCTCTGTTTTTAGTCCCCTATTTGTCACTTGGAAGATTGGCCAAGATCACAGACTACGGGGTTGTATAGGAACATTTACCGCAATGCGACTTCACAAAGGTCTTAGAGAATACACCCTTTCCAGGTAGGAATTAATTTTTAACTTAAGAACTAATAAAAACTTGCATGATCTAATCATAATTTCTCCCTTGTAGCTGCTTTATGATTTCTTTCAACTTCGTGCGGAGAATTTAATTTGGACTTGTATCAAAAACTGTGAGAGAAGTGACAAGTTACAGTAGTTCCATGTACTTCTGGTCGTCAACAGGACGTGAAATTGCGCCTAATACAGGTGCCAATGCGACTAAATTTTTCACTTTGGCGACCAAATCCTGAAAGTTAGTCGCCAAATTGGCGACTAGAATGTTTCATCATAACCTTACCAAGAGATATAGTGAATTAAAAAGATTTGCAAAGATAAACGTAGCACATGCATCTTGATCGAAAACTAGACGCCATCTTGGATTTAGATGAGCCTGAACGTTGTATATCATCCATCCTAGAGTCCACTTTGTAGCATGTTAAAGATCTTTTCCCTAACTTAATTTGGGAGGGTCTATCTAGAACGCTGACAGCGTAAAGAAAGATTTTGTTTGTCTTTGAAAATGGTGACCAACTTTTTTTGAATTGGCTACCACTTTAAAGAATTTAGGAGCCAAGTGGCTATCAGAAAAAAAAGTTAATTTCACGCCCTGTACTTACAAGAAGAATTTGCTTCACAATCAGGAGATTAACCCTTTCCACCCTAACATGAGTATTCATATTCTTCACACTGTACCACATACATTTGCCAAGGTGCTGTTTCTTTCACTAGTGTTCCTTATAATTTTATTTATGTTGAATTGTTGTTTGTGGGAGAAGTTTTGTTTGATTTCAAAACCTAAAAGTTCTTTGTTTTACACAACAATGTAATGCAAAGAAAACTTCTAGCACTGAATAACAAAGGCAGATGAGTAGCACATTCTTTTAAGACTGTGTGTATAAAAAAATGGAATTTGTACATCTGACTACCCTGTGTATACATCTGTGTAGTTAACATATCTGTGAGTGGTATTGTACATGTATAACAACATACATTATTTTGTTTAGAGTAACACTTTATTTTTTTGCAAAGGAGACACTTAAACCCAGCTGATCTCTTGTTGCAAAGTTAGATTTTTCTTTAATGGATTGTTTTAAATGTCTTCATCTGACAGCTGTGTTTTCTACTCTTTAGATTCTCAAAGATATGTTTTTTTCTTTTACAGTGCTTTAAGAGATAGCCGATTTTCCCCAGTCACCAAAGATGAACTAGCATACCTCTTCTGTTCTGTGTCTGTGTTGACTAATTTTGAAGAAAATGTCAATTGTCTAGACTGGGAGGTTGGTATAAAATGTACTATAGATATACTCTCGACTGCATTAGATTACAGACTTGTAATGTTACTCAATCATTTAAATGCTGTATATTTGAGTTATTATGGATGTGTGAACTTGTCTATTTAAGAGCTTGGGGAAAAATGAAAGAAGTGTTTCAGTCTCTTGTTTTAGATCTTTCACTGCATATATCAATTGTCTTTCAAAAATGAAGATTGAAGTAAATAATGAGTTAACTTGATGAAAAACTCAACTTAATGTCAGCAAAGTATGTTAATGCAGCACAAAGTAAATGTCATTGTACATTCCTAAAATGAAAAGACTGCACTGTTCATCACTCGCTGTTCTCTGTCTCTTTCCATGTTGCTGTTTTTTTATTCCATGATCAATTGTTGTTCGGATTGTTACAATAGCCAAGTACATCAGCATTGAGAGGGAAAGAGAAAGGTTTTACTGTCTATTGAATCTGTCAGAGAGTACGTGTGGTAAATTTTTTAAATAATCTATATGCAGCTGTAGAGCTCCAAGGAACTGGAAAATACAGTCATGTCTTTTGAACAGCTCGACAATTTGGTCAAAGCTCTTTCTTTCATGGATGAATGGAAGTAAAGAGACCACTCTCAATGCTTTGATTTCTAATGTCATGTTATGTTAGCTGACCCAGTGATGCATTTTAATTTCTTCATAGATTGGTGTTCATGGTATACGGATAGAATTTTATAATGACAAAGGTCACAAAAGAACTGCTACTTACCTTCCAGAGGTTGCTAAAGAACAAGGTACTGTGTGTTAAGCATAAAACATTATTCTTTTTGAGTGTGATTGTGATAGAAAATCAGGATTATTAAGAATTATCAGAAACTATAACAATTTTTCTATCACTCAAGTTAAGGCAACTATGCACCTACCCCTCCCCTAACTGTACAACAGTCGACTCATAACAAGTTGGGGTTAATGTTTGGTTAGGGGAGGGGTGGGCGCATAGTTGCTTAGGTACTGACATTGATCCATTTTAAGTATATTTGATCATGAGTGACCAAAACAGAATTTCTCCTTAATTTCTCCATACAATATCATGCAGACAAGTAATGAGAATAGGGAAAAGTATCACTCGTGGGATTACTAATTGATCCAATACTAAATTCTCCAAACTAACACAATGAGAATTACTAATGAGATCTTGGGTGTTAAAGGGTTAATGCATGTGAATGTGTGACTGTCCATTTAGGTTGGAATCAAATCGAGACCATTGATTCTCTCCTGAGGAAAGGTGGCTTCAAAGGGACCATCACCCAAGATGTCCGCAACTCAATCAAAGTGACTCGTTATCAGAGTGAAAAAGTCACTGTAGATTATAAGGAATATCTTGCCTCCAAACAATGTACATGACAACTGTGTAGTCTAGGTCTAACAAATGTAGGCAACTAGATCTATGAATACCATTTTCAAAGATGTTAATAATTATAATTATTAATTCACTTCTTGTTATATTATATGTATATTTATTGACACGGCCAGCATCATGGGAAGCAGTGCAGCTCTCTTTTTGTTGTTTTCAAGTCTCAGAGTCAATGGATGTTTTGAAAATGGTAATCAGAGAGCTGCATGGCTTGCAAAGCTTGTTTTGTGTGGGAATCACATTGCAATTCAATCTATTACACTTCAAAACCTTTTCACTAGTCTTATAACAAAGGTAGAACTGCAAGGGTGAAAAGATAACCAAAATCTTTTATCAAATGTTTATGATTTCAACAAAACTCCTCACAGAGACCTGAGTTGGTTTTTTTTGTTTGTTAAATTTAATTATATTTAGTAATGATTATGAATTTTAAATTAGTTTTAGCATCTTCTCTCTTACAATTTATGCTCCCTCAAATATGACTTATCTGCATAAAACCATTTTGGTGAAACATGTTCATAAGTTAACGATCAAATAGAAATGTTTTTCAATTACTCCAATCACTAAGAAGCACACCTTTGTTCTAATACAACAGAAAGGTTTGATGACTTTTTTCAACTGTTTAAGTTACAGGATGACTTAATATTTTTTTTACTTGGCAGTGTCAAGTACCTCCACTACAGATATAGTTCTCATTAATACAGTCAACTCTCACTTAAGGAACACTCTCGTAAGCGGACAGTTTTACTCACTGACACATTTTCAATTTCCATTTTTGTCTCTCAGTCAAACTCTGTATTTGCACATTCCCATAGACAGACACTAACTCATAAGCGGACTCAGACCAGTGTTCTCCCTTATTTTACGCATGACAGGTAAAATAAATTTTCAAACCAGTAAAGCAATCCTTTTACCTGTTGAATTTTCAAGAATTCCAAGCAGTTTAAAACGGTAATAAGAAGTACTAAAGGTGGTAAATGTTACCAGTTACCACCTGAAAAGGAGAACACTGTCAGACACTATTTAAGCGAAAATTTGTTTTTTCTTTTGTTTACACTCTCATACGCAGACACCCCATGCATAATAATTGATTCTTGGCGATAAAATTTGTCTTTAGCTTGCACATCAACAAAAATATGACCTTGAGATTCGTTTGTCAAATCTCCATTTGTCTGCAGAAAAGCAAGCTGTTGATTTGTTTGTCATTAACTTGAGAGTCCACCATAAAACTCCCTCCTAAGAGGAAATCCACCCTATATTTCTGATGTTTGCTTATGAGAATAATTCCTGTAGGCAAACAGTTCTAATAACTGACACTTTTTTCCAATTCCTGAGGGTGTTCACTTACGAGGGAATTGACTGTGGTTCCTCTGAGGTTTGTCAGCATTTTGATTGAGGGAGTCACATTTTTTTGTGCGAGCATGCAATTTAGGGGTCAACTATAGCATGCTTGTTCTCGTCTCTTGGACAGGTGTATTTACCACCAAATATAAGTTAGTTTTGACAACTTTCTGTTTTTCAGAAATTTTTTTTGCAATTTATATTTTACTGCTCTCTCAAACATCTCAGAATTTATCTTTTGGTATGTACTAAGACTACAATGTAGCTAGGATAACATCTGTATTTCATAGTTAGTGCTACAAATTGAAAATTGCATTTCATTGAGTTGCATTGCCACAGTGTGGTACCTAATATCAATAGTTAATGTTTGCATGAAAAATTTTGTATTATTAATTAATATTTTTTTCGAATTCTACAACCAGCTGTTATTAATAGCATCTTATGCAGATATCTGTGAAGCTTTCCATTTATTTTGGACACAAAGAATTGGGAATTGATAGTGAGACTAGGGAACAAGGAATGAAGAAAGTGTGAGGGAAGGGAAATGTCCATAAAGGAGGCAAGAGCCATGGCAAATAATACTAGATTGTTTCTTTTTCCATTTGTAATTGCCAAATTCCTTGGTTACCATTATTTTTTAGGTCATTTCTTGTTTGAGCATTTACCTTTCACCTGGGTATTGTTGGAAATTCATTGTGGCAACGTCAATCCTTAATTTTTTGTGGCTAGTACTGTATTGTAAACAGCAACAAAGTCTCGCTGTTTTGTTACTGTTAGGAAAAGTTTTGATGTTTCCAGTCTTTAACTCTAAGTAATTTTTCCCTAACATCACTAGAATTATTGGATATTCTTCTTTTTTTTCCTGCAAATTCCAATCAAAGGGGCTAGATCAACCAATTTTAGGATATTCTATTGATTAACTTACCAATTTAGTTTTAAAATGAATCCTACACATGAAAACTGAAAATGAGAGAGTTACAGTAAACTTGATGATAGACAGACTTCCCAAATCTGTCACTCGAAACTCACATAAAACAGCTATGTATGTAGGAAATCAGACTTACTTTTGCTAGTTTTGTGAAAGGGGAAAAAATGACGGTTTACCTGAAATAATGCTGCATCTGGCCCCTCTCTGTGACGCTTAAGAATATTTTCTCTTTTTCCCACAAATCTTGTATTTCCCTTGTAATTTATCATTTTGTTATTTGCTTTTACCCTTTGCTGTTGACAAGTATTCACTTTGTTGTCATTTATGTCAAATGTATGCTCTTGACTCTGCTGTTCTTTCTTCTAATATTAAAGATTGAAATGAAGTTGTTCTTGATGTGCTTTGATTTTTTTCCCCTGACTAAATAAAGTCAGAAGTGTAGCTCATTGCAAACACATCACAAAGATGGATGTTCATCTTCCATTTCTTTTAAAGTCAAATTCAATCAGAAAATAAATAGTAAGGTCATTTTAAAACATTTTCTTCCGGCAGTTGATTTCTAGAATTATCAGATCATGTTGAAATCTGGTCCAAAAACCTCAGAAAATCGAATAGGAACAGTTAATTGAAAAAACAAGAAAACAGTCCCCATATGAGGGCTGTAATCTATGAACCAGCTAGAGCATGGTTTGTACCCTTTTTCAGAGACAAATCTCGAGAACTTTTCTAGGACTCTGATAGATTTTTCCAGGAGCCTAGATTTCACCTTTAAGACTTTTATGCCGAAGATTTCAAAATCAATTCTCCCTTGGGTCTACATACATTTCTTATAACATAAATTCTGAAAACTTTATTGCTTGAGTTAAGCAGATTTTCAAGACTTTCAAGGACTTTTACCCATTTTCCAGGAAATGTCAAAATAAAATTCCAGGACATTCCAGGTTGCGCAGGACCTATACAATCCCTGAGGAAAGTGAAAAGGTTGTCTTTCGTTATAAGAGACAAAAAGATTGAAGATGAAACTATACAACACAGGCTGATTTACTCCAACAAGTTGTATTTATTCTGCTACTCACACTTACAGACGAATACCCTTAACTTACAAATTCTGTACCTGTAAAACAGATCTTACCTCAGTAACACAATTTTAACTATTATCACACCACAACAAGCTGTTACAATTAACCATTTTTACTTTACCTTCCACATATTTCATTTTGTGAATTAATCAATATTTACAAGAAACTTTCGAAGCAGAATATTTAAATTAGCCAATAAACAAACTGGAGAAGTATAAATAGTGTCCAGAATTAATTTCCATCCTTTCCAAAGGTTATTTAATTAATAAATAAATTATTCCAAGTTTTTAAAAAAAGAAAAACAGGCCTGTCTGTCCAGAATTAATTTCCATATTTTCCAAAGGTAATTTAATAAATTAATTATTCCAAGTTTCAAAGAGAAAAAAACAGGTCTGTTCAGAATTAAATTCCATCTTGTCCAAAGGTTATTTAATAAATTAATTATTCCAAGTTTAAAAAAAAAAGACAGGCCTGTCCAGATTTAATTTCCTTCCTTTCCAAAGGTAATTTAATAGATAAATTATTCTAAGTTAAAAAAAAAAAAAAAAAAAAAAAAAGTGCCCAGCAGCTGGGCATGAACAACTGTTTTAAATTAAGTTAACAGTCACACTTAAAGATTGAATATACAATTATAATAGTTGATGACCTTTTCCAATCCCAGCACCATCAGATTTCATCACTAAGTTCACAATCTATTATCATCCATTTCTTCAATCAGTGCAGGCCTATGGCGGCTGCCACGCCTCAAATCTTTCCTCTTACAGTAAAACATGGCCAGAGTACCACCTGCAAGTAACGCCACCATTGACACCACTGAGGCCACAATAGCAATCTTACTTTTGTAGTCCAATGTAGCTATTGATAAACAGTGTAAACACACAGTCAGTAAATTAACATAACAAACAAACAGATAAATACATAAATTGGAGCAACTGGAATAGGCTAACGACCCCCCGTGTCTATTTTGTGAACCCATTCTACTTTCAGAAGTGACTAACCCTGATAGCTAATCCCCATACAGCATCATATAAATATGTTATCAAACAAAAGGTAATCAAAATGACAAATATATCAACAAGGGGATGTTATTTGATGGAACAGTAAAGAGGTCAAGTGGAAGAGTTTCAAATCACGTTTTAGAGGTTTGAGGGTTAAATTTGCTTATTTTCAAGAAAATGCAGCTTGATTTGCTTTGCTTTATCTTGTGTTGTGTAGTTTTCCGAACTTTGTTGAAAACCTGTCCAAATGATGCAAGAAAATGGAGGTACCTGGCAGTGGTACACCTTGTGTGATCATTTACACTTCAATTTTTTTTAAATTAATACATGAATAGACATGACGACTCACTTGGAGTTGGATAATGCTTTTCACAGTCCAGTGAGAATTCGTCCTTTATAACTTTGTGATATAGTCTCTCAGAGGGCGCCATAAACAGCTGATAGAGAAAAAATTTTAATAAGCAACATCATCAGTTAAAAATAATCATATTAATAAGTAATTTGGTAGTTGTAAAGAGTGGAGTCCAATTCAGTTTTGTATGTCAAGTGCTGGAAGAAATTGGACGACTGCAAAGCAGGAGTCAAATTTGTTTTTTACAAGTATTAAAGGAAGTAAAGAGTCATGACTTAGCCAAAACCATGGAAAAAACCAAACAGAACAGAATTAAAAAGCGTATAATCCCAGCTCACCAATGGTCAACAATTCACAAAATGTTCCAAATGGACTGACGCAAAACATTCGATTTTCCATCTAGAATTTCTGGATATTCTTCATAAATCCTACAATTATGTAAGTACACCAACCTGGTAAGAAACTTTATCCGCCATTTTGCCAATCTTGGCTTTGAAGGTTACAAACTCCCACTCCTCAGATCCTCCAGCCATTCTCCGCTTCCTTGCATGCTCCTTACTGGTCACAAATGTCCCAAATAAGTGAACCCTCTTTTCATCATCATTGGTAAATTTTTCTGAGGCAGTACGATGCCATTTCCCAGACTCGTTGCGATAAAAATTAACATTAACTGAAGGATTGTCAGTTGACATGTCATGGAAGGTGGAAGACACACCAATGAAATGGGTATCTTTGCCAATGCCAATAGGAATGTGCTCACACCAATGCTTGTTGCAGGAAGATCCATCTTCCTCCATAAGAGAACAACTTCCTGCAAAAGGTCAGAACAATGCAAGATTTAATTTGAAATTCTCCCTTCTAGCTTCTTCATTCTTTTCTGAGAATCAGTATGGAGAATTTGATGTTACATCAGATAATAACCTCTAGCTGAAAAGGTGTCCAATCTCATAACCTGTTGGCTAGTAAATGTACTATACAGTGTATATTGTATTGAGAAGTTACAAGTCAATCATGTCAATCTGTAATCAATCTATCAGTTACAAATTGGATTGATTATCACCAGTACACAAAATTGGTGATAACAAAAAAATTTGCCATTAGTGTCGTGGCAGAAAATCTCATGGCATATATGAATGTCTTATAAATACTGTTGGTAAACACTAGCTCAGATTTTGATATAACCCTGATCTTAAGCAATCTTAATCATTCATCTAACCCTTTAACTCCCAATCATCTGATTGTCAATTCTCCCCTCTAACTGCTACACATTTCCTGGTAAAATAGCTGCAAGAATTTGGTGCTAGATCAGGGTAACAACTTTCACCTGATAAGTTTGAGTATTCTTATTACCTGCTTGCTAGATAATGTATGGATATTATGGGGAGAAGTCATATTTTAATCAATTCAGTCTGGGAGTTAAAGGGTTGGCAAATAAGCAAACACAGTTGTCATAATAATCTGTCCAACAAAATGAGAGAAAAACATAACTACCTAGTTGGCAAATTTCTTCCTTGAAACTTGCAGTTACCAGTTCTTCTCTGTACTTTGTCGACAGTGGATGTACTTGAATAATCTATACAGAGACGTGATAAAATTCAAATAATAAATTTTATATGTTTGTACCTAAATGTATCTATCTATCTGTTTGCTGTGCCCTCAATGCAATACAAAGAGGGCAAAGCAGATGAACTACCACTGTGCTGAACAGTCCTAAATCAGCTTAGAAAACTTACACTGACAATACAAATGAAGAACCACTTATTAATAAGTAGGGTAAGTTTGCTTTTATTTAAAACCAGCAATAATAGATTTTTAGGTTCAAGAGTTTGACCAATAATTCCCATAAAAATCCTTCTATTTTGCTCATTGTACAATAACAAGCACATTTGTAAATTAACAGAGGGTTATTGTGCAAGCTTGGGCCACCTATGGGGTAAACCACCAAAAATTACTGACAGTATATAAAAGACTTTGTGAGTATTATATTAAATCTTAAGACAAATAAATCCATGCACCACAGTGCATTGTGTTTAAATGTATTGAAAAAACTTCTTCTCAATGAAATGATTTATATTATGTTTCTCCTGCTTGTAATTATCACGATTATATAGCAGAAATGAACAAAAATTCAACAGAGAGTAAAAATTTAAATCTTACTGAGAGACGCAAAGTTTCCTCATTTTTCTGACTTAGGTCAGTATGCATTTCCACGCTGAATGCATAATCAAGATCTCCTGAAAAACAACAACAACAAAAAACAAAACAAAATGTGATGACAAATTCAGAAAATCTGAACATTACTATTAGCATCAGAAACCATTTGCTCATGATTCACAATGTTATTATAATGGACTACTTCATTCTGTTATGTAAGATATATATATTGTAATAGTGTTCTCCAGAAATTTCTCACTAGCCAGCCATTAAAAGGCATTTGCCAGTAAAGATCAGGCTCCGGTTGTTTCAAGGGTGAATAACATGACCCACTGGATAAATCTCTATCCAGTGGATAGCCCAGTACATTTTGATCACACTTATAAATAAATAATAATAATAATAACTTTATTTAAGTGTCAGTGTATTTTAGCACTGCTGTGCTAATTGGGGACACTGTAAATAAGGAAACAAATATCGTAAATGAACAGAAACTTGTTAAAAACCCCAACTGGTAGGAGGCAGACCAGCTGGCTATTTACAAAGCGTGCAGGAGTTGAATTCGGGGCCACCGAAGACAAATCCATCCAGTGGCAGGGAGGAGGACTTGAACCCGGGACCTCCGGCTTACAAGTGCAGCGCCCAGTAACCACTAGGCCACACTCGCCTCCAATCTGCTGGATAGCGATTTATCCACGCACTGGCATTAGCTATCTATCACAGCACTGACTAATTGTAACAGTAAAAGTTAAGGAAAAAAACTGAAGGCCAATTCATTGTTATACACACCTATTTGCATAGGGGGGTTGACACTTTTGTAAAAAGTTCCAACATAATTAAAATTGGTCTCTGGTTGAGAAACTCTTAAGGTTACTGTGGCTGGCTGAGTGCACATATTGACTGTTGCTTCATAAAATACTGCCTTGTCATCAGCGAATCCCAAGCAATCCAAAGTGTTATTTGATGTCTTGCCACATGGAAATGGAGGGCGCTCTGTGGAACAAATAGAAAAAAAATCACCTTGAGGAAATAAACAATTACTGCTGTATACTTGATAATTTTTTGGAAAGATTCTTGGTAAAACTGAAATTCAAATCAGTCATCTTTCAAAACAATTTCCAGTTTTAGATTATATTTCATATTCAACACCAAATATCACCCAGAAGAGATTTTCAAGGCTTGTGTTGTTCAGTTTTTAGAAAAATACCATGATATTTCGATGAACTTGAGGACTCTTAAGAGAAAAAGTTGCATGAGTATAGGTTGGGAAGGAGAAATGAAGTCCATTTAGAGCATGCAATGCAGGAGATAATTAGACATGAAATTGAAGGCCCTTCATCACTTCTTTTTCTTAAAACGGAACAATAGTTTCATAACGAAATCCTCTTTTAAAGTAATGTTCAATTATTATGGCAGATCTCTCATCTGACGAACTGTATAACACATTTTTCTGGTTGGGTCTCTTTAAAGTGCCACATGGATGGCAGAGTAGCTCATTGCTCTCTCAAATTCTTTTCCACATTTGTAACAGAACATCTCGATACACTTGGTACAGTTTAGTCCATTCGCATAGTGACTCCAAGTCATCCCAGTGCAACCTGGTGAAACACTATGTGCTGTATCGTGACAAGGAGTTGACTACTGGCAGGGAAGTGTCACGTGACAAAATATTTTTCTCGATTTGCAAAAATTTTCTGGATTTTGGAAAGATTCTGGGACTGTAAATTATTTTCAATTTTCATGAGAGTCACTTGTGGATCTATAAATTAAACCAGGATTTGAAATTATTTTCTCAATTTGAAAAACTTTTCCAAAGTGATTTGTCTAGGAGATATTGATTCTAAGTGTTTTTTCCAATTTTCAAAATATTTTTGGATTGTCCCTTTTCCGCTTCCGCAGAAATGAGATGCCAGTCACTATTACTGTTAAATTTGGATTTCATTCATAAATTTCTTGCTACTTTATTTTGATCTGAGTTGCTTAAAAATTTCCCCTAAATAAATATTTATGATCAGAATGTACTTTCAACAATAGTATATCAGAACTATGACAAGACATTTTATTGTTTCATACTGTACACAAATACTGAAAAACCAAATGATTTCGTGTAGGGCTCCAAAATCATCTCGATTTTGTTTCAGTAGCACTAATCAATGTGGTTAGGAAAATGATGAGCTTGCAATGTTTGAAAGAAATTACAAAGAAACCTAAGAACGTTTTTTGTTTAAGTTTTGTGATGTTGATATCAGAACATTTTAAAACCCGATTTGAAGATATCAATTTTTTAACGGTGCCATACACACTAATTGCTTTTTAATTAGCATATAGTTGGAACCTCGTTGACATAATCATAAAGCGATCTAAAACGAGTAATTTGTCGCTGCAATACGAGGAATAAAAGAACTTTTGTGGAAGGGAATATTTGGATGCGATAAATTTAAATTCAAACGCTCTAGATATATTGATAACGCCATTCAAAATAACGCAACCGTAATGGCTTTGTTTGCAACTGTCTCGTATTGAGCACAAGATATTGTTTACATTGTGAACAATGAATGAAATATAAAAACAAGTTTAATTAATCATACTTACTGAAGCTTCGGATGACAGATCTCGCATGTAGAGGCTGGACGGGTCTATAATTGTCGCCCAAGGGCAATTTCTTTGTGTTTTGTTTTACACCGTCAAAAAGATCTCTGAATTTATCCAGTTGAACTTGTGATATAGGAAAAGTGTGATTGAACACAAACCACTGCACACTTTCAAAACATCCAGGAGTTGTAAGCGAGCCTCTATAAGTGTAATATTGAGCCATGTCGTGTGGTAAGAATGAAAAAGGCTGAAGATAAGGCAAAATTATTTCGTTGTCTTTATAACGAACTTTCTCAAGGTTATCCACTATCGCACTGAAAACCGGGTTGTCTTGAGCCTGAAGTTCGACCAATATTCCCAAAACTGCTAAGCCATCTCCCTTCTTCAGAGCCTCCGATGCGCTAAGGTACTTTTCCGCATTGTAGTGTACAATATGTATTTCCAAGGGAAATTTTCTTCCACCGACCTGATGCTCCGAACCGCGCGAATTCTTGCTGCCCCAGTGAAAATGCATTTGTAGAGCGCGAAAACGCGAAGTCAGATTTCCACCGGAAATATCGGACTTACCGGTTAAAAAAGTTGCCTGAACGGTATGTCCATTATTGAATAGCTTGGCAGAAACATTGTTCTCGTAGTTGACAACGAGGTCGGCAAGCCCCGGTTCGAAAAGAGTATCTTTTGGTACAATGTTTATCGGAGACTGTTCATAACCTCCGCAATCCTTGAAGTGGTGTTTCCACGTGTTAGGCCCCTCCGGGTCGCGGTATGTCCAAGATCCTGAACTTTCTGCCAAGTGTGGACATACGACAAGTAGCAAAGAGATAAGCAGGAAGAGTTTCATTGTGATTTTGCTGTAAAAGAGGCTCTTACGGCAGCTAAACTTCAATACCAACTTTCTTCTAGGGCCTGGCTTCTGGTCACAAGAGAAGAGCCGTATCACTGTTTTGGTTAAGAGAAAGTGGAGCCCAGTCTCTCAAATGGAGTGTACGAGCGAGTCCAAGGTTCGGCAAAAACACTGCAATATTTTCGAGCATATGATCGATAATACTACGAAGAAACTTATTCCTTTTCAGAAAATATCTCAGACTGATATCAATTAAGTGTTCTTGACTCCTTTTCTAAGAGTTGTCCTTGAGATTACGTAAGCTCCTTCAGTCTAAGACGTCATGGACTTCGATACGATCGGCGGCCTTCATCTTTGTTTGGAAAAATTTATCAGTCGTGTTTCCTAATAAAGTTTTACTTCCTTTTCGCGTCTCTGCGCGGAGTAAGCAATGAAAATTAACCACGTGAAAGGGATCTTCTTTATTGCGCAATAAATCGTTAAAAATATACGTTAAGAGTTGGTGAAAAGTACTTTTCGATGTTGCTTTTCTTCCAATGAAGAGGACGACAGCAATGGTGTTTTTTACTTTCGACGAGCCACCAATTTACAAAAAGGCATTGAAATATATTAAAACATGAGTAAAAAGATGTCAAATATCTGGGATTCCGCTTAATTTAGTAACTGAAAAAAAACTTAGCAATGCACATTTTAAAAGAATCAGCTTGCGTTACTTTTCGTTCACTTTCCCCCACGGACAGATGTATTCGACGAGCTACTAACCGAAAAAAACACTGTGATCATTAAAAATTTAGGTCCTCTGTCTGTTCTGGGACAATCAATTAGAATATTGACCATTTGATCAGCACAAAAATCTTCGAAGATTTACTCTGTCCGAAATCTGTTCAAGCGATAGGACATTTTGATTGTCTAATTGTAAAACTTGACAGTCAAGCATTTCAGAACCAGCAGAATCGTTCTCTAGTAAGAGAAATTGGAGTCTTCAATTTATGCAAAGTTTTAACTTAAAACCAGTGAAAATTAGACAATTATGAAAGAGATCTTCTCTACCACGGCTAGAGGTTTAAATTCAGGGAGGAATATATCTAACTATATTATATTTTATCTATAACTCCAGATTATTAGAGAAACTTTCTGTACCTTAGTTACCTAAACTTATTCTTCCTGATTAGGAATGCACACTTAATAGGAAACAGAAACTTTGCCTCTGTACATGCACATACGCAAATATAACTTAGAAAATCACAAGCTATGACAATACTGATCTATTTCATACAGTGCGTATCGTTGGTTTTCTCTCTTAAAGCTGCGTTAGAAACATTTCTTTTCATCAGCGAACTGTATATGTTTGCAAAATATTCGCGAGTGCATCTCCTCATTTTGATTAAGGTGTCCTGCGTTTTTAAAAAAGCTGAAATTGCCGAAAACGCGAGTAATATTTCATTCTAGGTTTACAAATGTTATTGGAACTACGATACGACATATTTGTGCAATTATTCTGCGATACCTTGAGCCAAATTTTATGTGATGTTTTAGTTTGGTGGAACGGAGAAATGTTAAACCAAGGAGCAAGATGGTAAAGAATGAAGAAGATTGAAAAAGTTTAAAAGCAACGACCTGAAAAATTGATTTATCTCAGCAAAGCATTTTGATGGGCAACTTGGCACTACTTGAAATTACCGTCCATGCTCAAATCTGATGACGTAAATGTATAAAAAGCAAAGCAATAACAATATTATGACTAAAGCACATCCATTAACTTCACTTTCCCAACTCTCTTACAGTTTCTAAAAAAATAATAAAATATATTCATCAATTAAAAAAAGAGCAAACGAAACACATTTTAAGCAAAACATCGACGAGATCTGCCAGGTTGTTTGAGCTGCGCGCGTCACAGCTACCGCTAAAATTCCACTCATTTAGTCGACTATACATGTCGATGTTTGGAATCTAGAAAATTTTTGTCCGGTACAAAGTTTTGAAACAGACCATGCAGTAAAGGATTAATACAGCCACAGTCCGTCTTCCACGTGCTCGATCAAATATTACATCGATGAAAACAGACAGTAGATGTACACTCAGTCTGATATTGACCTAACGTGTTATTTCAAACCTCGATGTAAACTTCTCTTTTATTTTCTGAGAAATTTCGGAAAAAGACAGGGCATCCAGCTAACAGTTTATTTGATTTCCTTTGAGTAAACCTGTACAGCAGTATAATTATAAAAAAGCGTTGGCTTTATCCAAAAATTCTTACTTGCTTTCAGATCTCAATATCATGGATTGGGGATTCTAATGCGGTATATTTAATGATGTCAAGATTCGAGGCATCTGTTATACTCTGACTAATATACAACCCGATATTGTCAACTAGATAAAAGAGCCATTAGGTGTCTTTGGCCTCAAGGAAACAGCTACGTATAGGAAATCATATCAACACGAGCGTGTTTCGTGAAGTGTAGGCAGGAGTGATGTTTTGTGGGCTTACGTATTTGCACGAGTCGTCGCCGGCGAGTGTAATTCTTGAAAACCTTTCAAAATATCACGTCGAGTGACCATAAATAAAAAACTGTACTAGCGACGAATGTCCTTAAAGTCTCACAGCGAGGGGCTAGCGCTCGAAACGACAGCTTTAGAAACTTTAGAAGGTGACCAATTTATACTATCAACTCAGCTGATGAAACCAAAATACACTTTTCATTAGTTTAAAACTGCCCACATGATTTCATGAGAATCTTGACCTTTTTATACGATCACTGTGACAAACACACTCAAGCTTTTTGTTTTCCGGAAATTTTGCAGAAATAACCATGTTTTCTTCATCTCTTATCGCTTTATTGAGAGTACTACACAAAACGCCTGTAATATACTATATAACCTATTTCAGCTTTTTCTCATAGACCAATCAAGGCCGAGACAAACTTTTCTTGGTATTGTGCATGACGTTGGCTCCTCGCAAGTCATCCGGCGCCACAAACACTCTCTACTAATTTAGAGGGAAATTCTAACAGCCGAAAGGGAGAAATTTAAATTACATCTAGGCCGTCATCGAGGCGCTGATCTTTCACATGAAATCAGAAGCACGCATTCTTTTTCCCGTTTTCAAATTCTGAAGATTCTTCAACTTGTTAAGAATTTGTTTGTCATCTGACGCGCGACCTTGTTCTAAAGGTTTACTTAACTCGTCCTTTCCCTTCGTTTTCGGTTCAAGTCTCTCCTTTTCTTCGTATCGACGTTTACTTTTGTGCTTGTGTTTGTGTTTTTTCTTCGATTTATGTCTGGGTTTATGTTTAGCCCGATACTCTTCCTCGCTGTCGGAAGACTCAGAATAACGCTTCTTTGTTTCTTCGTATTTATCCTGGCGTTTCCTCCGGTCAGAGTCGTCCTTAGTTTTCTTACGGTCAGCGTAACGTTTTTCTCCGGAAAAAGAGTTCGAAGGGGTTATCTTTCTAAAAGATGGCGGTAGGGCCGGTCCGAAATTTTCAGGAGAAGAGTCCGCTCTCTCTATCTCTGTATTTTTCGCGACCACAATCTGCGTTTCAACCGGTCTCTGTTCCTCATTTTCAATCGGTTTGATGTTCAATTCTTTATCGACAGTTTTATCATTTGGAAGAACATTATTTCTCAAACTGTTTTCTTCGGTTCTTTCATCGACATGGCTCCGCGAAGCTTCTTCAGGAGACTTGATTTCCGAAGTAGCAATCGATACATCTTCGGTTCCTTCATCTTTGCCGACTTCTTCCTCATCGCTTGACGCCTCGGATTCGTCCGAAGACGAATCGGCGAAAATCGCTTTGAACAAATCCATATCTGGCCGCTTTGGCACAGAATTCTCTCCCTTTTGTTCTTCATCAGCTTTAACATTTGATTCTCTTGGCCTAACAATGTCCGAATTAGCTAAAGCCGTTACTGAAGCGGGCACAACAGCTGTTTTCGAAGGTAAACCGGAACTCACCGAATTTGTATCAGAAGGGTTCGACTGACGGTCGATTGCATTGATCGTTTCCGTAGAGCTTCCGAACTTGTCCGTCTTGTCATCGTCGTTAGCACTCGTTGACGAATGTTCGTAAGTAACCGCACGAGGTTCTCGAGGTACTATGAAATCTCCAAGTGTGAACTTCGGCTTTCGTACCTTCGGGACCCCTACGATGTGAGATCCCGGGTAGGGGTTCGGAATATTGAACCGTTTACATAAAACATTTTCGGGATGCCACTCGAAGTTATCCCGAGTTAGTTTTCCGAACATTTTCATAGAAGCTGCCTGTGCCTGCTCAGAAGAATCTGAAGATTCTTGAGCGGGTACATCTTCGTACACCACTCTGTGATCATCTTGTTGTTTCGCCGTCGTAAATCTGGCCGCCATTGTAGAACTCAGAGGTCTGTACAAGGATGCAGACCGGGCGAATTCCTCCCTTTCACGTTCTGTTTCCCATTCCGTTAAACCGCTGAAAAGCGAAACGAAAAGTTTAAATTCGTTTAGTTAAAATTCGACCCCAGTGCCTTATCCAGCTAGAGTGTGTCTCAGTTTCTGTAGTATGAAACGACTATGAGTATTAGCACCCACCCCTCCTTCCCCCCCCCGCGTCTCCCCCTGGAGGGGATGCTACGTCATTACAGGTTCCCTTCAATAATAATACTATACATGAAAAATGATGCGCCTCTGATTGGCTGAAAACTAGTGCAATCTTCATGTAACACGAGTGCAAAGTTTTAACACGAGTGCAAATTACAAAGAGCGCGCGCGCTACAACATTTTGTCCGTTTTGACTTTTTGAGATGCGTTTTTCGTGTAAATTATGACAAGTAACAACATGATTTCTCGTTGCCTTACGACTCGAACAATTTTGTTGTCGAATTTACTCGTGTTTATTAACACCAAGTTGTACTCAGAATCATGTTGTTAGGGTTTTTTCTGATACAGCTGTACGTCGCCGGTTCCCATTTTGACCCCTGGGTGTAGAGAAGCATTGAGGACTGGTCATTTTTTCCTATAGAGGTGCTGATGTGGATCAGCCTTTCCCATGAACTCCGATCAACAGTTTCTTTAAGCACATTTAAAAGTAAAGCTCATCGTTGTAGCTTTTGAATTAGACACGGCATCCTCAGAAAGCAGCTTTAATGATATGATAGGTTTTTATTCTTATAATACCGTATTAACTATTAGTTAGTTTAGCTGGGCAGAGTTAGATATTTTATGCTCTTACATTGTGCTGTAGGATTTTACCGTTTGTAATTAAAGTTACCTGTCTATCATTTATCGCCCAGGGAAGGGGGAATGGAATACTTTTATGGGGGGGAAGGGGGGAATGGAATACTTTTATGGGGGAAGGGGGAATGGAATACCTTTTTATGGGGGGGAAGGGGAATGGAATACTTTTATGGGGGGAAGGGGGAATGGAATACTTTTTGGGGGGGAGGGGGGAATGGAATACTTTTTGGGGGGGAAGGGGAATGGAATACTTTTATGGGGGGAAGGGGGGAATGGAATACTTTATGGGGGGAAGGGGGAATGGAATACTTTTTGGGGGGGAAGGGGGAATGGAATACTTTTATGGGGGGGGAAGGGGGAATGGAATACTTTTGGGGGGGGAAGGGGGAATGGAATACTTTATGGGGGGGAAGGGGGAATGGAATACTTTTATGGGGGGGAGGGGGGAATGGAAAACTTTTATGGGGGGGGAGGGGGAGGGTGACATGGTTTTCAGGGGAACGAAGGGGGAATCAGCCATCGCCAACAAAGTGGGAATGTAGAAAATTGACTGCCGATTAACCCCGGATGAAGGGGGGGAGGGAGGGGAGGGTCATAACAATATTACAGAGCGTCATGAGGAGATCAGGTAAATTTTATCGTGACATAACCAAAGTCCTCCGACCCGACCCTCCCAGGTAATAAATGAAGTGAAGACCAGTCCCTTGTTAGAGTACAGTGTCTTGTTTAATAATAGTAATTGACCCGGTCGGAGTGCAATTTGATTGGGTAAAATAAAGCACGTGATTTCAAAATCGAACGAGTGCGAAACGCCGATACGATTTGAAATCACGGGCTATAAAAAGGAAAAGGTTTGGTACATTACTTAAAACTCTTACCTGCCATGAACCTGTGGAGAAACTTCTTCTCCTTTTTTGCTTTTTAGAAACTCTTCATAGCGCGCCTGTTTTGCGGGATCTTTGACAAACGGTTTAAAACTGCTGTGACCAGACCAAGACCAACGGGAAGAGGATGCACTCTTTTGAGAGGAATCATTAACTGTGGAACTCGCTCCTTCCGATGGTATTTTACTGGAGGGCTTTGATATTTCACTCTTCGAAGCAGACAACACTCGTTTCTTGTCCTCTTCAGAAAGATACTCAAACACAGATTTCTGAGGCACTGGAAGTGGTTCTTCTCCCAGCATTTCTGCTCTATCCATTGCAGTTAAAACTTTCTTCCTATTCGAACCTTCATCGGAGGATTTCTGAACAGTCTTGGAATCGTCGAACTTGTGGGTACAATCAAAATTGCGAGGCACCACCGGGGGTGGAAAGGTTTTAAATGCATCCATGGCTTTGGGTTTTGTGGTGAAAATCGACAAAGCGCCTCCTGGATTCAAATGTAAGAACGAGTAATTATTCAACTGAGAAACCAAGATAAGAGGCAGTTTTCTTTGGCTAATGAATAAAGAGGGTAATTTTCTAATACCCCATTCACACCAGCAAAACATGTTTCGTTAAACTGGTTTTCATTGAATGAAAATTATAAACAGAGAACTGCCTTTTCCATTCAAATGTAAGAACAATGTGTAATTCAAGTCAAAAATATTCGGCTAAATAGTTTCTATAAAGAAAAAAAAATTAAACTGTGTTTAACAAAACAACTTTTAAACATGTTTAAGCTTTGGTGTGAATGGGGCATGAGAAACTGTGGTGCTGCGTCGGTGGGAGAGTATAACAGGGTAATTAAGTATTATCAACTGAGTTGATAACGTAAATCGGCTACCGTAAAGAGTTTCAAAGCTGACGTTTCGAGCGTTAGCCCTTCGTCAGAGCGACGAAGGGCTCTGACGAAGGGCTAACTCTCGAAACGTCATGGTCAAAAAGGTTTAAAAGCTGACGCTCGAAACGTCAGCTTTTAAAGCTTCCTTTGGCTGTTCTTCTAAGCCCAGTCACCTTAACAAGTATAGGGTGACAAATAAAAAACTCTGAGACTCGCGTGATACCCGGAACCCGGTTTGAAAACACAACACCACGACTGAACAATCTTAGCTGCCCAATGCCTCATCATCATTATCGCTTTACGAACATTTTTTACAAGGAACTATTGCTACCGAGAATTTGTTTGTAATTGGAATAAGGTAAGGTAAGTTTTGAGCTCGGTAAAGAAATAGAGAAATTTGTTTTTCGTCTTGTCACGAGCGTGGGACAAAGAAAAAATTCTGAGTCAGCATGAGGAATCGAACCTCAGACCTTCGGATTCCGCCCTTCGATGCTGTACCACTGAGCAACAGAGACTCTACGGTTAGCGAGGTCCATTACGAAGCTCAAATACGACACGCGTCCTGCATATTGCTAGAATCAGCGATGTTGCATTGAAATCGCGATACTCTCTTCTGAGTGCCTTTCTACGATACTTCCACTTCTAGATAACAATATTTTGAGAAGAAAGCGATCATACTTGGACTGTCGTTTTCCCTACAAACGCAACACAATCATTCAAGTGACAAACCAGCGTGGGAATTTTAATATAGAATCCATAAAGCCATCCATCCCTTCTCAGTTATCTCCCCTATTTGAGCACGACAGGTAAAACAAATATTCAAACTGGCTGAGTAATCCTGTTACCAGTCAAATTTTCAAGAATTCCACGCGATTTAAGCCGGTAATAAGAAATACTTCACAAGGAAAATTTTACCGGTTCCTGCGTGAAAAGGAACACACTGCTCTCTACCCTTAAAAGGAAACAGCACCCACAGAAAACTAACCTTTAGAATTTTCTTTTTGAGGGCCTGTCCAACCATGAAGTCCAGAGCTAGTGTCTCCACCCAATTCAGTGTCATAGTTAGACATGTGATCTATTGCATAGATGTTGTCATCTGCTTCTTCAAATGCACCAACACCAAAAGCCTGTCACAGAAGAGGATAGGATTTATTACTCTTTGAGCTACAATGTACTAGAAATTTGTAAAAGAGCCAGAGGTAAAAATTATCATCTCTTACTCAGATTCAACATTACATGTGAGGAAAAAAACGAAATCTGTCTCATCTAGCTGTTCTATGAAACTTCTGCCAAGGTATTTAAAATTATCAGAAGTCTACTAGTGACTATAATACAGAAAACAATAATAAAATAAAGTCTTAGCTATTGACAAACATTATTGTTAAGAAAGACAATGGACAAGTGTGGATTAGAAATATGAACTGACTGCCATCAAACTTGCCAGTTCCTCTGCAAGGCTTTCATTGCTAATTTATCTTTTTTTTCTCTCTCAAGATCTCTATAGTAATTCTCCTTACTCTCTTTCATAAATCTCTCATAGAGTTCATCAGAAGAACTTGATATCAAATCACACAAGATCCTCTTTTTTTTTTGTATTCACATTGTCCATCAGCTTCACTAATGTCTCCTTGTCATTATTTGGAGCAACAAAGTTCTCAAGTGGGGGTGAAAGGATTTGAAGTGAATGTGTACAAACCAAATTTACCTCTCCAGATATGCCCTTCCTTCCTACTTTTCTTGTCACAGAATCCATTCCAAGCCAGTTTTCTTGATGAAAAAGAGCAGTGGATGGGTCCAGTCCCTTGTAACCAAGTCCATGTTTGTCATCTTTAGGAGTAAACATAAATGCATCCACATCTTTTGGTGCAAATAGTAAACCCACTGCAAAGATATCTTCTACCTCATCCTTGCCATTGTCAACTGTTTGTGATGAAGACATAGCTGATGGGAGTGAACAGCCATATACCTGTGTGTGCAACATTATAGTACAGTTATATGTTACATGTATAATATATAGATTTAGCCAAGCCTAAAAGTGGAGCTTGCCATTTTTTTTTCCGCACGTCTCAAAGGCACAACGCCTTGCCCTGGCCAGGACTAGAACCTGGGTTGTCCAACTTGGAGCCCAGTGCACTGACCACTGGACTACTGAGGACTACTGAACAAAGCCGTGGCATTGGAGTGCCTCTGGTACAGTTGACCACACATGTTAAAAGTAGCACCTTGTGTGGTTGTACAGTCGTATGGTCGTAAGTCCAAATTTTTTCAGCTTGATGGGTTACTACTATTTTGTATAAAAATGGGGCTATGCTCTGCGAGCTCTGCTATCATTTGTCTGTTTATGTAATCAAAATGAACAACCACTGCTGAAGATAGGAAAGTAATGTAACAATTTAACCCTTTTCATCCTAACATCGGTATCGATATTCTCCATACCATTCTCAATACATTTCCTGAGAAGCTGACAAGGAGAATTTGTTTAACAATCAAGAACTCCTCTAGTTTGTGATTATTTCCTTCATTCTCCTTCCTTACTGACGTTAGGTTAGTCTCAGTACCTTTTTTCCAGTTCTTCGTTCCCGAGGTCCAACTCCCTGTCCTTCCTTCCAACCCATCCTCTTTAGCAGTTCAACTCCCACGGACATTTTCACTGGCACTACGAGATCCTGAAGTGGAGGTACCCCTGGGATAACTCTCTCCGAATCATCAGAAGTCACCATTCGTTTACGACGATTTTCGAGCCCGCTTTCCCAGGACAAAAACTGTTCTTTTGTTGCGATTCTTTTTGGAGCAATTCCAAACTCTCCCATGTCGTCATCATCCATAAAATCCTCTGGCCTCTGTTGTCTTTGCTCGCCTTTTTTGGAGCGAGAAGAGATGAAAGTCGAGGGCTGCCATCCCTCTTTCGTTCCAACTGTGTTAAAATACCCGGCTGAAAAACCACCCGTGAATGCGCCATGAAATCGTCTTCTCCCTTCAGTATCTGTAACAATTTGGTCGTGAACCGGGACAGCTTTTTTACGCGGAGCATCTTCCTCTAAGGGCTCAAATGGCGTTCCAAAGCTTGCTAGCGTATCATCATCGTCGCTATCCGCCATCTTGAAAATCTTGGCTAAAAGTGACGCATAAGTTTTAGGAACACACCGCTGATTCCCACCACTGGCGCGCAAAGCATCATGCGTGAGGTAAACAAAGGTTGCTTAGTTACAACTAAGAATGGTGGCCAAGTGGACATGAATGAGCTCGCTGCAATAAGTTTTCAAATTGTCTTCGTCTAAAACGTTATTCACAACTGAACATCAGGTAATCAGAGAAATAATATTAACAGTTATTCTATTTTGACCTTTGATTGAGAATAGATCCCTACAGAAAACATAATTTTCGCGTTTAATGCAGACCATTTGAAAAGTTGTACTACAAACATTTCTGAAATTACAACAAGCTTCCTAATTTTGCCATCTGTTGTACAAATTTCAATTTTAACTCAGTAATCTGTTGAATTTTTGTTAGTAATTTGCAACAACCTTGAGCTTAAATCTGAAGGAAGCTTGTTAGGGGAGAAAGCTATCGTAATTATTGGAACAAATGTAACTTCGAATGTACTTCTTTTAACACATATGATTATTGTACTTACCAGTACTTGGAAATATGCAATATATCGCTTACGATTATGGTTTTTATTTGAAAACAAGTTAGAATCGAAGGGATCGCTTTATTACTTGGTATTTGGGTAGTTACAATATTTTTTGTGAAATCAGTTTGAAAAGTAAACTTTTATTTTTTCTTGTCAGGTTTTGGGATTTCAAAATGTTGTCAAATGTGGATACTATACACATATCAGCAGTACTGGAGGACTGTGTAGATCAGCTGGCAATCCTGGGTCACATCATGCCACCATCTCTACAGGGGAAACAAGAGGCTGCCCAAATTGTTGATGATGAGCTAGGCCAAATTTTACAGGATCAGAGAGATTTAGAATCCAGATATGAAGTGGTAAGGATTGAAAAAAAGAAACAAAGAAAGATTTTGTGTGATTTTGTCTTACGGGTGGGACACAGAAGCATACTCTGAGCCTCCTGTTAGGTCAGTCAAACCACAGATCTACCAATTTTACAATTTTTACTTAATCAAAAAAGGTAAGGGATCTGCGACATAGCATTAGGTTATATACAGTCCAACCTGTATTAGGTGGTAACCCACAGATAAGGGGTATTTTAAAAAATGATGGAGAATACCACTTTCTGTCATGATTGACCACTTACTATACAGAATCTTGCCCAAAAATACTTGTTATTGATTTCGAGAGAGAAATTAACATGGATTAGAAATTACTTGAAAGATTATTCTTAGTTTTATTTGAATAGTTTGACTTTCAGTGATCGTTCAATATAAGTTGAAGACAATGAATAGAGGCCATTGGGACTGAGTAAAGGGTGATAGGGAACAGTTAACCCTTTCAGTCCCAAGATCTGATTGTTAATTCTCCCCTCTAGCAGTAACACATCTCCTTTTTAATTAGTTACAAGAATTTGGTGTTGGATCAGGATAACAACTTCCACCTGATTAGTTTGAGTTTTCTTACTACCTGTGTGAGGGTTAATGTATGGATACTGTAGAGAGAAGTTACAAATCAATACTTTTTGGAAGTTAAAGGGTTAATTAAGAGATGAAAATAATAGTGACTAAGGGGAAATAAATTCTGACTCTGAAAACCGACCGCTTAATACAGTGTGACAGCTTGATACACTGCTGCCTAATACAGGTTTGACTGTACTTGAAAATGAGAACTTGGCAGCATCCACTGGAGCTCTTCCTCTTTTCCACAGTAAATGTGTCATATTTTTTATGTATAGGAGAAAAATTTTGAATATTCAATCAAATGTACATGTGTTCATAGAAGTATTCAGTTGGGACAAACAGATTTTGCAAGGGTTAAATTGTTTAGTCATTTGATACTTTCATTGCTGTGTTTTTCCTGTTGTGTTTTATTGTATTTGCAGTATGTAAACTTTGAGTATTAAGCTTCAAATTTCCTCTAAACTAAAAATTTATTTTTCCCAGCTTGTTAACCATAGAGATGACCCCCATACAAATAACAAGAGTTTGCTAAAAGTACCAGATGATCTGCAACTACATTCTGTGGCCAAGTCATTACGAGAAAGTACAAATGGTATGTAAATGGTTCCAGGTATAATTTTCAGTGCCAGGTGAATAAGGATATGATTACAAGGTAACACATGCAAATTTGTACCTTGAATTTAACCAGGGCCACAATGTTCAAAGCATGATTAAGCTAACTAGGGGTTGGGTGAAAATTTTTTTTTTAGATTTGTAGCTTTGCAGACAGTTCTATACAACAATTATTGTTTATATTTTTCCTTCAATTTTATTGTAACGAAAGGAAAAATGCTTCAAAACATGAGTCATAATTTACTCTTTATTTAAAGACAAATCAAGGAAAAGTTAAACCTTTAATACTAGATTATCACTGCATATCGTACAACTTGGCTCAGGCTGGTTTAGCATTTGAACCAGGTAACATTGTTCTTGGACCCTGATTTTAACTTGAAAACTCAGAACTCAGATGAATCCAGCCACTCAGATACATAAGTTATAAAGATTGGTCTGTCTATGACATATGGGATTATGAGGGAGGGGGGAAGGATTTGTGATCAATGTTTGACAGTTCACCAACGGAAAGATGCGCCATCAGTTGGATTAATTTAATATTTGCAGAGTGAACATTGTCTTGTTAACTTCAAGTCAGACCCAAATCAGACTTTCTGTTAACTCACTCCTCTACATGTTTGAGATTCTTTTTCTTCACAAGAGAGAAAAACAATACTAACAGCAAATCAAAGTTAGATTTACGGATACTACTTATACTGCTACACAATAATATCATAATTTAAGTAACCATATTTGTAAATAAATGTATTGTGCTAACATTTACTGCAAAATGTTTCTTTTGCAGTTTATTTTTCAGTCATTTATTGTCTACTAACTTAAAACTTCAAAAATTTTAGCTGTTTTTCATCTTTGGAAGTTCAAGTTTATGGGGTATGACTGTAAACAAACTTAGACACTTCAATCATTGTAATCTGATCTCTTTTTTGTTCCTGTACAGCACTGAACAGAAGTTTCAAACAGAACCCCTTGTCAAATGACAGTCTGTCAAAAATTCAAGCAGATAGGTAAATAATACTGTTTATTTGTAAACAGCCAAGAAGTGATGTCTTTATACAACTTTGCAAAGTCGGCCAGCCTTTGATTTGCCCACATGTAAATCAGGAAAAATGGTTGAACTACACAAAGTTGAGACTTACCTCTTTACACCCAACATCAGGGTGCATATTCTCCTCACTGCTCAAAGGTGCTGATAAGGGGAATTTACTAATGATCAGGAGCTTCTTAAGACAATGATAATTTTTTTCATTCTTCTTACCTTAATGATTGATTTAAGGGTCACCTACTGTAAGGAGAAATTAGAAACTTATCACTCGTAGCGCTTTGAGATGTTTAACAGCTGGTTTTACAAAGTTAGGAAACTTTGGAAAGAAAATTCACACAATATTTGCAACCAAGTATTTCTGATATATTTTTTTTAAAGATGTAACAAAGCATTCTTGACTATTTACACCCTAACATCAGCATGTATATTCTTCATACTGTTCTCTACACATTTCTTAAGGTACAGACAAGGTATAATTTGTTGAACAGTCAAGGGCTGCTTTAGTTAGTGACCAGTGCCTCTCTTCTATTGACCCTACTGTGTGATTCAGGGGTGATCCCAGAAGGAGAAATTAGATGCTAGTCACCCTTAGCAGTTTAAAAGGGTAAATGCTGATTCAGTCTGTGGTAAATGTAAATACGGTCAAGGTCAAGGATTCTTGATTTTCTATAGGAAATTTCTGCAAGATGTGATGGAAGAGACGCTTGAAGAGATTGTCACCCACAAGTCGTTTGACTCTCTTGTAAGAGCTGTTGATACAGAGAAAGAAAAGAAAGCTGGGCTTCAACAAACTATACTCAAGTATGTTGCATTACTGTTGACTGTAAATGGATGCTGGGAATTTTTTAACCTCATTGGGGGATTTCAATTTTAAAAAAAATTTTTATTGTTGTGAAAATTTATAGGGAGGAAGAAAGTCGCAGACTTGTGAAAACTCTCCAAAGGCAACTGTTGGAGGTGAAAAAAGAAAAAGAAAGTGAAATTCAGGTAAGTTCAATAGTTTGATATAACTATGTCACACACTGTTACTTACAGACTAAACCGCCTTTACACCCCAACATTTATATCCATGTTCAACACACTGTTCTCTCATTAAATTTTCTATGGTTATGGCTAGAAGAATTTTTCTTGAAAATCAGGTACTTCTTAAATTCGTGATCAATTGCATTTTTATCCTGACCTTTACATTTGATTCAAGGGTGATATTGTAAGGAGAAATTAGGGGGCAGTCACTCTTAGGGGTTAAAGGTTAATTAAATGGAATAGGGTTTCCCGTTTTGCATCAAATGTAACCAGCACTTGTATGTGCGTGCGTGTTTTTTTATTACTAATTTAAAAACAAAACAAAATTGCAGCAAAGAAATGAGATGATAGCCCATCTTAAAGATCAGTTACAAGAAATGAAGGCAAAAACCAGCATGGAAGGAAAGTACATCAAAAAAGACGCAGAGGTGAGAATCGTAGACTCTATTCATCACCCGTTTTATAAAACATTCATAAAATATTTAAACTTTAAACTTCCTTTTACCGCGAAACGATCGACTTAGTGCTAGCCAAACTGTTTCCTTCTCTTTCTTGACCTAAACAAGCCTCTGTCACCAAATAATGTATGTAGTTCGGAGTCTCGAGTCTTGAATAAGATATATAGTTTTTCTGTTTAGCTTCTTGGACGGAGTGTCCTTTTGAACCGGAAGTCTTTCTGAACATTAGTATGACAGTAGTGATGCGTGGTTTATATCTGTGGTACTTAGAATCTTTTAAAATTATTCTTAGTAGTTTGTAAGAATTCGCTAGGTCTAGCTTGATGAGGTAGATATATCAACATCTTTAATAATTTTCTAACGTTAAAAAGGGAGCGAAATGAGTGGAATTTGTACTAAGTTCCCCACAGTTTTAATTTCCTTTAAGTCTCCAACCCCTTAGGGAAGTGGCATACTACCTTTCTGGTGACCGAAGTATCGAGCATCAGAATGGGCTGATCTTTAAAAAACGCAAGCCTATGTTGAGAAAACTGTAAGAAGCAAGACATTCTAGTCTTCTCGGGCACGCGCAATAAACTGTAGGCCCCGTATATAACTTAGTATCGATTTAGGATAGTGAATCACTGCTCATCTTTTATTTAAATGTTCTTGCCTTTGGTATTTTTTCAGGTTCGCGTCAGCTGCACACAAAAAAGATGCCAACAGGCGGAGGGCTCTTTGAAGGAAGATCTCGAGGTAAAGTTTACATGTGTCAAAAAAAAAAGAGTAAATAAGTAAATAACGAGAGAATTGCAGTGTGTTGTGTGTTGGTTTGAATAAAACAACAATTTTGGGTGGAAGCGACCTTTAGGTGCGGAGTAAGCGAACTTTATCAGAGAGGTTTTTGAGACGCGGACAGCAAATGGAAGAAGAATAAAACTAAATCTAGTGCGCTTTAAAGCTAATGTATTTACCGTAAGGTCTTCGTTTTGCCATTATAAACCAAACGATACTGACTAAGCACCAGGAATGTTAACTTAACGTACGGCTGCCGGCTGCTGCTGTCTGCTTCTCAAAAACCTTAGTAGTTACGCTCCCTAATGTCAAGTTATTGAAGTTATTGCTTATTTTCTATTTTTATTTTTATTGTTTCTTTGTAATATCTGTCGCGCAATTTACTTTGCCGTCCGGAAAAAGGTTTTTTTGTCGAAAACGTAAAAAAAGCTGTACCACGCTTCCTTATAGAACTCACGATTTATTGCTTGATTCAACAATTTTTGCTACTACGCTACGGTTGACTCCCTCTCACAACTCTCGGCTTATTAGAAGGAAACACACTTAACGTCTCGTTGCAAGCACATGGAACAGTGCCATATATGGGACGATAAAACACGTGCCGCATACATGTTTGCTTAGTTACGTATAAATAAACGAAATCCCTTATAAATGTCGATCAAATTGAGAATAATTAACGTATCGTACAGTTTCCAACATTTCTTGCTCTTGTCCGCAGCTCCATAGCTGAGTTCTATTTTCTTTCTTATTGACAGACATTGCGTTACAAAATAGACGAAGAAGCTCGAGTTAATTCTGAAATTGAAACTTATCTACGGCAACATCACCAGGTAAGCTACTATTAACTTGAAACAACCGAAAATTTCCCAAGAAACAGAGGACTACCTTTAATATAAAGATTTAGCCAAACCTAAAAGCGGAGCTCGCATTTTTTTTTTCCCGCACGTCTCAAGGGCACTGCGCCTTGCCCCGACCAGGACTAGAACCCGGGTCGTCCGACTCGGAGCCCAGTGCATCGACCACTGGACCACTGGACAAAGCCGTGGCGTTGGCGTGCCTGCGGTACAGTTGACCACGCATGTTAAAAGTAGCACCTTGTGTGGTAGTACGGTCGTACGGTCTTACGGTCGTACATCCAAATTTTTTCGGCTTGATGGGTTACTACTATTTTGTATGATTATGGAGCTACGCTTTGCGAGCTCCGCTATTAGTAGTGCAAGATAATTTGGTTTCTCAACTGAGTTGATAATGTAAATTGGCCAAACGCTTCGCTTCGAGCGTTACCCCTTCTTCGGAGCGAAGTTAGTTTTAATATGTTAGGGAAGGGTTTCAGTAGCATGAAGTCATAAGGCGTATTACTGCTCTCCCCTGGATGGGATGCCGCTTCATCTACGGTTTTCCCCGCCAGCATTTCCGCAGGCTTCCCTGACAATTCGCCGTTTCCTATTCATTCTCTTGGGTGGAGAGAGTCACTTTGAGGGTGCCCAGAACCCAGACCTCTCGACCTGGATGTAGAAAATCTCTATCGTTTTTAAATTTCAAGTAGCAATTTTTCTCTTCCTCTTTCCTCTTTGTATTCTTTATATATTCACGCGCGGCGCGCGTGATTTCATAAATTAGCCAATTACGTCGAAGAACTCTAACCTTGACATTGAAAAACTGACGTGGACATTTTTCGCGTACTTTTAGTTTTTTTCGCGAGGTTTCAGTTTGTTGTTTTTAGCTTTTGTTCCCGTTAATTTGTTACTCCTTTGTTTGAAATTTTAAGAAGGATCGGAGTTTTTATTTTAGCCAAATGTTGTGCTTCGTTTGAAAAGTTTCATACACATTTTCCACGGAGTTTGGACTCTAGCCGTAAATGGATTTTTTACACTGGAGTCCAGGTCGCTAACCGTCAGAAAAAGGAAAACTTTTGTTTGATAAGCTTTCTTTTTTATTCGTAGATACTGGAAGAGAAAATGGAATACTGGATGGAAAAATACGATCGAGATGTGGAACAGAAACAACACGAGTTGGATGTTTTAAAGGTTTGTAGCCTAAATCGTTTTTCTTCAAGGCGAGTAAGGAAGCACAGCAGAGTAGAGAAGGCTACAGTGTCTAAATGAATGTATTCTGTCAAATGGATGTCAAAAGTAATTCAGAACTTTAGTTTTTCTTCACTACGCACTGTGATTGGTCAAGAGAACTTACGTCATCCTTGTAACTAATCAGATGCAAAATGAAAACCAATCACAACCTGATCACTCGCGTTTTCCCACGCTTCAGGCACCTCACGTGTACTATATCTTATTTTTTTTTTGGCCCTTTTGGTAACTTGGGAGTAGTGACATCATTTAATTTTACATCTCAATTTGAATTTCATGCTTGAAGGCATCCAAGGCAAATGATCTCGCAAAGCTTCAGGAACTCACTCAGAAGGTAAAAAAAATGTGAATTACTTTTCTAGGCTTTCTCAGTGTTAAGCACCATTTTCAAGTATCCTTAAAAAATAACCAAGAATTTCGATCACATCGTTCTATTTTGCCATTTTCTGTCCGTGTGAGGGTATTTCTGCAAAGTTCTTTCGTGGTTTCCAACGAATGACGTTTCAAAAACGCAATCGGAATTGATCATCAGAGTATATTGATGACTTCCGCAAAGTGTCCAACGCTTCCCCTCCCTCCCCACCCCTCCCCCTCATCCCATCTAGAGTCATATTCCAGCGGATGGTACAAACCCTCGAACAACACTTTTCTACCTGTGCTATGGGATTTAACCCTTTACCCTAACATCAGTATGTATATTCTCCCTATTGTTCTACCTTCATTTCCTATAGTACTTACAAGGATAATTTGTCTACCAAGTAAAATCTTCCTGAGTTCGCGATCATCTCCTCTTTTCTCGTAATCTTAATATTTTATTCAGGGATGATACTGTTGGGAGAAGTTAGATGCGTATCACTCTTAAGGGTTTAAGGGTTATCTTTTATTGTGGCCCCTTTCACCCTCAAGATTTAATTACAAATTATCTACACTGTTAACTATACATTTCTTAGCATCTAAGCTATAAGAATTTAGACTACGGACAGTCTTTCTTTGGTGAGCGCCTCACTCACGACACTCTAAGAGCTCCCCAATTTTTTTTTTTTCACTTTTTTTTCGAATCGAACGACGGACTTCGCTAAAAATGAAGGACTGCTCATAGTCTACTGAGAATTTGGTATTAAATCAAACAACATTTCTTAGTTGTTTTTTTTCTTACTTCTGAAAGGGTCAAGTCTTGAAAATGAAAAATTTTCTTTGGAAATGATCTGGAAAGGGTCTTAAATGTTTTCTTACAGACTAGTTGTGGACTAACAACAAGCTAGTTTATAAAAAGTAGACTTATCCCAAACTCACCTTTTTTGGTTTTTAACTCGGAGAATAACTGAAAGCTATTTCAGAGTTATGGTTATGACCCAAAATTCCATCACTCCCTCCCTCTATTCCTGTTAACTTTTTGGGAAAGTTTCTGATTAATCCATGAGGGTTGCGCGGTTCGGTTCCTTCGTGGGACTCAGGAATCTGAGAGCTGAGAACTGGTCAAAATAATGAATGGACACTATTTTTACTCACAGTATTCCGAATATGAGAAAGTTGTGATCGAAGACCGCGTGGCTAAAGAACAAGCAAGACGGCAAGCAGAGCAAGAACTGGAAGAACTCAAATCCGCCACCAAGGTCAGTAAATACAGCTATATTTGGTATGAGACAGGTATGGACCGGTTTTAACATGCAAATGAAAGTGCCGGGCTGTAACTGAGATGAAATAAGTGCTAAAAGTGAGTTAAATTTCGGAAAAGGGGTTGGCAGTCTGTAAGGTGTTAAAACCACGCGAAGATCATGTGTATTTATGGTAGGCTTTGTCGATACACCGATCGATAGTCGGTCGATGCATCGGTCAGTCCTCTGTCGATGTTTGACGGAAAGCCGACAGATAGTCGGCCGATATTTCGATGAAGACAACGGCTGACCATCACCCGTCCATTGGACAACCACTAACCGACTTTCAACCTTTTACCGACTAGTTATCGACCGAAATATCGATCAAATTTCGTCCGATGTAGACGTATACAGCTGTTCCGTGAAAGGTTTTCGGGAAAAAAATAGACAAAAGTGTACTCGACAATCGCGAGAGGCACTCTAAGTATTCAGTGATAAATGAATTTTAATCATTCAAATAAATAAAAATTACATGAAATCCATATCTCGTCCTTACAGTAACGTTTTCCTCAGATTTCCTTGAAATCCTGCGGTTAAGGAACTGTGACCTGAAAACTACCCACAAAGCCTTTGTCGCGTGCACTTTTCCGCTTTTTTTTCGACAAGGTTTCTCGCAACAGCTTTATATCGACCGATATTTGGACTCATGCTACCTATTCTACATATGATCTGATGAAATTCAGCCCGGCGCCCGAAGGCCTGAGAGCGATTAACTTTTGTTCTTGCGTCGACATGCCATTAGCCATATAATCATGACGAAGAACTCTAACCTTGACATTGGAAAACTGACGTGGACATTTTTCGCGTACTTTTGTTGTTTGTCGTTAACGGAGTTTAATCAGTTGTTTTTTGAGCTTTGTTTGGAATTTCAAGAGGTTTTGAAGTTTTTATTTTAACCAAGTGTTGTGATTCATTTAAGAAGTTTAATACACCTTTTCTCCATGGAGTTTAGGCTCTAGTCTCTTTTTTTCGTGAATGAATTTTTTTACATTCATCGATTTCTGAAGCACGCGGAAAGTTTGGAAAGCACAAAAGATGAGTGATAGCTACTTGAAGCATAGCTAAGCCTGCGAAGTGCAACTCAAGCTTTGTGAGCGCTCTTCACACCTCTTATTTGGTTCACAACTCAATGAATTCACAGCTGATGATTATATCAATTGCTCTTCTACATTTTAAACTTCGTTATATTTGTATATATTACGTTTAATAATTTAGAGCTAAAACGTAAATTTCATTTTATTTCTTTTCATGACTTGACGATGACGCGAAGCAGCGTCAACGCGTCTTCAAAATATTTACGAACAGTTACGAGAAGTTTTTCTATGAATTTTAAACAACGTTCTAGCGTTGAACTTAGCAATTACATCAACTTTTCACGCTTCAAAGTATGGAGACACAGTCTAGCGCGTATATCACGTGGTTAATCTGAAAACTGTACATGACAGAAGGAAGACCTGAACGAAACGAGAGAATGTGAAACAGTTGCGTCAACGTACGTTTCCTCTCTCGTTGAATGACTTGTTCTGCGTTTAACACGAAGCAAATAACGGCCTGATCAATATGAAAAAAAAATGCGTCTGCCCTAATCAGCTCGCAGGGAGTGATTACAGTGAGATGCGACCAGTCATCATATAGCGTGATCTCCATAATCATCAGACCCGGTTGTTTGAAGGTTGGATAACGCTGTCCACTGATTAAAACTCTATCCGGTGGATAACGCTATATTTTTAGCTATCACTTATCTGCCAGATAGCGTTTTATCCGTTGGGTAGCGTTATCCGCCTTTTATACAACTGGGCTCAGAGTAATTGTACTAATAAGAGTTATTGTCTTTTCTACGCTTGAATGCATACACGTCGCATACACGTCATACACACGCCATAAACATGCACATGGGAATATCGACCACATTATTCCAATTTTTTTTTCTTTCCTCGAAAAAGGAATAAGAATCTTGAGACAAACTTTTGAATCAAGGTTGATGGAAAAAGGTTGACGCACGCGATGAAATGAAAATTAATTACACGTATTTACATGCTATGTCCCAAATTGAAATTACATAAACTATAAAGGGTTTTTCCAATTGTAATTATTATTTTTTCAGATACAGTCCTGGTGGAGAGGAACAATGGTACGTAAACAATTGGGACCTTACAGTAAGAAAAAGAAGAAGAAGGGGAAAAAAGGAAAGAAATCTGGGAAGAAAGGAGGAAAAAAGAAAAAGAAATAATTCTGACTAGAACATAAAACCTTGTACAGTAGCGTCAACAACTGTTGTTGTAAATTTGAGAATAAAAAACCGATTTTAACGAAACTTTACTTCTGTTTTTGTCTTGACCGGTGTCAAAGTATGAAACAACTTTAATTTTTAATGAAAAAGCACAATGACAATATTAAGAATTTAACAAAGTAAGTTATCCTTTGACAATATGTTACTAATTAGAAAAAATTATTCATTTTAAATTTGCGATGTATTATTTCCCGAGTAAATTCTAGAATGATTACTGAATACGTGCCAAGGAAGGATATGGAGTAAAATTTAACTGTGCTAGGCGCCTAGAAATTATCATTGTTATATACACCCCGCCGGGTTGAAATAGTTTTTCCTGGTTAACTGAAGTAAAACTCACATGGAACCAAGCAGCAGCAACTCAAAGAACACAAAGAAATGAGGACTCACCGCGGGAAACGCGAGAGACCAAAGCGCGGCTGCTGTAAGGTATTGTATCTGATTGGTTGGGAAAGTGGCACGAGTTCTCTGGACCAATCACAGCGCAAAGCCACGTAAATGCAACCCTTTTATGTTCCTTTCGACACACAATTGAAAATTGCTAGGTGAGAAAAGGCCATTTTAAACAATTTACACGAGGCCGACTGTCGCCTGAATTTAGGTCAAGTGCGTGATTTTTGAAGGAAAAAGCGATTAAAAGCTGCTTGAGTTGAAATTCAACTTTATCGACCTAGGTTGAAGAATCCAATCAGGAAATAACTTAAACTCCGATGTTGATGTTTATACGTGCACAAAAGTTCATGATTATATGACTGATTTTAGCTACTGGCTCACTATGGTTTTTTAAATTTAATCATTTATCAAGGGCCTGACGAAACTCATCTGTCTCGAGGTCTTCTGTGTTGAAACTGCTGTTCAATCTCAAATTTTTTTAGAATAAATCTACATTGGACAGAAAAGGTCAACGAACAGTAAACGCCGTGTTATTAGTGCCAAGAATATTCACTCATACAGCTCCGACAAATCGTAATGTTTGACATAGATAACATGACTTTTAATTAGTTTACACAGAGCGAGAGGTGTTTACACCCTTGCTACACAATGTCTGTTTTATTGCATGTCGAAAATCAGTCATTCTAACGGCGTAAATCCAAGGATTTATGGCTGAAGAAGAATAAGAGATTGCTGCAACCCAGAACCACGCTATGTTAATACGAAGCCTGTGACAGTGGCCTCTTAATAGTATTGCAAGAAAGTTTACCACTAGTGTTGGCAGAAATAAAACAATAAAAAGGCCTGTTATGATTGCAAATGTTACAGCTGCTTTTCTATGTTTCAGTTCTTCGGCAGCTCGAACAGGGCGATTGACTGTGCGGTGCCTTTTCCACCAAGAATTCTGCGCCTTCGCCACGTTGTAAACGCGAAGATAGCAGAACAAAAGCACTGTTAAAGGAAGGAAGAAAGTCACAATGGATCCTATTATCCAAAGCTTTGGCAAGTCGTTGTAAGCTAGATAAAAGCTTATGGTGGAGAACAAGATGGCAAAAACCCACATGCAAATTGCCGCCCACAAGATTCGCTTTTTAGTTATTGTCTCTCGGTAATGTAAAGGGTGAAGGATGGCAATGTAGCGATCAACAGCTACAAAGCACAGGTTAAATGTTGAAGCTGTCGTAGTTAACAACCAAACAGCGGTTTCGGCGTTCTTGAGTTCTTGAACTTCTTGAAGAGACACAAAACCGCAAAGAGCCACATACAGCGAGTTGGCAAACAGGCCCATAGTTAAATCGGCAAAAGCTAATGACGCGATAAGAAAGTTTGAGGTGTTCTTCTTCAAGGAAGGTGTTCTGTACAACGCCAGTAGTGTAATCGAGTTGCCAGTTACTGATAAAATACCAGAAACGGCATTTATCGCGACCAAAACCCCAGTAAAGGCAGTGGTTAGGGTTTGAGTACAGTTTTCACCCATTTGCTCCGAATACTTGCTTTTAATAATTTTTTCTCCACGATAAACGATGTCCAATGTTTCCTCAGCTGCTGAAAATTAAACACAAAATGCTGGCTTGCACCTGTTACAGACACGTCGAAACGAGAAGGTGAAGATTATGACAAAGGAGATACAACAGTCTACAAAGAAACATTATTTTTTTTACGCGTTTGATCGAGGGTAGGCCTATATTTATTGCTTATCTCATTCATGGGGTCTAAATATTTATCTCTGGAAATTATTCCCAAACTTCTCATTACGTGCGAATTGTGCGACCATAAAATTGATTGTGCTGTCTGATAGATCAATTAGCGAAATATATACAGAAAAAAAAAAATAGTCTACGTGACCATCTCAAACAAATATATTTAAGAAGCGTGAGAAAAGCCACGAAAGATATCTGATCCATGTTAATTCAAAGATTATTGCATCAGAATTAAACCAAGCTATAGATCTGGATTCGAACTTTGAAACAATTTTATTTTTGATGCAAAACTGTCTAATATTACCTCAGTTTCTTCTCTGCCATTCTTTTCTTTGACGTATGTCAAAAAATTATTGAACCTACAATTTCTCGTCCTGTGCATTATATCCTTTTGCTAACTTAGCTAACAAAACTGCATTATCTTCTAAATGCAGTTTTTCCTTTTTAACAATCTCCACAGATGTATGAATTTGCCATCACTCGGCCAAACAAACAATTAACCAATTACTTTTCAGAATACAAACGACTTGCATCACAATCAGAGAAGAAGCTAATGTTCATATATCAGGGTTTGGTTAAAATACCTTTCGAAGTCAATCAATGTAACACACAAGTTTCGTTGTGTTGGTCGGCTCTCTGAATAAGTTATCGCAAAAAAAAATACGGATGAACTCGAATAGATGAACTGCGAAATACACAAAGGCTTTTAGCAATACAAAAGAAAGCAGATGGCAACCGTAAACATTTTTTTTTCGTCGATCGTCAAACTGGCGACGCAGCGAATATATCTGTCCCCATTAGATTGTGTGAAATGTTTCTCACGTTATAAACAACTGCGCATATTGGTTAAAGAATTGAGCTAAAACCGTTTGTTAAAGATCTCTCACCTTTAATTCGTGAGCCTCAAAATTCGAAAATTAATTTATCACTAAATTCAATTGACTTAGAGAAATTTGCGCAATTCGGTAAATCTTCGATCCAAAATTGTAATATTAATGTACGAACCTTTTGATACGAGTGTCTCCTTAATAAAAATGTCCAATTAACACAGCTGAAAAAGGTATTTTCAGATCAACGATGCATTGTTTTAAAAAAAAGAAACCGCTGGCTAAGTAACCAATCTCCTTGGCAAGTATTTTATGTTCCGCGGAGTTTCTAGTTTTCTCACCACTTGTAACATAAAAAAAGAGTGCTTTGGAGGTTTTTACTCGTTTCCGTCCTGTTAAGGCTTCCAGAGTCACACAATTTATAGAGCCACACAAGTTATCTAACAATTGCTTTGTGCGTCAACGTGCGTGCCGGCTCGAAGTTTTGAGAGAACGAAAGATAGGTAAGAGTTTCTTGAAGAGGTGACCAAGGGTAAGTGCTTTCCAAAGTGCTTTATATCTCGATGGACAGAACGCCGACATATCAACCCATCAGAGCGGTGATAAAGGGTTAATTTCTAAAGAAACTATGGTACTGCGTCGGTGGGAGAGTATAACAGTGTAATTTAGTATTACAAACTTCGTTGATAACGAAAATTGGCCACCGTTAAGAGTTTGAAAGCTGACGTTTCGAGCGGTAGCCCTTTGTCAGAGCGAATCATTTGCGGTAGCGGTAGTTTAAATGTTATCATTGATTTATCTCGGCCAGGCTTAAACGCACGCACACATGTCATCAGCGTGCAATACAGGAATAAGAAGCACGCTCGTGCAATTGAATTTAATTAAGAAATTTGCTAACAACGTCATAAACGAAGAATTCAGGCTCTTTTTAAGATGGCGGAGTTAATCTGATTTGGCATAACAACTACAGCTCATCCATTAACTTCCAACGCCAAGATCTCATGAGTAATTCTCCTTACTGTCTGCCATACAATTATTGTGACGTTAGTTGAAAAAATTTGGTATCGGATCAACTAATAATCCCCCAATTGATACTTTTTTTATTCTCATCACTTTCCTGCTGGATATAACATTAATATTGTAAGGAGAAATTCTGTCTTGGTCACTCATGGGAGTTTAACGGTTAATGAGCTCAGAGACAACTCTAAGAGGCGAACCCGCAAAGAGGCTAAGAATTCCCTCAAACGAAACACAGCATTCAAACGTCTACGCAAATTAAACACAACATTCAAACCTCTGTGCTAATCAAACACAGCGCTCAAACGTCTACGCAAATTAAGTACAGTCCTCAAACGTCTGCGCATTCGTCAAAGCTGAAACGTTAAAGATACAGCGTAAAAGAGTGCTTTCATATTGTCAAAATCAATTTCCCCGCCGGAGCTATGAACAACCACAAAATGTCGTGAGAATACCTTTAGATTTTCGATAAATAGACTTTGTGTTGGAAAAGTCTCAAGATTTCCATTCCCTTCTCTATTTTCTTTCACAGATTTCTGTGAACGTTTCAATTTATTTTCGTAATTTTTGCGTAACAGCGGGTTTTTTCTTAAACCTTCCCTTACTTTGCACGGAAAATTCGAGCGCAGCTAGCAAAAATGGAGTCATTTGCGTAAGCCTCAGCGCGTTTGACCGCCGGGTTACAGAGAGAAGATGGGGAAAAGTGTGATAATAAAGGCTTGCATTGATATACGCCAATTTCACTGAATCTATTTTTAGAAGTCATTTTATTGACAGCTTGAACTAATCTTCTCAAAAAAAAAAACACTCAAATATATAAACATGCATTCAATGGATAAGATACTATAAAAACTATACTAAAGCACAAACCTAACTAAAGCTCCTTTCCACGAATGCCGCGCCTGAACGTACTTCTTTAATCAAACGCTTATTTCTTGTCTCACGGCGGAGAAATAAGTCCTTGATTGTACTTATACAGCCTATTATACGAGGAGGGGTAGAAGGCACCTCCTGTCTGTTGTACCCCTCCCGCCACATATTCTTCTGTGCTCCTTCCCCCCCCCCCTTAACATCATATAGTCGTCGTTGTTGTTGCTTATATCTTAAAACGGTGGCGGTATCTAACTGATAACTCAAGAGTGATTACCTTACTAATCTAAAACCATGATAAATCTTTCCAAAATGAGTGGTCATCAGTTGCCCGATTTGAACACAAGAGTAATTTTTATAGTTGGATTTCAAGAGTAATCCGGGATTTCTGTGGTGTTGGTGCACTATGCTGCGTGATTGGTTCAGAAAACTCGCGTCACTTTCTCAACCAATCAAATTCAAAGCTAATAAAAAACACGATTTAGTGACTCGCGTTTTCCCGCGCTTTAGGAAGTTTGCTTGTTTTTACTTTAAGTTGTAAAAGGCTTCTTGTGATATTTTCCTTTCTCTTGATTGGCTGTTCTAATCACCTTGTGTAACGCTCAATCGAAATGCACTCTAATGGGACAATTGATTTGTCATACGTAAGTAACTGGAAAGTAAGCATCATTTGCGCGCGCTGCTTCATAAATTATTGGGTCCCTTTTCTGGTGGGAGGAGGTTAACAGTTATGTTATATTTTTTCGTCTTGTCACGTGCATGGCAAGCAGAAAAACACTTCTAAGTTCCCATGATGAATCGAGTTTCAGACCTACGGATTATATCAATGAGCTATGAACATTACAAGGGCTTTCATACGAGATACGCGTCCTGTATACTGCTAATACAGAAATGTCGAATGCATCGCGTGAGAAATTAGTCCTGTAAACTGCTAATACAAATATGTCAAGAGCACCGTGCGAGAAAGTAGAAGAAAAAGAGTTGTTAAATTTTGAGCTTGTAATAATATATGATTAAAGATGTTTATTTTTTCAAAAGGAGTTTGTCTATCAAAGCGATGATTAATCAATAACAGGCTTTTGTGGTGTCCAATTGTGTCACTTATTACATCCATTTTGAAACCACTGGTGGTCCCTGTAATCTGATTGGCTCTAATTGGTGTGATTTATTCACGAATCGCACCATTATTGCTTTAAATCGCATCTTTCTTCTCAGCCAATGAGGAGGCTACACTAAAAACAAAACAACCAATCAGATTTCAAGGCTTGTTTAAAGTAAAAAATCAAATTGCAGGAAAATGAAAGACAAAGAGAATCATGTGGTAAATTTTGCAACTTTTGTTTTCAAAACTCTAACTTTTCCCCACAAAAAATGAGTGAATTTAATTTCAAACCAGCTCAGTACTGCATCAATGAAATATTTGAACTGACCAAGTCCTGTATTTGGGCGATTTAAAAATGGATGTAATAAAGTGGTAATTGAACCTCATGTTGTACAATTTTGGGCTGAAATAATACTTGTGATTTCAAATCGAACTTGCGCTGCGCGCTCGTTCGATTTTGAAATCACTTGTATGATTTCAGCCCAAATTGCACTCCATTTAGTTCAATTACCATTATTAATCGCTCTCTTTATTAACAAATCAGACTCCCGCTTCGCGGTCGTCCGATTTTGATAATCGACCATTGGTATGATCAGAGACCTAACTGAGCTTCACTTGGCCCTCTTGACTTCACTTGAATCCCTGTCGTCCAGGCTCCAGTTGTTCAAAGGTTGGAAGACGCTATCCACTGAATAAATCTGTATCTAGTGGATGGCGTAGTATTTGTTGGTATTACTTATCCACTGGACAACGATTTATCCGTTAGATAGCGTTGACCGCCCTTAGCCCACGTTTAGCCTTTGGGGGGAAGGGCGCGACCACACGTAGGCTAATCCACCCTCGTACAACTGGGCTCAGGTCTATTTAGACAATCGTTCCTTTAACGTCGTTTTAGATTCCTGAGGAATTCTTAGTTCTTGAACAACGACAAACTGCTCCAGAATTAGCAGGGTAATTTTCTAAAGAGACTGTAGTGTTGCGACAGTGGGGGGGGGGGGGAAATAAAAGATAACTTGGAGCGTATCACAAGATAACTTGGGTGGTATTAAAAGATAACTTGGGGGGTTTTACAAGATAACTTGGGGGGTATTACAAGATAACTTGGGGAATATTACAAAATAACTTGGGGAATATTACAAGATAACTTGGGAGGTATTACAAGATAACTTGGGGGATATTACAAGATAACGGGGGGGTATTAAAAGATAACTTGGGGATATTACAAGATAACATGGGGGAGATGATTACAAGACAACTTAGGGGGATATTACAGGATAACTTGGGGAATGTTACAGGATAACTTTGGGAGTATTACAAGATAATTTAGGGGGGGTATAAAGATAACTTGGGGGGATATTACAAGATGACTTGGGGGAGAGTATTACGAGACAACTTAGGGGGGTATTACAGGATAACTTGGGGGAGTATTAAAAAATACCTTGAGGGGATATGGAAAGATAACTTGGGGAGTATTAAAAAATAACTTGGGGGATATTACAAGATAACTTGAGGAGTATTACAAAATAATTTGATTTCTAAAGCTATTTTCAGATTTGTCTATGGTGGGGCAAGAGAGATAAGAGGTACCATTTGGGGCAATTATTCATCAATTCATTTATTTATCAATAAAAAAAATAAATAAAAAGATTAAAAATTGTTTATTCAGCTCCTTGTCTCTTTATTTTACCATTGATTAATCTTTTAACTACTTATTTGTGTATTTATTGCTACAAATTTTTATTTACTTCTTTCAAATCAGATCACAACTCCTCTCAAAGAGGGCCACTTTTGTTTTCTACCTCAGTACTAGACTTTTGCTGCCTTCCTTAACTTCCTTACCCCTTGGGGTGATTAGCATCTATTTTCTCCTCACAATAGTATCTCAGATTTACACATTAAGACCATGAGAATCGAGAAAATGATCACCAATAAAAGAAGCTGTTGATTGTAACTCAAATTCTCCTTGTCGGCACCTTGAAAAATGTAAGGAGAACAGTGTGGAGAAAACGCATGTTAATGTCTAAAGACTGTCGTCCATAAAGGCTCACTCCATCCTTACAGAACTCACTGTAGCAGAGGATATTTTAACCCTTTAACTCCCAAGATCTCATCAGTAATTCTTCTTACTGTCTGCCAACTGATTCTCATGATGTTAGTTTGGAGAATTTGGTATCAGATCAATTAGTAATCCAATAATTGATATTTTTCTTTATTCTCATCACTTGTCTGCATGATATTGTATATATATAGTAAGGAGAAATTCTGTCTTGGTCACTCTTGAAAGATGAAGGATGAAATCATTCATTTTCGTTCTCCTCTTCACTACTGTTTTTAGTTATTATTTACTAAATCCCATCCACTCCCTGCGAAACGTAAAAACAGCTTTTTTCCAATTTTTTACCATGTTTTAGAGGGACTTTTATCGCAGGTTTTAACTATTAAATTAAATCGATCAATTAAATTTATAATTAAATCATTTTAATGAATTTAACGTTGTTATAGCTACGAAACATTTCTAGGACGCTTGATAAAAATATTTTGAAACATAGATGTCATATTTACTGGCCTCTGCAACGAACCGATTGGGCCTCTAGAGACATTTCTCCACCTAACGACTTGTACGTTGGTGCTTATGACATATTTGTACCTATCCCCATCGAGATAACATCATATTTTTTTGAGTATGCGCTAGACACAACAACCACAAATATAAAATTAATGTAACAGAGATATGCTACTTTATATTGTTGAGGAGGCTAACTTATTTCGTTCTGCTTCGAGGCTTATTTCAAGATTCGGTTGCATGTAAACGGCCGTATAGTATTAGAAAATTTATTATGTTTTTCTCGGCATTCCTTTTCAAAAGTACTCAAATGAAAAGAAGAATTTCAATAATTGCTTATTTTTCAAGAGCATGCTTAGTTTACAACGAAGGAAAGGAATGAGAATTTTCAATATATGGCCAAAAATCCCTGAAGTTTGATCCCAGTCTCCGCGCATTGTGTCCAATATTGTTTACATTCGGAAACGTCACGCTCACTCGAGGCTTTTGTGACGCTGGCTATTTGCATAAAATTTAAAACAAGATTTATTTACAACCTTACAGACCACGATTTAATCCTTTTATCAAAACAATCCCTACAGAGAGTTCGAGAAATCGAAAGCAATAAACTTTTATCGGGTTCTTACAAGAAAAAATTTTCCGTGAGATATTTTCGCTATTTTGTCTGCCTACCTAATATCCTCTTGAACTTCCGTTTAAACTTATAATTTTCTTTCCCCCGAATAATCGCGTGGGCAGAATATATTTTAATCACCTTGATGCGAGAAAAGCAGAAAATAATCTTAAAATTCCCCCGAAGTGGGCGAACAATTGTACGAATCTACATTTAATGGAAAGAAAATGTAAATTTAAACAGATCACCTTACTTCGGATTTGCGTTGGATCAACAGAGTTATTGCGTTACAAGGCAAAAAACCCGGTATGTCATCATTGTCAGATTTCAATTCAAGGTAACGAAACTCCTCGGATCTCGTTTCTGGATTTCGGCGTTAGAAAGTAAAATGTTTCGGTTACTTCTTTCGTCAAATATAGACGAGAAAACTGGTTCAGATCGTAAGTTCTGGACACAACTCGCCGATAATTGCAAACAAATTGTAGACACAAATTGTAGACCCCAAGCTCCCCTCAAACACTGCTTCGAACGCCTTGCATTTTTTGCTCTTCAATGGAGGTTAAATGCCGCTTAAGAACCTTTCTCCGTTTATTATTTTACGTGGCATATTTTGATCAAATTGAAGTGTTCAAGATTTAGGGAAAATCCCAGAAGCTGATGTGACAATAAGTATAAACACAACCTGCTAAATTATTCGTGGAAAAATGCCATAACGTACGACAAGTCCATTGTCATAGGCGAATTTGCCGAAACAAGTTTTGCTTTGTAAGCAATTTCTTAAAGAGGGGGAATCTAAAGGTGAACACTCGTAATTTTCGATTTTGAAGGGATTCGAATGGTAAATCATATAAAAAGCTACAACACAATTTTCTAAGAAAAATAATATCTAATTTACTTCTGAAGATAAAGGTAAATTTTAGGGGCAAAAAACTGAAACATTTCAGGATGTCACTATCGAGATTTTTCAAGTTCGAAACGCGGTTTCGATCGACTTTTGAAAGAACCTTTTGTCAAAATATTCACGACTCATTTACCTGATTAGCATATGTTTTTTATTTAAAGGAGAACGTTTTAATTGTAAAACAAGAAACATTGTAGCATTGCAATAAAGATTTCTAGGTGCGAGCAAGAGAAAAAGGGTATTTCGCTTAAGGGTGAAAGAATAAGTTGTTTACAAAAAAAATATTTCGGTGCGTACCCTTTCCTGAAATATATATTTACAAAAACAAGGCAAATATTCAAAGATTTCTCGCTTTGGTAGGAATAGCAACTTCACTAAACGCATGACAAAATCCTTCTGAATGCAATTAAAGACAAATAAACGAATAAAACGTTAACAACAAGGAGGTGTCATGAGTGAATTTTTTTATTTACTAGTTCTGGAAATGGCTCCACAAAACAGCCAACAACACGGATTAATTAATACATCCTGTTAATTCGTTCTAATATCAAAAATATGCAGTTTTCAAAGTTCAAGCCGGGCGGCTGTCTCAATATAACCGCAAATTAGAAACGTTCAAATTTAAGTCGTAAGCATATTATTCTACCGAAAACGTTAAATGGAAACAATATTTCAGTTTCGGCATGTTTCGACAAACATTTAATCTGCGGAAACACAAATATAGCAACAACATCAGGTTAAGCTAATGTCAGTTGTTATTTCGAAATAAGTATCGGCCGCAATTAAAAATCTAACGGAGTTGATCATAAAGAAAGTTGGTCGATGAAAAAACTTTACAATCCGTAGTTTCATGAATTATTTAACTTAGAAACAGAGACGAACAAACTTGACGATCCATTACAGCCTGAGCTTGTTGCGTGATATTTTACTTTTGACGAAATTACTTGCATCTGCTGTGCTCCCCGAATGGAAAATCATTCATGAGCGAGCTCAATTCCTTGTTGGCTTGAGGTACAGAATAAATCATCACAGAAAAACCTGATCTCCTTGAGTGAACACTCGTCGCTCATTCATCATTCTGAAAAACAGATTAAACCAAATAAATATCTTGCGCTGCACACGAAACGACATCGCGATACGAAATCCGCGAGTAAGCGAAGAAGCTTCATGAGCGCAATCACTCTGAGTCGCTCTCCGTCTTACAAGTGTACTAAACAACAGAAAAACAAAACGAATGAAATGTTCAGTAAGTACCTGAACCATCTTCTTCGTCGCTCAGTTCCTCAAAGGAATATTTCGGTTCGCTTCTCGACTTCTCCTTCGCTCTCCGTTCATCTGTGAAGGAATCGTACATCAACTTAGTATCAATTCGAAAATCGTTCTGTGCAACGACCGCAACTTCAGATTCTTACCTTTCATGGGTGCATCAGGTGGCGAATTAGCCGTAGGCCTTGTCAAAAGGCAACCGAATGAAAAGGCAATGGCTTGAAATTTTCCCTCATCTGATTTCCCCTTCAACAGCTCCGCAACTTTGGGGTCCATTTCGTTTGATCAAAATCGATAGAGACTGGCGATACCGAGGCGGTGAAATATTTTAATGCAAACGCTTGAGCAGGGAAAAATACCTGACACACTCGTGTTTGAAGGGAAATTTTTACCTGAAACTTTCGACCAATCAGGTTAGACCTCACGTGGGTCTCACAATTAAATGAAAGTGCTTACGAAGCATATAACTCACGATCTAAAATATCTACCAATGGGAGACAGCCACCCCACCTGGCCGGAAAAAACCCTACGTGCAAGAAACTGAAAGCTATCAATTTAGACAACCTGAACAAAGGGGTTTCTGTATTGAAAATAATTTAGGTTTTCCGCAAGCATTTTGAATGACAGACGAAGTCAACAATCTTGATTACGACGACAATGGAAACTGGTGCCATGGCGTTTACATTACCAAAAAAGGGAACGGTTTTGGCCGAGGTCGTCATGAGATAATGCTAAGTTAACAAAAACAATGAGGATTAACCAAACAAAATCATTCACCACGTCGACTCTAATAGAATTCCGCGCCGAAGTGGCATCATCTGAGCGACAGCTAATCAACCAAGAATAGAAAATGCATCAACAGCATCTTTGAAAATGCTTTCCAAGCACATATTTGACGCATTAATCATCTCGAAACTGCTTTGTTGGCGCGTTTTTTTGGACAAGGAAACGTGCTTACGTTGCGAAAGTAAAAACCCGCCACAACAAATCAGCTGTATCATCCTGGTGGAATTCATTAGCGCTTGGCACGTGCAGAAGGCCAGCTGAAGGTTGACGGGTGCGTGTTCAGAAACAAGTAATGCGTCAAATCACAGAAAGAGAAGAAAGCGACCACACAGCAGTTTACTTTAATTTCCATGCTACGATTCTAAACCCGCCACAAGCGACGCATGAAGTTTGGTAAACGGAGACAACATGACCCCTGCGCAATTTTCACCGTCTTTTGACTGTGTGTTCTTATGGTTGTTACAAGAATCAGTGATGGAGAGATTCTAAATTTTGTGTCTAAAGTATTTCGAACATAGATCACAGGGGTAAGTCCCAAGATCGATTGCGTGGCAACCGAACTACACCATGTTCCGCCCTTGAAATCGACACATGCCGTGAAAACCACAAAGATCGTGAACACGTAGCTCAAAAACATTGACATACTCCAAACGTGTTTTGCGTTTTTCTGCAGTGAAACCAAGGTTAGTGGAATCGATTTTTTTAATCGTATGCACAACTTTCCATGAAAGACAACTACGGTTGTGACTAGGTGCGTCGTCAGAATCCATGCATGTCCATGCATATCATTAATGTATTTTTTAAAATTTTCTTTTCATTAGGGGATTTCAGTGCACCAAAATCTCCAGTTCCATGGTAAGAAACGCGTCTTTTTTATCCAATCAGCACATTTTGTGATCTGTCAATCAACCGAACTGAACGTAATTTCCCTCGTGTGGAATAACACGTAAATTTTTAATTCGCTTTCAAATTCTTAAGTCTAGTGGGGCTAGAATTAAAATAAGCGTTACGGTAACAAAGTGCGGAACGGAACTTTTAACAAACGAATCTATGTCAGGAAAAGGGGGACCGACTCCAAATTGCCCCGATGACCCTCCAATTCCGCGGAAACCTCCTCAACCAGCGCCACGTAAAGGTAGATGTAAATATTTACATGGATTCTTGATTATTTAATTCGTGTAAAAGGGTCGCTTTTCTATCTCCGTTTTGACGCGATGCGTTACTCGTTGGTGATATGCAAGTTGTGTTCAATAAGTTGATATCTAGTTAAAACTTTCCATTTCTTTTCACAGGATATTGCAAATACTGCGTCGTACAATGACGTTAAAAGGTAAACGCATTTTTATATTTCAAGTGTACGAATGCAATGATGCAATTCGTTCGACTTACATAAATTGCGCACCAGCGCACATGCTTTTGATCATTTCCAAACCAATTTACGACAATTTATGATGAAAAACTAATTCAGAGAAGGCTAAAAATTTATGCGCAAAGGAACTTTGTCTCGACATGCTTTAGCAAGCACTATTTTTTTCGGCCACGCAATGGGTAAAGTTTTCACAACAAAGCTGTCAATCATCTATAGATATTGATTTGGCTGCGTCAGGTATATAAGCGCAGAAGAGAGTCGTTCGAAGTAAAGCTGTGCATTAACCTTTCTCCTTCCCAGAGGTTTAAAACTTTAGTATCAAACATGCCTAGCGGAACTTCTGGAGCAAGTGGATACACGACTTCTGACGCGGGGTATTCTACAGGGGGATATTATCAAGACAGAGATCATTGTTGTGGCTGTTCCTGTAAGTAATCTTAGCGTTGCCTCGCGCTTTCAACTTGAATCTTCTAATGTATTTTTTCTATATTCTTTTTCAGCGAGTTGCACGATTCTCTGACACAAGAGATGAGGTAAGAATGTTGTGTTCTTAACGCTGTTAAACGCAAGAAGTTTGATATGATTCCCGCAGCAGAACTTGTTCCCAAGTGACCTTTGAAGTGTTTTGAGTAAAATTTCAAATGTTAGGAAAACTTACTTAAATTCTCGTCTTCAATCGATGCAAAATATCTGTTCCCTATCAATTTCAGAGAGCTTATTATTCTATCGTCAAACGTACGCGTAAATTTTGTGGAAATTGTATGCGTTTTCCCTTCGTAATCCTTCGTAGTCAAACGAATTGAATGATTTAAAAGAGGACGCAAGCGTAGTTTCCTACACTCACTTAGCTCTGTGATTCTACATTTCTTGAATCATGTAACCAGTATTGTTCTATGTGAAAGCGCGCTTTTTTTTTCTGTGATATTCCGCGCACTTTTGTCGTTTGTGCAACGGTTCAGACGCGTGATTCACACAGACATAGTCTTGAAAGAAACGAAGCTTGAGGAATTCGTTGCAAAAACCTAAAAGCATGCCTGAAAACCGTGTACATTTACTGTGAAATTGCTTTATTACAGAAAGCAACAGCCGTAAATCTTATTATTTGTTGTTCGCTCAAATAGGAGGCATAAATTATTCAGTAAAGTAGGAGAGCCAATCAGACGACACTCTCGTGTCACTCTCGCACTCGCCCATACAGACATCATATAATTAACTAGCGCGCACAAACAACATCATTATACCTTAAAGATAGCTTGGCAAGGAATATTGAGTCAAAGTCGGTCGTGTTAGGATTAAAAGTACATATAAAGTTTTAGATATGCCTGGAAGTTCAGGATCCTCAGGAAACTCGAGCGAAGACGTATCATATACTAAACCCGATAAAGATAAGTGTGAGTCTCGACAGTGCAACGTATTACTTCGGTTCAGCTTTCGAAAAACTTACTTTCTTTTATTTGGCTTTTTCAGGGTGCATAATACTGTGACAAAAAAGGTAAGCTTGACTTAGTTTATATGCTACTGTCGCACACGAAAGCTCATTTTCGCGCCTTCCCCTGATATTTAAGATAACACTTGATATATGCTACAAGAAACCAAATGATCAAAGGGGGTAAGTTTCTAAAGAAAACTGCGGTGCTACGTCGGTGGGAGAGTATAACAGGGTAATTTAGTTTTATGAACTGAGTTGAGAACGTAAATTGGCCACCGTAAAGAGTTAAAAGGCTGACGTTTCGAGCGTTAGTCCTTCGTCAGAGCGATAGAAGAAAAGCTCTTCGTTTAAGCGATAGAGGAAGAGCTTTCGTTTGAGCATTAGAAGAAGAGTTCTTCGTTTGAGCGATAGAGGAAGAGCTCTTCGTCAGAGCGATGCAAGAGACTAGGCAACAACAGTCAGGAGAAAAAATATCCAAAAGCAGAAAAATCCAAGCAAAATAGTCCGAATGTTGAGTCGAAAGATGGGAAAACAACAAAATGTAAATAAGGACTGTTTCATTACTGCGTTATTTTAGCATTTGCCTTTCGATCGCTAACATCTTTTGAGTCTGTGTTTCAGACTGCGACGATGATGGCGACGACTGTGTATTGCTGTAAAAGGTAAATTTTTTACACTTACAAAATTGACATGAAATCGCTCTTTAACTTTGTCTTAATCTTTCTAGTAATACGCATCAAGCTAGATACATTTTAACTCGCTTTAAAGAATTGTCAGCAAACTAGAGAATTTGTTAGTCTTGATCCTCGGTTTAAAAAACGAGAGTTGTTTAAATGCTTCATACACACTGTGAAAATAAACATTCGCACTCAATTGTCTTGCATAAGACGAAGACTTCAGAAATGATTCTAGCTATTCTCGTTTCCTAACTAACACGATATATTACACTAAGGCCTGTAGTACTAAACCTTACCGAATATTAATCTGCTTGTCTTGCCTTTCAGACCCCAAAGATCACACTATTTGGAAGAGAACTAATGAAGCCCTTCGTCACGAGGACTGATGTGTTTCTCCCTTTCAAAGTTCTGGAGCTTTTTACAGTTTGGACACGTTGCACAACTACCAGAATATGTTTTACTCGTCTTAGGAAGATGATTTGTGTAGTGGGTGTAGTGCATGAAATAGCTAGTTTTAAGATGAGCTTGTTAATTCGATCAATTCACGTTAAGGATTCTTTTCTCATACCATGTAACTTTCCGGTTATTTGACTATTTTGGTTTATTTGAACTGAATTTGATGAGAAAGCGATGAAACATTTAAATTATCAATTTGCTCGTGTATGGTGGCGCGCGTCAGGAACTGATGCAAAAGATCTAACAGAGATGGAGTCAATAAACTAAGAAAGTAACATGAGCTGTGTGACATTAATCTGTCTGTTTCATTTTTTTCAGGATCTCGCAAACGCTGCTTCTTGTAATGACGTTGAAAGGTGGACGACTTAGCGCACAAGCTTTTAATAATTTCTAAACCAATTTACGCCAATTTATGATGAAAAACTCATTCGGAGAAGGCTAAAAAACAAATGCGCAAAGGAACTTGTCTCAAAATGCCCTAGTAAGCACTATTTTTACCACAATGAAGCTGTCAATCATTTACAGTTATTGACAACCCTTATCGTTTGGCTGCGTCGGGCATATAAACGCAGAAGAGTCATTCGAAGTAAAATTGTGTGTTAACCTTCTACTTCCCAGAGACTTTAAAACTTAGTATGAAATATGCCTTGCGGTACGTCTGGAGCATGTGGGAATACGACTTGTGACGCGGATTATTGTACGGGGGATCTAATCATGACGAAGATTGCTGTTGTTGCTGATCCCGTAAGTACTCTTGTCGTTGCATCGTGCTTTCCACTCGAATCTTCTAATGTATTTTTTCTATATTCTTTTTCAGCGTGTTGCACGATTCTCTGACACAAGAGACGAGGTAAGAATTTTGTGTTGTTAAAGCTGCTAAACACAAGAAGCTTTAATATGAATGATTCCCGCAGCAGAACTTTTTCCCAAGTGACTTTGGGGTGTTTTGAGTAAAAATTTCGAATTTTGAGCCAAACCTAGTGAAAATTTTCGTCTTCAATTCGATGCAAATTATCTGTTCTCTATCAAGTTAAGAGCCTACTACACTATCGTCAAACATACGCGCAAATTTTGTGGAAATTGTATGCGTTTTGCCATCGTAATCTTTCGTAGTAAAACCAATTTATTAATTCAAAAGAGTGCGCAAAGCTAGTGTCCTACATTCATTAAGCTTTATGATTCTACATTTCTTAAATCATGTAAACATTCTTGTTCTACATGAGAGCGCGTTTTTTTTTTCTTTGAAAAATCAGGTCGATGATTCCGAGTTCGTTTATCGTTTATATAATATGGCCGATTCAGGTGCGTGATTCATACAAAAATAGTCTTGAGAGAAACCAAGCTTGAGGAATTCGTTGCAAAAACCTAAAAGCATGACTGAAAACCATGTACATGTACTGTAGAAATGGTTCATTACAAAATGCAACAGCCATAGATCTTAATGTTTGTTGTTCGCGTAAATATGAGGAAGTGCCTATTCAGCAAATCTGGGAGCCAATCAGAAGATGACACAACGGTGGACAATCCGCCCACAGTCATAAAAAACTGGTGCACGCTAGATTGGCGTGAGTTATCGAGGCGAAATCGGTCGTGTTAGCATCGAAAGTACATAGAGAGTTCTAGGTATGCCTGAAAAGTCAGAATCCACAGGAAACTTGAACGAAGACATAGGATTTGTCATGAAGGCAGGATCCACAGGAAACACAAGCAGAGACAAAGGATGGTGTAAGTCTCGACAGTAAAACGTATTCGCTTTCGCTTTTGAGAAACTTACTTTCTTTCTTTGGCTTTTTCAGGTTCGTGCATAATCTTGTGACATTAAGGTAAGCTTGAGTTAGTTTATATGTTACTGCCGCACACAATGGCTTAGTCTTACGCCTTCTCCTGATATTTAACAACACACATGATATACGCTACAAGAAACCAAATGAGTAAAGGATATGTATTTCTAATGAAACTGTGGTGCTGCGTTAGTTAGAGAGTATAACAGGGTAATTTAGTGTTATAAACTGAGTTGATAACGTATATTGGCCACCGTAAAGAGTAAGAGGGCTGACGTTTCGAGCTTTAACCCTTCGTCAAGGCGACAGAAGGAGAACTCTTCGTTAGAGCGATGAAAGAAACATGGCGACAACAGCCAGGAGAAAAAATGCTCAAAAGCAGAAACTCTAAACAGAAATGTTCGAACGTTGCGTCGAAAAACGGGAAAAATAACTAAATGTCTGTTTTATTACTGCGTCATTTCAGCATTTGTCTTTCGATCGCTAACATCTTTTGCGTCTATGTTTCAGACTATGTGACGACCATGGCGACGACTGTGTACTGCTGTAAAAGGTAAATTTTTTACATCCTTACTAAATTGACATAAAATCGCTCTGAAATTCTTGTCTTTACCTGTCTTGAAATTTGCGCATCAAGCTAGATACATTTCAACTCGCTTTAAAGAATTGTCAGCAGATTAGGGAATTTGCTAGTGTTGATCCTCGGTTGAAAAATAAATAATTGTTAAAATGCTTCATGCACAATGTGAAAGTATACATTCGCACGCAATTGTCTTGCAATAGACGAGGACTTCAGAAATAATGCTAGCTATTCTCGTTTCCTGACCAACGCGATTTATAACATTAAAGTCTGTAGTGCTAAAACTTACAGAATATTAATCTGCTTGTCTTGCCTTTCAGACCCTGAAGATCACGCTATTTGGAAGAGAACTAATGAAGCCCTTCGTCACGAGGACTGATGTTTTTCTCCCTGTTAAAAATTCTGGAGTTAATTACAGTTAGGACACGTTGCGCATCGACTACAATATGTTTTACTTGTATTAGGAGTTCGAAATTTAGTTTTTTAGAATTTTTTCACATATTATGGAACTTTCCGGATACGTGCTGTTTATTTAACCCGAGTTTGATGAGAAAGCGTTGTAAAATTTGAGTTATAAATTCGCTCGTGTATGGCGCACGTCGGGAACCAATGTAAAAGACCTAACAGTGATGGAGTTAATAAACAAAGAAAGTAACATGAACTGTGTGACATTAATCTGAGGGAAAATTTTGGGTAATTTTAAAACAACACTGAATGACCCTTAAATTCCCAAGGCATTCTTAATGATGATATAAAATGCCAATGTCTCAAAGAGGGTTTCTCGCGGCAAAATCATAAATTAAAGGGACTACATTCTGAAAATTTGAACATGGGTGAATAGACACTTAAATTATGAGATCATTGAAATCAATCGATGAAGCAGTAAACGCGAAATTTGGTAAATCGAAATAGTAAACTTCGACTAAACGACTGTGGATATTATTGCGCGCCAAGCATGAGGCTGAAAATAGTCGAAAAATAAAGATGAATTGACATCTCTTGAACCCTTGAGCACGCTTTCATGATAATTTTCCTGATGACGAAAGCACCTTTACTAAACCAAACCCCCCCCAATAACTGCGCAAATTGGATTTCAAAACAAACATTGCAAAGCGCTTCGCTAGCGTTTCACCAAATGCTTTGTAAGCACAATTCAACTCATGATAATTTTCCTGATGACGAAAGCACCTTTACTGAACCAACCCACCCCCCCCAATAACTGCGCAAATTGGATTTCAAAACAAACATTGGAAAGCGCTTCGCTAGCGTTTCACCAAATGCTTTGTAAGCACAATTCAACTTGCGATTTCAAGTAACAACATGAAGATCACAAGCGTGCTTATTGGTAATCCCAAAATAACCCCAATGTGAATGCGTATTTTCATATGCCTGCTGAGTGAATTTCAAACACTTTTGATAACTTCCTGCGTCCAAAGGTCGCCAGAAACGGAGAGTGGAAAATATTAATGCTATCATCAACAAAACAAAGTGCGCTAGTATTTGGCTTCTACATTATAGCTAGAAAAGCAGATCGACTTTATTATTTACCAACGTATGTTACTTAATTGTGCAATTCTTTAGACATAGCCGGCTACCTTTTGACCTGAAACAAACCGATTTAAGGCAAATCAGAAAAGAAATAAGAAAAGCGCCAAGCTAGCATTTCGCCAAATGCAATGTAAGCAAATTATCAACATGCGAATTCTAAGAAACGACTTGAAACTACATGCGCGCACGTCAGTTATCCAAAAATAGCCGTTTCCGAGTGCCTGATTGATTGATTGAGCGATGATTATTAAGATGTTGGAAAATTTTACTTAGCGCAAGAATCGTCCTTTGACCTGTTGAAATATACTATTTCAGACAAGCCAAGCATGATTTGGGAAAGAAACTTTGTTTCACAATGCTTAGTAAGCATGTTTGGTAAGCAGTTTGCTCAGCCATGTCTGCGGTTAAATTTGGCAGCTGTCGTGATGAGACAAGTTATACTTCAGTTTCGGTACGTCTCGCTATAAAAACACTGATCTGGTGTCAGCGCAAGTTCAGTTGTGCGTCTACTTCAACAGGTCGCTGTGAGTCAATTTGCGCGTGAGCCGTCAAAGATTATGTCGGGAAGACCTACACCAAATCCCCCTCCAGATCCGCCACCACCGCCTCGGCCGTCTCCGCCAAAGGACGATGGCTGTATTCTATTTTTCTTGTAGCCACTCAGTATGAAATGCTCGTATTCGAGGTTTGTCGCAAATTTTTGCATGACGTGTCACAGTAATATTACTACTCAATGAATTTGTTTTGACGTTCCCCTTGAACGGTTAGAAATAACCTCGGTCAGCAAAATCTGTTTGTTGAATGCAAGTAATCGTAGATACGATCTCTGTCTTAGAATGCGCCACGTATGTTAAAACACATTACAAAAGAGGTAAAAGAAACCTAGCTTACGCATCATTGTGATCGATCGTTCGCGCTATCAAGAGGAAGGGAAGAGTTGACGAGCCACTGTCTCCCCATCAGATAAACCCATCTCTCTAAAATGCCCGGAAGGTCCAAAGCAACAGCTAATGCTGTCGGCGACGCAAGTTATAGATGCATAAAACAAGTCGAAAGCTCTACCAGAGCTCTTCAAAGATGCATACGCAATTCTCAGCACGCGGTACAACGCTGTGGCGCAATGTTGCGAAAAACTGATCGAAGTAAACCACCATTAGCATGCTATATCGTTTGCAAGTCATTTTTCTTCTTATATTTTGACATGTTTTAATTCTATTTCAGGCTGGTGGGCGTCCTGCGCTATACTGTAACAAGGTGAGTTTCATTTGTATTCATTTCTTCCACATCGAAAGCGAATCGTTTAATATTACGATGCTATCCTCATTATCTCAACTAACATGATCCTGCCCGTGGCTAAGACAGCACTATTAAGGTCAAGCCCATAAATGCGCAACAAAATTTCAACAAACGGAAGACATTATGTCCTAAAAATACCTAACTGCTAAGTATTTGGTAAGCTCATGTTGGTTTGTTTGAAAGGTCGAAATGAAGTGAAGAGCCGTTGCGCAGTTAAAGATTAAGCAAAAATGAAAATCACTTAATTGAAAACCACGTCACTGAGCAAAAACAATTGCAAAATATCAGTGGCAACACGGCATGTGAGCTAGAAATACTTCAGCAAAGTTGATCATCAATCACCAAATTGCAAGATACTGGTTGTAAAATGACAAAAAAGTTAGGCAGCCGAAGAGCTTGACAGCGTTAATGACATTGCGGAAGAAAAACATTTGTAGGCGAAAAAGTGCATAACAATTAATTTTAAAATGTCAATCAAAGTCACAGGGGCGAAAAAGCGCGCGAAAAAACTAAGGAAAAGCGAGAGACGGTTAGTTGTGATACCATTGTAGAAAGAATGCCCACAGCAGGAGCGACCGGTAATTCTACTCGCGATGCGAGTTACAAGAAGAGGAATACTGGGAGAAAAAAGAAACCAGCGGAAGGAGCTGTTCATAAGAAAACAAAAATCCAAAACAAACGTAAAGCACCACAAGCGGGCAACACTGGAAGCAAAAAGAAACAAAGGCGCACAACGACTCCACAGAACTCTGTGACGGTTATTCGTGATACCATAGAAAGAATGCTCAGAGCAGGAGCGAAGACGAACACTGGGAGAAAAAAGAAGCCAGCGGAAGGAGCTGTTCAAAAGAAAACCAAAATCCAAAAGAAAAGTAAGGCGCCACAAGCGAATCAAAGTCGCAGTAAAAGTCGCGCCAAAAGTAAATACCGAACTTAGGTATGTTATCGATTCGTTGCATTTTTTACTTCTCCCAAGCTGACTTTTTTGCCTTTGTATTCCAGGTTGGTGCAACAGTCAATGAAAGGTATGTTTGTACGTTTTTTTTTTCGAAATCGCGGATTCCCGAAATGAGCTAGATTTACTTCAACTCACTTGAGAGAACTGTTAGCAAACTAGACAATTTCTGAGTGTTGATCCTCAGTTGAAGAAAAACCGAATCGTTTAAACTCTTCATGCACACTGTGAAAATAGTACATTTTGCGTGCGTGGTTGCCAAGCCTTTGAACGGAAGTGAGGCTAAGGTTTACCTCGATATGATACAAACGTTGCTGCTTTTCAAATGTAAATTACCTTGTTATCACGGTCACTAGAAATTGTTCTCTATCACAACATGGTCACCTTCAGCCTCACTCCAAATCAAAGACTTGGGAACTAAGTACACAACTGTAAAATGGCCTATTAACATTCGCGCGCAGTTATCTTGGCATGGACGAAGACTTCAGAAATAATTCTAGCTACCCTCAAACATAATCGACACCGGTTTATTACATTCGTGAAATCTGCAGTATTAAACCTTTCAGAATATTAATCACCTTGTCTTGCCTTTCAGACTCCAAAGATGAGCTTTTTGGAAGAGAACTAATGAAGCCCTTCACAAGGACTGATGTGTTCCTTATTCTCAAGTTTCTGGAATTATCTACAGTTTGGAAACGTTGCACACCTTTGATAGACTGTTTTATTCTTATTAAGTAAATGGTTGTAGGTTACTGATCTTTGTAAGTTTGAGAAAGTTTTCGGTTTAAGAGTACAGTGCATGAAATGCTTAGTTTTTGGTTGAGTTCGTTACTTCGATTGAATTTGCGGATTTTTTCTAGTACTCTGCGATTTTTTACATTTTTTGGCTTAGCGCTGTTTTATTTGACTTGATAAGAAAGCGATGTAATGCTTCAGTTACAAATTCGCTCGTGGATGGCGCAAAAATGTAGAGGACTTAGAGGAGATAGAGGCAATAAACTTGACATAGAAAGTGACTTGAGCTGTGTTTATGTTCATTTGATGTAATCAGTACTTCCTAGTCTGATACCCCAAGTTCAAAAACCCTCATAAAAAAATCCTTTCCAATGATAAACAAGGCATTTAGCTCAGGAGAAATGTTGGGGAATTTTAAGGCAAAAATGAATGGCTCTTACATGCCCAAGACATTCAAGATGATGGCATAGAATGCAAAATGTCTCAATTGGGGTTCCCCGCGGGAAAATCATAAATCAAAGGGATTACATTTTGAAAATTTGAACATGGATGAATAGAAACTTCAGTTAAAAGCTCTTTGTAATCATCCGATGAGGCAGAAATCGCGAAGTTAGGTTAGTCTAAATGGAAAATTTCGAATAAACGACTGTGGAAATTATCGCGCGCTGCGCGAATCTGACACATCAGGCCGGAAATAGTCTTAAATAAAGATGAATCGACATCTCTTCAACTCATGAGCGCGCTCTCATGATTTGTTTTCCAACCTGGTGTTGACAGCACCTTTTTTGAGCCAAACCTCCTAATAACTGCGCAGATTGGATTTCAAAACAAACATCGTAAAGGTGCTTCGCTAGCGTTTCACAAAATGCTTTTTTAGCACATTTCTTGTTTATCGACTTGCGACCTATACGTAATGACATGAAAAACACAAGCACGCACTATAGGAATCCCAAAATAGCCCCAATATGGACACGAATTTGCCTTGCACGGAAGTCGCTGATCTATAAAAGTTTAATTATTTCCCGACTCAAAAGTGCGCTAGAAACGGAAAGAAATAAAATATGAATGTTATCATGAACAAAACAAAGTGCGCAAATATTCGACAAGAACATCGTAGCGAGAAAAACTGGTCACCTTTCTTCACACCGAGGTGAACATGTCATGCAAATCGGGATTAATAGGAAACCAAGATTTGGAAGTGTTATATACTACGCCTTCATGAGTCACAACAATAGCACGAAAAGTAAGTACCATTGTTCGACGTAAGATTTTATGTTAGAGACATCTTAAAAACACTTTTTCACTCTCATTTCAGCGTCTACCAAGGAACACAACAAAGACAAGGAGACCTCTAGCGACTCGACTACGAGCACGAACACCACCGGCAACTCGACTACGACTACTTTAACAATTCGACAACGACAGACACTTCTAAAGACTCGACTAGAAGTTCGGACACCAACAACGAGTCGACTTGGAGGATGGGTGACGCAGATATTGCAGATTATGGAATCGTTTTCTCGTTTTCCCATCGAGCCAATTAAGCGACTTCCTATTTCTTGTTTTAGATCATGACAACAGAGGCAATGATTTAGAATTACCATTTAAGGCAAGCCCGGTTTTAAATCTTTGACACAACTTGCCCGAACGTACAATTTTACTTAGCGCAAAAGTCCGTCCTTCGACCTGGTTGAAATATTATACTCGAAAAAGAGCCAGACAGGATTAGGCAAAGAAACTTTGTTTCAAAACGCTTCGTAAGCATGCTAAGAAAGCACTTTTCTGCGGTCAAAATTGGCAGCTGTCAAGATCGTGAATATGATACTTCAGTTTCGGTGCACCTCGCTATAAAAAGCACCGATCTCGCGTCAGCCTAAGTAATCGTTGAGTAAAGTTGAGCGTCTACCTCTGCGGATCTCTGTGAGTCAACTTGTTCGTAAACCACAATCAAAAGAAAGTATGCCTTGTAAACCTACGCCAAGTCCCCCTCCAGATCCGAAGCCACCGAGATCAAGACCAACGAAGCCCTTACGTCGACTCCGTTAAGGAAAAGGTCTGCCAAAAATTTCCTCTTTATCCACTCAGTGTAAATAGTTGCAACTTCTCGTGCCACGAGTCAGTCATATTCTCACTCAATTATTTTTAATTTCGCTGTGCGTTCCTCTTGATGATTTGGAATGCCATAGGTCAGTAAAATCTATTTTTCGAGTAAAACTAATCGTAAATATAATCCTCGTTTTAAAAAGCGCCAAGCATCTTAAAACAAATGACCAAAATGATAAACAACGTAGCTTATATATTTTTGTCATCGATCGTTATTGCTATCGAGAGTAAGAGATGACAAGCTACTCGCGAACCATCTCTCTAAAATGCCCGGAAGATCCAACGCAATCGCTAATGTTGTCCGCGACGCAAGTTATAGATGCAAAAAAAAAGTCAAAAGATCTACCGGATTTCTTAACCGAGGTACACGCGGTCTTCAGCCGCAACGCTTCCTCGCGATGTTGCGAATAACTACAGCTCGAAATAAACCGTGACAACATGGCGGAACTCAGCGCTTCCTTCATCGATCGCTTTCTCGCGATGTTGCGAAGAACAACTGCTTGAATTAAACCATCATTAGCACATTATATTGTTAGCAAATCATTTTTCTTTTCCTATTTTGACATGTTTCTCTCTAGTTTAGCCTGGAGGACATCCTGCTCCTAACTGAAATTATTTTTTTTAGCGGGTACAACAGCATTAGCTAGGGTCAAACGCGTAAATACGCAAAGCGAATTACAAAAATTTTAACCGACGGAATACATAGTATTTTAATATCTAACTGCTAACTAGTTGGTTAGCTCATGTTAATTTTTTGAAAGGTGGAAATGAAGTAAAGCGCCATTACACAGTTGAAGATTAAGCAAAATACTTTACTTTCGGTATACGATTTTCTCTAGTCATGCGTATGAAATTAGGGTTCGGTGAGTCAAACCAATATAAACTTGTTTAAGTAAACGCATTGCCTTCTTCCTGTCTTTCAGGAACTTCAATAGCAAAACGGACGAAGAGAGTAGATGAGGACCTTGATGATACTTCAAGAAACCGAAGAATTATCTCTTTGACCTGTTCTTGCGTTCTTCAAACAAACAAGCATTAGACGTTAAAAGTAAAGGAACTGTTAACAATAGACATTTCGTAATTTTGTCAGAGTTCACCACAGTAAATCATAGAATAATTATTCTTTTATTCTTCGCAATTGAAAGGATATCACATCGATGTAGAAATAAATGTAACACTTTTCTCTTCTTGCACATAAATTTGGCTCGCTGTGTGTTTACTCGATATCCTTGTTATTGTAAGATATGGCGATACCACAATTTGTATTTATGCGCACAATGAACGCAAGACTTTGCGATGAAACAATTTCATCAGTATTATAATCAAAATATAGGGAATGATAAACTGACGCGGTCGCGCCTAAAATTCTTTTCGCTACCGAAATTTGGTTGAGAAATTACAAAAGAGCATTCCTTGATCCCAGACGCGCCCGGTACGAGATCTACGATATCTTGCACGCGTTTCATAGTGTAACACGTTCGTTTGTTCAGACACAAGCTTATAAACACAATCTTAGCCGCATGAAAATTGCAACTCAGTGGACTGTGAATTGTCGTCAATCAAGTTGCTTAAATCGTCAGATAGGCCTACACATTCTAAGACAAAAATGAATGGCCCTTACATGCCCAAGACATTCAAAATGATGGCATAGAATGCAAAATGTCTCGATCGGGGTTCCCCGCGGGAAAATCATAAATCAAAGGGATTACATTTTGAAAATTTGAACATGGATGAATAGAAACTTCAGTAAAAAGCTCTTTGTAATCATCCCATGAGGCAGAAATCGCGAAGTTAGGTTAGTCTAAATGGAAAATTTCGAATAAACGACTGTGGAAATTATCGCGCGCTGCGCGAATCTGACACATCAGGCCGCAAATAGTCTTAAATAAAGATGAATCGACATCTCTTCAACTCATGAGCGCGCTCTCATGACTTGTTTTCCAACCTGGTGTTGACAGCACCTTTTATGAGCCAAACCTCCTAATAACTGCGCAGATTGGATTTCAAAACAAACATCCCAAAAGTGCTTCGCTAGCGTTTCACTAAATGCTTTTTTAGCACATTTCTTGTTTATCGACTTCCGACTTCTACGTAATGACATGAAAAACACAAGCACGCACTTTAGGAATCCCAAAATAGCCCTAATATGAACACGTATTTGCCTTGCACGGAAGTCGCTGATCTATAAAAGTTTGATTATTTCCCGACTCAAAAGTGCACTAGAAACGGAAAGAAATAAAATATGAATGTTATCATGAACAAAACAAAGTGCGCAAATATTCGGCGAGAACATCATAGCGAGAAAAGCAGGTCGCCTTTCTTCACACCGAGGTGAACATGTCATGCAAATCGGGATTAATAGGAAACCAAGACTGGTAAGTGTTATACACTACGTCTTCATGGGTCACGAACAATAGCACGAAAAATAAGTACCATTGTTCGACGTAAGATTGTATGGTAGAGACATCTTAAAAACACTTTTTCATTCTCATTTCAGCGTCTACCAAAACCGACAACAAAGACAAGGAGACCTCTAGCGACTCGACTACGAGCACGAACACCACCAACAACTCGACTACGACGACAAACACACACTAAAGACTCGACTAGAAGTTCGGACACCAAGATCGAGTCGACTTGGAGGATGGGTGACGCAGAGATGGTAGATTATGGAATCGTTTTCTCGTTTTCCTATCGAGCCAATTAAGCGACTTCCAATTTCTTTTTTTTTTTAGATCACGACAACAGAGGCGGGGATTTAGAATGACCATTTAAGGTAAGCCCGGTTTTAAATCTTTGACACAACATACCCAAACGTACAA